CCATCTGCTCTGCTCCAGTGCAGCGAAGTAGCTAGGATGGCCCCCATCCCCGTCCACACAGCAGAAAGACGAAGCCCTGCGGACTTGAGAGCGTGTGTGGCTGCTGAGACACTTGCCTCCTCCATGCTTCTCCTGCCCCGTCCTGGGCCCAGGGAGCCTCGGGCTACCCTGGGAATGCTTGTCTTCCTCTACGGAGAACTCAGCCAGGTCAAGAAGCTGCCCCACACCAAGCCTTAGCCTGAGAGCCCCATGAGCAATCTGTTCATTTTAAAAAGAACTTCAGACAAATGTTTTTCTTCTTAATTAAAAAATGGCTCAAACACAGAAAGGATTACAGGAAGCCATTGAAGAGCAAGCCAGATTTATCAGACATCTGGTCGACATGCTGCCATGTATGCTTGAATACTGTCCGCCTCTCCCTTAGGAAATAAGATGCTACAGCCGCTGGTGTGCTGCCTCCTCACCCTTGCTTGTCTCCCTCCCGAGACTGCCCCCAACCTGAGCGATGTGTCATTCGATTGCGTGTTGCTCTGCTGTTATACACAAGAATGACTCAAAAATCACATGCCACGGTCCTGTGTTTTGTAAGAGTGCATGGGGCCGGTGCTGTGGCGTAGCAGGCTAAACCCCTGCCTGCGGCGCCGGCATCCCATATGGATGCCGGTTTGTGTCCCGGCTGCTGCACTTCCGATCCAGCTCTCTGCTTATGGCCTGGGACAGCAGTGGAAGATGGCCCAGGTGCTTGGGCCCCTGCACCCACGTGGGAGACCTGGAAGAAGCTTCTGACTCCTGGCTTTGAATCGGCCCAGCTCCAGCTGTTGAGACCATTTGGGGAGTGAACCAGCAGATGGAAGACCTTTCTCTCTGGCTCTCCCTCTCTCTCTCTGTAACTCTGCCTCTCAAATAAATAAATAAATCTTTTAAAAAAAAAAAAGAGTTTTCATGAACAGTATCCTACTGTGTTCTCACCTCTCAGGAGTGCCCTGGGTGTCTTTGGCTTTCCCAGATCTCTCTCTTCTGGTTGTGGATGGGGGGGGGGGGGCGGACCTCAGCAGCAGCTCCTACTGCAGCAAGTGCTGGGATCCATGTCTACGGTTCCCTACAAGAGGCCACAGAGTGGGCACCAAGGTCCCACTGTGGAGGAGACTGCTGGCCACCGCCCAGGTGGGACGTATGGGCTGAGGGCATCCCAGGACAGCCTGGAGCTGACACGCAGTGTCTAGAGAGGGAGACCAGGCCCAGAGGAGAGAAGGATTCTCTCACTGATACACCTCTAGAAACTGGTCAGGCCAGGACCAGCTCAGGGCTCAAGGCACAGGACTCACCTTTGCACAAAAGTCACGTTGCCTTTTCCAGTTACTCTGCATCCAGCGAGCGGCAGACCACTGAGGCCTCTGCTCAGAAATGCGAGCAAACGGTAAACACCCACACCCTGAGATCCCGGCAAGGTGCAGCGGATCTGGGAGGCCCCTTCCCCAGGAGACAGCGAGGATTCCAGAGTTTACCGGGGAAGTCCAGGCTGAAGGACAGGAGCCTCAGAATCTGTTTACCTGAAGCGCCCTCTAGTGGCCGAATGGAAAACAACCGTTCGAATTCACCATCTAGGAAGTGCCGAGTGGCCGTGGCCAAAGCGTTCCTTGATTCATCGTCCCTCTTGGGGCTCGCTCTTCCCCCGTTAATGCACCCCAGTGCCCGCTACGACAGGACGCATTACGTATCTACTTTGAACTGCGTCCCTGAAGTGACTGACTCCCAACCACTCCCGTTTCTGTGTGTCACTCTCAGTAACTAGAGCTGTGGGAACGCATCATCAGAATGCATTGCTCCGGGGGAGGGTGGAAGGGGAGCAGGGAGCGCCAAGGAATTTGCAGTTCAGTGGGTGAGACCGGCACAAAAGCAGCCTCGGAGTCAGAGTGGCCAAGACTGGACGGATGAGAACAAGAGGCTCGGGGGTGGGGGGCGATTGGTGTCAGCCACAGAGACCCCTCGTCCTGTGTCCCCTTCTCCTCCAAGCTCGCACTTCCTTGTTCTTTAATTCATCCCACACAGCCATCCCAATCCCGACTGCTCAGAGCGTCCATTTTCCAGAAGGGGTCCGGCAGCCGTCCTGGCCTCTTCCAACAGACCTTCCCCCACCCCATACCCCCTCCTCAACCTGCTCGCTCTCCCCCTGCCGCTGCGCCTTGTGCGGCTGGGGTCCTAACACCTGCCCTGACCCGTGTGCAACTCAGGGACCAGCAGGTGACTGGAAAACTGATGGCAGTGTGACGGGACCCAAGGGACCGAGGGGGACGGGCTGGGAATTCTGCTTCAGAGTCAGAGAATTCAGACGGGGGTGCGGGGAGTGCTGTCTGGGGCCACGGTGCGGTGCGGGTAAATGCTGGGAAACCGAGGCTGTGCAGTTGCAATGGCAGCAGCCATGGGATCTGAGCAGGCGGGGAGAAGCTGGGGACAGAGGCAGGGTGGCTTGGGACTGTGAAAAGGACAGCACTCGGCTGATTTGCCTAGGTCACAGGGCTGTCTCTTTTTTATTTATTTTATTTTTATTTATTATTTATTTTGGGGGTGCCTGAAGAAGGTTTTTCCTCTGGCACACGGGAGCCGATAAGGGTTAGGAAGCAGGAGAGTGGCATGACGAAAGCTCACCTTTCCTCCCCACTTTGGACAGGGCCCGGTTCTGATGCCCTGTGTGCTGGCACCGCCCACCAGGCAGGAGCGGCCCCTCCCGTGTTCAGCGCTGCCCCCCCACCCCGGTGCAGATGGGGAAACCAGCCATGAGCCTCCCTCAGAGGGAGGGCACTGGGGTCCAGCTGGGCACTCCATGGAGGGAAGAGGCCCTCCGTGGGCCACGGTGGGTACCCCAGGACCCTGCACTCTGTCTGAGAGCCATTCTGCCCACCCCCTCCCCGGAGCAGCCTGGTTTCCAGGTGTGAAAAGCAAAGACTCATGGAGACCGCACTCCGCTAGGCTCCTAACAAACTCCATGTTAATCCTTACAGTGAACCTATGATGTAGGCATTACGGTGCCCGTTTCACAGATGGGAAAGCTAAGACTCACAAGAGTTAAATGACTCGCCCCAGAAAGCCCCTCTGACTCCAGGACCCAAACCCTCAACCCCTGTGGCAGGGACTCTAAAGGGTCACCCACCCTGAGAGTACAGGTTCCCGGGGGGATCCCCCTAGACTGAATCAGGCTGTGCAGGGGCTGGGCCTGGGAACTTGCCCCTCCCACATCTTCCCCATCCCCCCACCCCCGGGGATTGGCCACACAGCTGGGGGCAGATAGGATTTTCCCAAGATGGCTGTATCCACATATGGGTGCTCGGCACCACAGAGGCTGCAGCACAAACTGGGAAAGCAAGGTGCAGGCGGCAGGAACCATGGCAACGTCCCCATGTGGGTCTCAGCGCATGGCAACCATGATTACACCAGGGCCCTGACCTTAAATCTCAGGCCAGAGCCCCAAGGGAGCAGCTCCTCCCATGGGTTCCGGTAGCCAGTGTAGGAAAGACTCACCTGTGGGTGCTCCTGCCCAGCGGCCTGGTGAGGTTCCCCAAGGGGTGCACGCACATGGAGCTTCGGGGAAGGAGGGTGGTGCCCGTTGTGGCTCCACCCCCGCGTTCTCGATGATAAAACAGAGTCACCAGAGACCTGAGCACCCTGGGACGCTGTGGGAAATAAGCCCACGTGAGACCACTTACCCACCAGAGGATGGAGTTGGACATGAAGGGAGCGGGAAGCGAGGCTTTGCTTACCATCTCGCAGGGTGGGTGTCTGGTGGCAGGCACACGCAAGACAGGATCCAAGCAACCTTTTATTCGCTAGTGTCCCAGTCTCTTCCCCCAGTTCCTCACTGGCTAAGTCACAGTCCTGCCTAAGCTGGGGCAGGTGATTGGGTGCCCAGAGCAGCTGCTGGGCGAACAGGTGGGAGAAAGGGATTGGTTGGGACTGCGGCAGAGGGCTCGTGCGGGAATACGTGTTACAGGTGCTCGTTCAGAACTATACCAAGAACAGGAGCCTTGAGGTTACAGGTTGCCTTACAGGCTACACAAATAGCAGAGTGCAAAACACGTCTTAGCAGGCTTAGCCATTGAGGTTTTTCCCCGCTTTGCTTTAAACTACAGTGTGTGCAGCTGAAGGTCTATGCAGGACTGTGGCTGGTCATGCTCTTTGAACATAAGCTGTAAAGCACCTTCTTGCAGAAGTGAACGCTGTTTGCATGGGGACATCCAGACTCCGCTTCCTGGCACTCAGGCGGCCGGACAAGTGAAGCTCGGGCCACACCAGGGCTTGCTGCTTCTTCCTGCTCCAAAACAGCAGGTGAATGGGGGGCAGCAGGCCTGCGCCTAGGGGGAACTCTCCGTAATCCTGGGTGCCCCAGGGAAGGGGGACATCCTGCCCCCTCAAAGCAGGCCCCCCAACATTGAGACTACACAGGAGGGATGGCTGGACTCGACTCAGAGCCCCTGCACCCTGACACGCTCACCCCCAGTCCGAGACCCAGCATACAGGGCCTCTGTGCCACACTGGACTTCTGGGAGCAGGAAGGGATGGGAATGGGTGAGGCTTATTCTGGCACTTCCCAGAGCTCCCCGGGGCTTCCTTGGGGGAACTGGCTGCTCACACCTTTGGGGTCTAAGACATTTTTGAGAGCTGGATAGGCACTCTGCCTCCAAAACACACAATGAATGAAAAGTCAGGGACTTAGTGTTCTCTTTGAAGCTCATCAGTGCACCCACATCAGGAAGCTTCTGGAGACAGCTGTGACTGAAGACTGCAGTCCCTCGCAAAGGAGGCTGGGTGGTCCCTGAGCCCAGAGGGACTCTGGGGGTGAAGCCACCACCATGCAGTATCCCTTCTCTTCTGCCTCTGGCATCCCCAGCTCTGTACCTTGGGCAGGTAACTGCTGACTGGCTAACTAGTCATTCGATTGGTCAGCTGGCCAGGCTGCTCAGCCAATCAGAACCACTGGCAGTTGGTTCCATGGAGACAGAATCAGTTAAACTGACAAAGCCCCCAGCAGACAGGGCAGGGTCTCTGTGAGTCAGGACTGTTTGTAGGTCTGGGGTCAGCAGGACCCTCACTGATGTGTTGAGATTGGTCAGTCGGGGGGCAGTTGGTGGTGGCGGGGAGTGAGCAATTGTCAGCAGGGTCAGGCTACCAGGGACAAAGTGTGAGCCTGCCCAGGGTCCTGGAGGTGGACAGACACGTTCGAGGCTGCTCGCAGGACGACAGAGGAACCTCCGTGGATAGGGACAGGCCCCATCAAGGCTGCACGGTAGGCTCCAGGCAGGATGGGCCCTCCACAGCAGGCTGTGTCCCAGGGCTGGGCCTCCTGAGTGTGACTGCCCCCTGTGGGGCAGACTGGGGCGGGGCAGGGATGAGAAGAGGCAGGGGGAGGCGCTCAGGGCACAGGGCAGCTCCTGGGATCAGAGCTGTCAGGAGGGGAGAGGGCCATGAGGGTGTTGCCCACAGAGGCTGATGGTGGGGATCGCAGTCTGAACCCTGACTTGGGTTGGGCCTGATTCCTTCCGGTGGTGCGGGTGATGGTGCCTTGAGGGCCCTCGCCCTGCTGTCCCCCAGGATGGGCCCTGGGCAGAGTGGGCTGCAAGGACGACAGCACACACGGGGCACATCAAGCTCTCCCTTAGCACAAGGCCACCCCGGGCCAGGGAGGCCACCTCTGCTGCCTCTGCTTCCCCACCTGAAACCCCAGGACCGGCCCCACCTACCCGGGGCTCACAGGGACGCAGGGACAGCCCCTTTCTGAGCAGCCCAGCGTCATCCTCCTGATGGAGCAGCTCCTGGGGGAGTGGAAACGCCCCCTCCTCCTGAGTCAGGGTTTCCTGGACGTGGGCTGGACGCCCAGAGGGCCCTGATGCTTCCTCCCGTGGCCTCCGGGAGTCAGGGACCACTGATGTGCAGGCTGCACCTGGGCTGGCTTCTTGTCCCCCATCTGGGCTGTCAGGGAGAATCACCTCTGTTTGGGAGAGACCAGAGACACGTAATAGGGAAAACCCAGTTCTGTTGGTCCTTTCGAGTGGAAGCAAACCTGACTCAATGGGTGTTTTTGGTGGGAAACTCCTCCCTTCAGCACCAGCGCCCTGGGATCAAGGTGAACGCTGGGTTAAGCATAGGTGCCCGTGGACAGGGCTGAAGGGGAGTGAACACTCCGGCCTCGCTGTGCACGCTCAGCCTGTTGGCAAGTTCCACCCACCCCACAGCCGTGTAATGGATCCATGGTTAAGATGGGACCTGGAGGATCTCGCCCTGCCCTGGAGACGGCTCCACGCGGAAGGCAAGGCCACGTGGCATTGGGAAATTGGCTCTGATTGACACCAGTTTCCCAGTGCATCAGCTTGGGGACCTTGGGCACTTAGGTCACTTCTCTGTGTTCCCCTATCCCGGAAGTCTTTGAAACAGGGCCGATGGCAAGCAGCACCTGCTGCCTGGGAAGAGATGGAGAATTTAGAATTATTGCTCATACATGGGGCACGCCTGGTGTGCAGGCAGCTCCCATCACTGTGGGCAGGTGACGGGACGAACCCAAGCCAGCAGAATCCACTTAGCATGGCGGATGCATGCCGGTCAGGCTGACCTGGGAGCCATCCCTGGACATGGAGATGCTGGGCCCTGCCCTGTGGGCAGGGAGGTCCCACGTGACAGATGGGACAGCTGGGAGCCCCGGGACAGACAGTCTTCCCGGCAGGAAGCACCACAGGCACAGTGGGCACAGAACTCATGGGCCTGCAGAGGAGTTCCAGTTACTATTGAACCAGGAGAGGAGAGATGAACTCACCCGTGAAAGAAGATAACTCCAAATAGAACATGGATAGACTCATCTTACACCAATCACATGCTAACTATTGTTTTTGGGTGAAAGGCCACACCCAGGCAAGTGTGCCCTTTCTCCAGGGGTCCGGCTGCAGCCCTGGTGCTGGTACCCATGTCTGGGATCAGCCACTGAGAACAGGTCGGTGGGCTCTGCTGTGGGGTCCTCAGCTGCAGCTCAGAACCCTGGGGTAGATGCCCAGAAGGTCACGGCCGCTTCCTCGGGCGGTGAGGGCTACAATGCTGCAAGTTCAGCGTGCACAGAGACCAGGCTCCCTGAGGGGACCCAGTGCTGGTGCACTCCCCATCAATTCCCTCTCAGAGACCCGCAGGGGGTAGAGGAGCCAGCAGTGATGGGAGGGGCACGGGAGAATGCGGGAAGAGCCCAAGAATCATCCCAGAGAAGACCAGGCTCCCAGGAGTGCACAGAGGGACAGGAGAGACCCGGGAGAGGCAGCACAGGGACGCCCCTGTGGAAAGGGGACCCACACCCACCGCCGTCAGACACTGTGTGCATCTTAGCCCAGAGAGGCCGCCCAGCACCGAGCCTGGGGCCGGCCGAGCTGAGCCCTGCCAGGGTCCCCTGCTCCTGTGGGTTGTTCCCGGCAGGTGACGCCCTGTTCCTCTTCTCCCGCAGCCATCGGCCATGGCCGCCCTGCTTCGCCCACGCGCTCAGCTTCCACCTCCTCCAGCCAGGCTGGCACCCTCTCCAACACCTCTCCACCCAGCAGGACCAGGACACAGATCCAGATGTGCAACGGCCAAAGAGGGGCTGGGGCGCGGGCGAAGCCACATGCAGCCCAGTGGCACCTGTGCTGAGAGTCTGCAGAGGTGACAGCATGGAGGACACCTCGCTCCGTCAGGGCCTGGACAGCCACCCCACGGATGAGCCTTTCTCCAGTGAAAACACCCGGCTTGGCAACTCCAGGTGGCCCAGGACGGGCAGCCTCCCTCCCAGCCCACTGGGGCTTGGCAAGCAGTGTAGACACCAGGAGTGATGGCCTTGACTTTCTGTTCCCAGGGGACCACAGTCACACACACACACACACACACACACACACAAAATGATACTTTTGTTAACCTGTTGGTTGCCTTTTCTGTTCTATTTTTTTTAAATGATTTATTTGACACAGAGGTTTTAAATCGGCTGGTCCATGCAACAGATGGACCCAATGGCCAGGGCTGGGTCCGGCCAGAGCCAGGAGCCAGACTCCATCTGGATCTCCAACATGAGTGTCAGGGACCTGCCAGCCTGGGTCATGTGCTGCTGCCTTTCAGGGGCATTAGCAGGGAGCTGGAAGGATACGGAGGGGCCAGGACTCTAACCAGCACTCCTATGGGATGCTGGTATCAGAGGCGGAGGCTTAACTGCTGCACCACAGGGCTGTCCACTGTCACTGGAGTTTTTAAAAGAATCCTCATCTGTGTGTAAAATTCAATCTAAGAAAAAAAGTCCTTGTGCTCCTGGGACCACGTGACCCTCGAGTCAAAGCCTGATCTGGGAGGGGACCCTGCCCTCGGGGCTGATTCTGTGCCCCCTCCCCCGCCCCTGGCGCTCAGCGGTTCTGCAGCCATCGGGTGGCCAGACCCACAGAGGGACTGTCAGAGACACCCATCCAAGTGACTGGACCACAGGTGACTTTGCCTGGGACACTGGCAACGGCCTCAGAGCCTGCAGAGAGGAGGAGAGGCAGTGCTGGCCGTGCACCTGCACACGCCTGCTGCCTGCCCTGCCCGTCCTTAGCCTCTCCTTGGGAATAGAAAATGAGGCAGAGATGACAAGAAAATGGAAAAGGGCCTGGACCCGGGCACCGGGAATTCAAGGGACCCTGCCCTCCTCCTGCGGATTCTCAGGTGTGGAGATGCTGGTAGGGCTCAGGGAGCTGGGGAGGGGTCTGCACAGTGCCTGTGGGCCACACCCTCTTCCCAGGCTGCTCCTGTGTTCTTGTATGTCAGGTCAGTCTCAGCCCTGAGGGAGGCTTGGAATGCCTCTCACCTGGAGCTGCCTCTCACACAGCACTGCCTCTCCCACCTGTGCTGCCTCCCACCTGTGCTGCCTCTCATCCAGAGCTGCCTCCCATCCCGAGCTGCCTCTCACCCTGGACTGCCCCTCACTTGGAGCTGCCCCTCTCCGGCACTGCCTCTCACCTGGGCAGGACAGGACATGGCAGACACCTGGACGGAACTGGCGCCCTCCAGTTTGCTACGGAAACTTCTGCCCAGCGCTCTCCCCACTGCGGCAGCCTGCTCTTATTGCCCTCATCCTGACTCTGGGAGAACAGGGACGTGGACACGGCCCCTGCAGTCCTTAGCGCTCTCACCTGGGAGCCTCCCTCCCTGAGTGGGGAGGTGAGCCGAGGTGAGAGCAGGCAGGGGCTTTGAGAAGAAGTCACAGGAGCCAGGAGTCGCCAGCGAGGGGAGCGCTGTGCCTGTGCGCACAGCCAGTCGGGCCGCCTGCCTGCTGTGAGATCTCGGCAGCATCCTGGAGGGCTCTGTGCCTTCGTTCTCTCTGCTTGATGGTGAGCATGGGGGCACCTGCTCCACGGGTGGGCTGGGGGCGCCCACGGAGCCCTGTGCCACAGAACCTGTGCCGTAGAACCGGGCAGGTGCTCTGGCTGGGAGTGAGAGCCGCCGTTGGTGTGGTTTCTCGGTTGTGATTTCGTCATGGGCAGCAAAAATGAACAGATGTGATTTGAGGAGAGGAAGACTCATCTCCGAACCCAAGTTCAGCGCTGAGCCCGTCCATTACAAAGGAAGTGTTTATGGTGGTGACCGCAGTCGTGGTATTTTCGTGGCCGATGAGTGGTTAAAGCCACTGAAGTTGGGTTTGAGGCTCGCTCTCTGGAAGGTTTTGGGGACCAGACTATGCTGGAAATGGTATCACACGCTTGGGTCTTTGTCATATTTCCTGTGCTGGGCAGTGCCTCTGAGGCCAGTCCTCTTTAATTCCAGTTGTCTTTTTGGGCTCCGTTGCTGCCTCCCAGGGTCGTGCCTGCCCTGGCGGCCCCGGCTGCTCTCGGCCTGTCCTCCTGTTCAGGACCCTGCTTCTTTGGATGAGCCGGACCAGTGTTTCCCAAAAGGCTCTTGCTGGGTTATTTCCTAAAAAGTATCCTAGAATATTCCTACACATTCTTGGAGTTTTGCAGTGATGTTGTTGAACTTCACTCCATTCATTCTTGACTGCCTTGATGTTGTCCCCTTGCCGATGATTTTTTGACCCAAAAGTAAACACTGTGTCGTTTGAGGCTCCCTTTAAACTGCCAGTCCTGGGGAACCTCCAGTCCTCAGGCAGCGTGGCCACCCCAGTCCAACTTTGTCCTGCCTTTCGTTTCTAGACTCAGAGGGAAGCCTTCCTCCTCTTTAGGTCCTGTGGGGTCACCCGAGCGGAAGCTCTCTCGGGCTCCAACCTCCATTGATGTGCTTCGATGTATTTGGATGATTTGAGCGCCTCAATGACTTACTCCCATTCCTTCCTTCTCGGTGCCTTCAATCACTGTGACCGTCAGCACAGCTCCACAGAGCGGCCCGGGGACCTCATCCTCTTCCTGTTGATCGTCCTGCCTTCCGCAGCTTTCCACGGAGGCACTGTCCTGCCAACTTCCTCTTCCCCGTGGGTTTTCATCCTCTTGAAGTAGTCACTCCTCCAGACCCTGGTCACCCAGCAATAGTTGCAAGACTTCACGTACATTCTGCAGAGCAGCCTCTCTGCACCTAAGCCACTTTTCTGCCTGGCCTGGGGGCCTGGCCACCAAGATCTTCGTGCTCTCTCGGGCACTGCCTGGCCAGCAGCCGGCCCTGCTCTGCTTGGATCAGGGAGACCTTTGCACTCATCCTTCCCTTTGTGACTCGCAATGGACGTTTCACTGAGCTGCTGCACAAACATCTGGAATGTTCTCAGACTTTTCTCCCCTCTGATCTGCCTCTCTCCATCGGCCTGCCTGTTTTTCTCTGCAGACAAGGAAATGTCCCACACTCCAGAGCTTCTAAAAAAATAAAATAAAAAAGGAATTGGACTCCACGAGGGTGGTCATCTGGAGACCACTGAGAGGAGTGGAAGCCCTTGGATCTGGGGCTTGGCCACACAGCTGCCTCCCGGGGGCTCCCCGGTGTCCAGGACTCCCCGTGAGCCGTGGCTAGGAAGGCGCCCAAGCAGAGCTGTCAGAGCTGCCACTTCCAAGGTGCTGCCCCGGGCTCCTGGCCTGAGGTTTCCATGGTGATGGTAACTAAGCAGGCGCCCCTGTGGCCTGTCTCCTCTCAACCCGTTCCGTGCTAGATGTCCAAATGCGACAGACAGATCCCAGGGCAAGTGGGGCCCGAAGGTGAGGGCTCCGGACTCTTAGAGAGGAGGCACAGGAGTCACACAGGGCCCGGGCCTCTGGGACCTTGCCGTCAGGGGTCCACCCCTGGGAGCTGGCTCAGTGCCTGGGGAAAGGGGTGCAAGTCCACACTGGGGAACAGGGGTGCAGTGTGATCTGGAGAATGCTGGTGTTCATGCGGCCCCTCAGGGAGGAGGGGATAGGGTGCTGGAAGCTTCTCTGTGAACAAGGCAGACACCCAGATGACTGTGGGCTCTCCCCAGCACTGGGGGTGTTTGAGCAGAGGCCCAGCCCTGCTGCAGGGGGACTTAGGAATTTTTAATAAATTTTGTTTTCTTCTTTTACAGTTAGTATCTCTCTTTTAAGAGATTCACATGGGTAGGTGCCAGTACTGCGTATGTTATTGTGTAATTACATGTAATTATCGTATAATTAATTTAACTGCAATGAAACATTTCTTAATAATGAGATGTATGTAACAATGTACAGAGGGTACTGTTAAATCCCAATGTACGTACTTGGTAGCTTCAGAAAGATAGCACTGTAATTTACTCTGTGGTCTTTTGTGTGTCCCTCAGTATTCACATCCCTCCCCTTACCTCTTGGGTAGCTACTATCCTGAAAATAATGTTATCACTTACTGCCTTGTCTTTATAGTTTTGTGAAAATTTTGTGGGCAAAAAAAAAAATCCATTTATCAGTTTTACATATCCTTGAGCCTAGTACCTGTAAATATACTTTGTAGTCAGATACTGGCCAGTGTCGTCCTATAACTCTCTCCAAAGCTCAGTAATATAGAACAGGAAGCAGCTCCTCCTCATTCATGTGCTTATAGTTGATTTGGTTGGGTCAGCCTGGGTCAGCTGGTTGGTGGTTGGGATCCAAGTCTGCTCTAGGTAGTACCCATTCTCCTAGGACCAGTGGTTTCCTGAGGCAGTCTCTTCACAAAGCAAAAGCCAGGAGCACATGAGAGCAGGCCCAGCCACCAAGTGTATTCTAAGCGTTGGCTTGTGCCAGGCCCACCAGCACCCCCGTGGCTTGGAATTGCAAGGTAGAGATTTCACCTCTGCCTGCCACGAGGATTTGAGAAAGGTGTGGATGTGGAACAACACAGGTGGGTCACAAATGGGGGTTGTAATTCAGTCTACCACAATATCACGAAGCAATCTGTTCAATGATTTCTTCTAAATGTATTTTGTTCATTTGAACTCGTGCATCGTATTCCAGTGTAATGACTGGAATTTATTTTCCCATACTTCTTTCCGTGGATAACGGAGTTTTGCCAATATAATGCTGCTTTGAACAAACTTGCGTGTGTCACCTGGAGCAGCTGTGTGAGAATTGCTCAAGATTAAATTACTGTAGAGCAAAATTATCCAAAACTTGGAAATAAAGCGAAAAGTTCACCACGAAGTCTTTAAATGGCATTTAAAGAGCACCTTCATTAAGCCTTCTGAGAATCATCTCTCTCAAGGATATAACTTTGTCGACTTTTTAATGACTAAAATTAAGCTCTATAAAGTCTTTTTTTTCCTTAGTAGTTCTTTATGAAAGTTTTTTATGAAAAATCTCTACAATGAAAATTGCAAGGCATTAAAGAGAAGACACTAAAAAATGGGAAAATCTTCCACGTTCAGAATCGGAAGAATTAATATCTTCAAAATGTCCACATTACCCAAAATAATTTACAGATTCTGTGCAGTCCCATCATCTGACATTCTTCTCAGATTTTTTTTTTTTTTCATGTTGAACATGACCTCCTTTCTTCTGGAAATTACATCCAAAGATTTACTCGGTGCATTTGAGCTAATAGGTGGAAGGACTCTTGGAACCTTAATGTTTTCGCTCAAGGAGCCTCTCTGTGCAGGCCAGCTGCACCAGTTGAACGGAACCTGAAGGGGGGCGTGGGAATGAAAAGAGGGACAAGGGCACAGAGAATGGAGCCAAGACAAAAGTCTGATCAAGGCTCGTTTATTCCAGTATCTCAGAGATATTTATACATAACCAGCTGCAGCTCAAGGCAACACAGAAGTTAACAACATACGCAACCAACTTATCGGGCTTTCTGCAACACAGTCATAACATAGTTAATTTTAACAGAGTGCATCTTCCTTCAACATGGGAGTTCGTGACTTTCTCATCCCAGCAATTCCACAAGCCAAGATTGACCTTGACCTGTCTATGACTTGTCTATGGGCTGCATACACCTCTCCACAGCACGAATCATACACAAACAAATGGGGATTCAAGAATGAAATTTTTGGGGTGTAGTGGGTTAAGCTACCCAGCCTGCAACGTCGGCAAACCATATGGAGGCCGGTTCATGTCCTGGCTGCTCCACTTCCAATCCAACTCCCTAATAATGGCCTGGGAAAGCAGCAGAAGATGGCCAAGTGCTTGGGCCCCTGCACCCACGTGAGACCCAGAGGAAGCTGCTGGCTCCTGGCTTTAGCCTGGCCCAGCCCTGGCCATTGGTGGCTATTTGGAGGAGTGAACCAGTGAAGGGAAGATCCCTCTTTCTCCCTGTAACTCTGACTTTAAAATAAATAAAAATCTTTCTAAAAATGCAACTTCTTATCTGCTGTGTCGTGGGTGTGGGGCTTGGGTAAGTGGGAGGAACTACATGAGTGGTGGAAGTGGGCAGAGAAGGGAGTTCAAGTCAGAGAGGCACGGGCATCCACCAAGAAGTTCTAGACTCAGGCTCAGATTCCCCAGGAAGGCTGCACTCATGACAACGGTCCCTCTTCTCTGAAATGGCCTCTGTGTTCACCCCTTGGCCCCAGCTTTGCCACATGCTGTCTCCTGACAGAGCCAGGTGCTTCCCTCTCTGTCTCCCCGGGAACTGTGAGCTCCCTAAGAAAAGGAGCAGACTCTGACCTTTGTCTCTCCTCCTCAGCGTCCGCCCACAGAAGGCACTAGAAGGCAACTGGATTTGCAGATGTTGGGCTGGCGAATGATTTCAGAGGTATCGCAGGGGACAAGAACGACTTTGCTGGATAGGCTTCCAGTTGTACTTCTGGCAAGGAGTTCTTGGGGATTCCTGGCGTGGGCAGCACTACGGAAGGTGAAGTTCCCCAGGCAGCAGCAGACCACGAACCCCCAACCCCGTCTAGGGTGTTAGTGCCACTTCCTGGTGTGAGGTATAATGGTGCAAGTCTGTTTAAAATTTGTACGTATTTTTTTTAAAATATTTATTGACTTTGAAAGTCAAGATACAGAGAGAGGAGAGACAGAGAGACATTCCATCTGCTGTTTCACTCCCCAGATGGTCTCAACGGCAGGGGCAGGGGCAGGGGCAGGCTGAAGTCAGGAGCCAGGAGCTTCATCCAGGTCTCCCACATGGGTAGCAGGGGCCCAAATACTTGGGCCATCTTCTGCTGCTTTTCCCAGACACATTAGCAGGGAGCTGCATCAGAAGTGGAGCAGCCAAGACATGAACTGGTACCCACATGGGATCCAGGTATCTCAGGCGATGGTTTGACCTGCTATGCCACAATGCCAGCCCCAAACCTTTTTTAAAAAGATGTATTTATTTACTGTCAAGATAATGGCAAAATGAGAGATAGAGATAGAGGCAACAGAGAGAGAGCGCGTGCGCTTCCATGTGCTGTTCCATTCCCCCAGTGCCTACAAAAGATGGGCCTGGGCCAGACTGAAGCCAGAGGCCAGGAACTCCATCCTGGTCTCCCATGTGGATGACAGGGACCCAAGAACTCGAGCCACCGTCCTCTGGTCCCCAGCACATTCACAGAAGCACAGAATAGTAGGGCCTCAAGTCAGGCACTCTGATACAGAATGTGGACATCTGAAGCAGAGGCTTAGCCTGCTTAGCCCACAGCCCCAGCCCCTGACAGTGCAATGCTTGAAGGCTGTACCGGACCTGGGGTGAGGGAGCATCCCCAGGGTAAGCAGTGTCGGCGGACAGGGTCACACGGCTCTGAGGTCTCTCTTCCAACCTAGTGCCACCTCCCAGCAAGGATTTGCAGAGCACAGCCGTCATGGTGCTCTGGAGTCTACTCTCCGTGACATGTGTTGCCTGAGCCCCTCCCTCAGTGTTAACCCTGCTATGCGACTATCCATTTTCACCGCGACAGGCCACGATTCTCACCTGCACTGGGGTCCGGGAAGCCCCATCCCCACCACGATCACCTCAATTGGAAAGCAGCCTGGTGTTACCTTAATAACCACATCTGGCTGAAGATGAAAATAGGCAGTGTTCCTCCGGCATCAGGGTGAGGACTTGAGCCTGGGAGACAGCCTATAGCGGACCACTCCCTCATCGTTTGGTGGGGACTCGGGTCCCTTCTGCACTGCCGGGTTTCTCTCCACGAAGGGGAGAGTGTTACCTTGTGACATGTGACAAGCTGAGTAACTGACCACAAGGGGGTGCCTTGCATCACCTCCTGCTGTCCTCTGTACCCACACAGGAGCAGGCAGCCCAGGGCTGATCAAGTTATTTTCCTACTTTCTGGCTGGCTGGTGCAGATGTCCCTCAGTCTGGAGGCGAAGCATCCTGTTGAAGTTGCTGTATGGATCCGTTCTGCGTCGTTTGTTTTTTTGATCAAAGAAAATGTTTGTCTATTTTATTTTAAAAGCACCGTGGTAGAGGGAGAGGGAGGAAAAGTGTTTGAGATTCGTTCCCCAAATGCCTGCAACAGCCAGGGCTCGGCCAGGACCAAGCCAGGAGCCCAGAACTCCATAGGGGTGTCTCACGGGAGTGGCAGGGGCCCAAGCACTTGAGCCCTCACCTGCTGCCTCCCAGGGTGCACATTAGCACGTGGCTGGGTCTGGAGCAGAGGTGCCACTGTTTCTCAGGCACTCGGCTTCACCAACAGTGCCTGCCTTGGGGATTTTATTTGGGTCACACTGGTGACCCCAGGCAGCTAGGGACACGTAGGAACCCATCAACAAAGACAGGAGAAGTTTTACAGAAGTCCAAAAAGAGGACAGACGAGATGGGGGAGGCAGGAGGGTGGACAGCACGAGGCCCTAGCTGGCGAGGAGCGGCTGCTGAGCCTTCGCAGGGGGCCGGGACGGGATCGTGGGGTCCCAGTCTGAGCTGGTCCCCCTTGCCCTCGCCCCAAGGCGAGCACAGATAGTATGGTAGGCGAGCGGAACCCGGGGAACCACGGGAGGCCGCGCTAAGCAGGGCTGAGGAGGCCGAGCCGAGAAGAGGGGTCGGAGTCCTGGTCACAAGAGAGATGAGAAGGAAGGCGATGGTGGTGGGAGCGGAGTCGGGCCAGTCTCTCTTGGCTGGGCTCAGGTCTCCCTCAAGTCCGCTTGGCTGGGGAGGAGGGGTCACAATGGAATCTTCGTGACGTCACTGAACCCCACCTGCACTCCTCCCAGTGAGCCCCTCCTCCCCAGCTGACTGAACTGCGCAGGGACACTCCCGTGTGACGGGAAGACAGGGGGAGACTGAGCAAGACGCGGGGAGCCGTCCGCCCTGGATGCCCGGGTCCCCCGCGGGGCTGCCGAGAGGCACCGGGGCCAGGAGCCGTGGCTGAGAAAGGCCCCCAGGGACCACCCCAGCACCGGCACCAGGAACACACAGAAAGCCCGAGAAGACCTGGCTGGAGGGGATGTCCCAAAGGGACCAGGTGAGTGGGGCCTGAGCCTCCTGGATGTGGGGTTCAGGCGCTGGGTAAGGGGCAAGAAAGATGTTTTCCATTTGTTAAAAATTCACTATTAATTTGAGAGGTGGTCCATTTGCTGGTTATTCCCCCCAAAACCCACCACAGCCAGGGCTGGGCCAAAATCCAGGAGCCAGAAATTCAATCCAGGTCTCCCATGTGGGTGGCTGGGAGGCAAGTTCTTGGGCCATCACCCACTGCCTCCCAGGGTGAGCATTAGCGGGAAGCTGGGTCTGCAGGAGGAGGTGGGACTTGAACTCAGGCGCCCCCATGTGGCTTAACCTGCCACACCACGACACCCACCCTCCCATTTACATGTAAGTTATCCATCCGCATGGAACAAACGGATGAACTAACTCGAGAGGACTCTCGAAGGCCTTGGGCAAGGAGGGGGGTGGTGTGCCCTGAGTGGTCTGGGGGGTTCCAGAGGCAGAAGGGACAAGAGGGGATCAAAAGCCTCTTCCATCCCCCGGTCCCCCAGGCCACCCGGAATGTTAGCTGTGACTGTGCCTGTCACAGTAGCCCGCGCTGACGCATTCCAACACAGAGCAGCCCCACAGCGCAGTTTTGTGACAGTGACTTTGGCTGGGTCACATGACCTGCTCAGGTCACTGGGAATAGCAGACACCACATGGTGGCCAAGATGTGCTTGCACGTTTCGTCTTGTTCTCAAGTGCTTGGGCCCCTGCCACCCAAGTGGGAGACCCGGATGTCTCTCCCCCTCTCCCCGTAACTCTGTCTTTCAAATAGATGAATAAATCTAGAAAAAAATGGCCTTTTAAAAAGTATTCAGAATATTTTATTTTTCTTAGAATATTTAAAGCCGACACAGATCATCTACTTGACTTCAAAATTGTAACTATGCGAGTTACACCATCTCCAGCAGTTCTTTCCCGAGGACACATTTGCACGATTCTTCAAAACAGCACTGTTGTCCTTAGCAAAATCTAGGAACCGCTCAAGTGTTTGCTAGGAGCGGCCCTTGCAGTACAGTACCGAAGGAGACCACAGCAGACTATGGCACCTTCTCCTAAGATGGCTTCCTATGCAGCACTGCTGAGTGACAGCTACAGATCCTAGGACGCAGTGGCTCAAGGACAGGCAAGATTACTGGATGGTGGACGTGCACCACGAAATGTGGTAAAGCTATGAAGGAAAGCAGGTGTCCAGTAGCACAAGGTTCAGGTAACGGTTATCCTAAGCCGGGGGGGAATGTTTGGGGATGCACACACATACACACACAGAAGCCCTCAAGGACAGTCAGTGCTTGTGGACATATTGCTCTTTGTTTTACTAGGATTCATTATAGCTAATGTATATATGCAGAATACCTCATGTATACTGTACATCTCATTTTTTTTCAGATGGGTAAAAAAAGCCACACCCAAATTCTCGACATACAATAAAGTATATTAAGGGCTTGGCACGCATCTCCCGCAAAAACTTAATACAGGTAAACTAAACTCCCTCAAATGATCAGTCACCGAGGAAAGCTGAGCCCCTGACCCAATCAAAGATGCACCTAGAAAGAACACAGGAAAAGGAAAAATAAAATCAAGTGGCTAAAATCCACTCATTTAAAAAGAAAACCATTCTAAAACAAGGCCTATGAAAACTATGAGCAAATCTTTTCAATTAGCTGTTAACAAAAACTTCGTGAAGCAGTCACTTCTAAAAGCAGGAAGCAGAAGTACATTACGAATGACTGGGTGAGAAGTATCAGGGGTCAACAATGAGAGACCAAGAGAGCAACAGATTATGAAAACCACAAAGCACATCCCTTTTGTCTGCGGACAGACAGGAAGACAATAAAGAGAAATCCCTCGCTCTGAGCCCTGTGTGAACGCACAGTGGTGTTTTTTAACAAATCACAAAGCCCACCTTATCCTAACCCGTCCTGGTGCTTAGGTACCTTGGGCACCATTCCTGCAGCAGGGCTGGGCCTCTGCTCAAACACCCCCAGTGCTGGGGAGAGCCCGCAGTCATCTGGGTGTCTGCCTTGTTCACAGAGAAGCTTCCAGCACCCTACCCCACCCCGCCCCGCCCCCGGGGGCCACATGAACACCAGCATTCTCCAGATCACACTGCACTCCTGTTCCCCAGTGTGGACTTGCACCCCTTTCCCCAGGCACTGAGCCAGCTCCCAGGGGTGGACCCCTGACGGCAAGGCCCCAGAGGCCCGGGCCCTGTGTGACTCCTGTGCCTCCTCTCTAAGAGTCCGGAGCCCTCACCTTCAGGCCCCACTTGCCCTGGGATCTGTCTGTCGCATTTGGACATCTAGCACGGAACGGGTTGAGAGGAGACAGGCCGCAGGGGCGCCTGCTTAGTTACCATCACCATGGAAACCTCAGGCCAGGAGCCCGGGGCAGCACCTTGGAAGTGGCAGCTCTGACAGCTCTGCTCGGGCGCCTTCCTAGCCACGGCTCACGGGGAGTCTTGGACACCGGGGAGCCCCCGGGAGGCAGCTGTGTGGCCGAGCCCCAGATCCAAGGGCTTCCTCCCCTCTCAGTGGTCTCCAGATGACCACCCTCGTGGAGTCCAATTCCTTTTTTTTTTTTTTTAGAAGCTCTGGAGTGTGGGACATTTCCTTGTCTGCAGAGAAAAACAGGCAGGCCGATGGAGAGAGGCAGATCAGAGGGGAGAAAAGTCTGAGAACATTCCAGATGTTTGTGCAGCAGCTCAGTGAAACGTCCATTGCGAGTCACAAGGGGAAGGATGAGTGCAAAGGTCTCCCTGATCCAAGCAGAGCAGGGCCGGCTGTTGGCCAGGCAGTGCCCGAGAGAGCACGAAGATCTTGGTGGCCAGGCCCCCAGGCCAGGCAGAAAAGTGGCTTAGGTGCAGCGAGGCGGCTCTGCAGAATGTACGTGAAGTCTTGCAACTATTGCTGGGTGACCAGGGTCTGGAGGAGTGACTACTTCAAGAGGATGAAAACCCACGGGGAAGAGGAAGTTGGCAGGACAGTGCCTCCGTGGAAAGCTGCGGAAGGCAGGACGATCAACAGGAAGAGGATGAGGTCCCCGGGCCGCTCTGTGGAGCTGTGCTGACGGTCACAGTGATTGAAGACACCGAGAAGGAAGGAATGGGAGTAAGTCATTGAGGCGCTCAAATCATCAAAATACATCGAAGCACATCATTGGAGGTTAGAGCCCGAGAGAGCTTCCGCTCGGGTGACCCCACAGGACCTAAAGAGGAGGAAGGCTTCCCTCTGAGTCTAGAAACGAAAGGCAGGACAAAGTTGGACTGGGGTGGCCACACTGCCTGAGGCCTGGAGGTTCCCCAGGACTGGCAGTTTAAAGGGAGCCTCAAATGACACAGTGTTTACTTTTGGGTCAAAAAATCATCGGCAAGGGGACAACATCAAGGCAGTCAAGAATGAATGGAGTGAAGTTCAACAACATCACTGCAAAACTCCAAGGATGTGTAGGAATATTCTAGGATACTTTTTAGGAAATAACCCAGCAAGAGCCTTTTGGGAAACACTGGTCCGGCTCATCCAAAGAAGCAGGGTCCTGAACAGGAGGACAGGCCGAGAGCAGCCGGGGCCGCCAGGGCAGGCACCACCCTGGGAAGCGGCAACGGAGCCCAAAAAGACAACTGGAATTAAAGAGGACTGGCCTCAGAGGCACTGCCCAGCACAGGAAATATGACAAAGACCCAAGCGTGTGATACCATTTCCAGCATAGTCTGGTCCCCAAAACCTTCCAGAGAGCGAGCCTCAAACCCAACTTCAGTGGCTTTAACCACTCATCGGCCACGAAAATACCACGACTGCGGTCACCACCATAAACACTTCCTTTGTAATGGACGGGCTCAGCGCTGAACTTGGGTTCGGAGATGAGTCTTCCTCTCCTCAAATCACATCTGTTCATTTTTGCTGCCCATGACGAAATCACAACCGAGAAACCACACCAACGGTGGCTCTCACTCCCAGCCAGAGCACCTGCCCGGTTCTACGGCACAGGTTCTGTGGCACAGGGCTCCGTGGGCGCCCCCAGCCCACCCGTGGAGCAGGTGCCCCCATGCTCACCATCAAGCAGAGAGAACGAAGGCACAGAGCCCTTCAGGATGCTGCCGAGATCTCACAGCAGGCAGGCGGCCCGACTGGCTGTGCGCACAGGCACAGCGCTCCCCTTGCTGGGGACTCCTGGCTCCTGTGACTTCTTCTCAAAGCCCCTGCCTACTCTCACCTCGGCTCACCTCCCCACTCAGGGAGGGAGGCTCCCAGGTGAGAGTGCTAAGTCCTGCAGGGGCCGTGTCCACGTCCCTGTTCTCCCAGAGTCAGGATGAGGGCAATAAGAGCAGGCTGCCGCAGTGGGGAGAGCGCTGGGCAGAAGTTTCCGTAGCAAACTGGAGGGCGCCAGTTCCGTCCAGGTGTCTGCCATGTCCTGTCCTGCCCAGGTGAGAGGCAGTGCCGGAGAGGGGCAGCTCCAAGTGAGGGGCAGTCCAGGGTGAGAGGCAGCTCGGGATGGGAGGCAGCTCTGGATGAGAGGCAGCACGGGTGGGAGGCAGCACAGGTGAGAGAGGCAGTGCTATGTGAGAGGCAGCTCCAGGTGAGAGGCAGCACAGGTGGGAGGCAGCTCTGGATGAGAGGCAGCACAGGTGAGAGGCAGCACAGGTGGGAGGCAGCACAGGTGAGAGGCAGCTCCAGGTGAGAGGCATTCCAAGCCTCCCTCAGGGCAGGTGCGTGGCCCACAGGGGCTGTGCAGACCCCTCCCCAGCTCCCTGAGCCCTACCAGCATCTCCACACCTGAGAATCCGCAGGAGGAGGGCAGGGCCCCTTGACTTCCCGGTGCCCGGGTCAAGGCCCTTTTCCATTTTCTTGGTCTTCTCTGCCTCATTTTCTATTCCCAAGGAGAGGCTAAGGACGGGCAGGGCAGGCAGCAGGCGTGTGCAGGTGCACGGCCAGCACTGCCTCTCCTCCTCTCTGCAGGCTCCGAGGCCGTTGCCAGTGTCCCAGGCAAAGTCACCTGTGGTCCAGTCACTTGGATGGGTGTCTCTGACAGTCCCTCTGTGGGTCTGGCCACCCGATGGCTGCAGAACCGCTGAGCGCCAGGGGAGGGGAGGGGGCACAGAATCAGCCCCGAGGGCAGGGTCCCCTCCAGATCAGGCTTTGACTCGAGGGTCACGTGGTCCCAGGAGCACAAGGACTTTTTTTCTTAGATTGTATTTTACACACAGATAAGGATTCTTTTAAAAACTCCAGTGACAGTGGACAGCCCTGTGGTGCAGCAGTTAAGCCTCCGCCTCTGATACCAGCATCCCATAGGAGTGCTGGTTAGAGTCCCGGCCCCTCCGTGTCCTTCCAGCTCCCTGCTAATGCCCCTGAAAGGCAGCAGCACATGACCCGGGCTGGCAGGTCCCTGACACTCATGTTGGAGATCCAGATGGAGTCTGGCTCCTGGCTTTGGCCGGACCCAGCCCTGGCCATTGGGTCCATTTGTTGCATGGACCAGCCGATTTAAAACCTCTGTGTCAAATAAATCTTTTGTAAAAATAGAATGGAAAAGGCAACCAACAGGTTAACAAAAGTATCATTTTGTGTGTGTGTGTGTGTGTGTGTGTGTGTGACTGTGGTCCCCTGGGAACAGAAAGTCAAGGCCATCACTCCTGGTGTCTACACTGCTTGCTGAGCCCCAGTAGGCTGGGAGGGAAGCTGCCCGTCTTGGGCCACCTAGAGTTGACAAGCCGGGTGTTTTCACTGGAGAAAGGCTCATCCGTGGCATGGCTGTCCAGGCCCTGATGGAGGTGTCCTCCATCCTGTCACCTCTGCAGACTCTCAGCTCAGGTGCCGCTGGGCTGCATGTGGCTTCGCCCGCGCCCCAGCCCCTCTTTGGCCGTTGCACATCTGGATCTGTGTCCTGGTCCTGCTGGGTGGAGAGGTGTTGGAGAGGGTGCCAGCCTGGCTGGAGGAGGTGGCAGCTGAGCGGGTGGGCGAAGCAGGGCGGCCATGGCCGATGGCTGCGGGAGAAGAGGAACAGGGCGTCACCTGCCGGGAAGCACCCACAGGAGCAGGGCACCCTGGCAGGGCTCAGCTCGGCCGGCCCCAGGCTCGGTGCTGGGCGGCCTCTCTGGTCTAAGATGCACACAGTGTCTGACGGCGGTGGGTGTGGGTCCCCTTTCCACAGGGGCGTCCCTGTCCTGCCTCTCCCGGGTCTCTCCTGTCCCTGTGTGCGCTCCTGGGGGCCTGGTCTTCTCTGGGATGATTCTTGGGCTCTTCCCGCCCTCTCCCGTGCCCCTCCCATCACTGCTGGCTCCTCTGCCCTCTGCGGGTCTCTGAGAGGGAATTGATGGGGAGCACACCAGCACCGGGTCCCTTCAGGGAGCCTGGCGTCTGTGCAGGACTTCCTGGTATGTGTCTCTGCACAATGAACTTGCAGCATTGTAGCCCTCACCGCCCAAGGAAATAGCCGTGACCTTCTGGGCATCTACCCCGGGGTGCTGAGCTGCAGCCGAGGACCCCGCAGCAGAGCCCACCGACCTGTTCTCAGTGGCTGATCCCAGACATGGGTACCAGCACCAGGGCTGCAGCCGGACCCCTGGAGACAGGGCACACTTGCCTGGGTGTGGCCTTTCACCCAAAACCAATAGTTAGCATGTGATTGGTGTAAGATGAGTCTATTCATGTTCTATTTGGAATCATCTTCTTTCACGGGTGAGTTCATCTCTCCTCTCCTGGTTGAATAGTAACTGGAACTCTTCTGCAGGCCCACGAGTTCTGTGCCCGCCGTGCCTGTGGTGCTTCCTGCCAGGAAGACTGTCTGTCCCCGGGCTCCCAGCTGTCCCATCTGTCACGTGGGACCTCCCTGCCCACAGGGCAGGGCCCAGCATCTCCATGTCCAGGGATGGCTCCCAGGTCAGCCTGACCGGCATGCATCCGCCATGCTAAGTGGATGTTGCTGGCTTGGGTTCGTCCCGTCACCTGCCCACAGTGATGGGAGCTGCCTGCATACCAGGCGTGCCCCATGTATGAGCAATAATTCTAAATTCTCCATCTCTTCCCAGGTGGCAGGTGCTGCTTGCCATCGGCCCTGTTTCAAAGACTTCCGGGATAGGTGAACACAGAGAAGTGACCTAAGTGCCCAAGGTCCCCAAGCTGATGCACTGGGAAACTGGTGTCAATCAGAGCCAATTTCCCAATACCACGTGGCCTTGCCTTCCTCGTGGAGCCGTCTCCAGGGCAGGGCGAGATCCTCCAGGTCCCATCTTAACCATGGATCCATTACACGGCTGTGTGGTGGGTGGAACTTGCCAACAGGCTGAGCGTGCACAGCGAGGCCGGAGTGTTCACTCCCCTTCAGCCCTGTCCACGGGCACCTATGCTTAACCCAGCGTTCACCTTGATCCCAGGGCGCTGGCGCTGAAGGGAGGAGTTTCCCACCACAAACACCCATTGAGTCAGGTTTGCTTCCACTCGAAAGGACCAACAGAACTGGGTTTTCCCTATTACGTGTCTCTGGTCTCCCAAACAGAGGTGATTCTCCCTGACAGCCCAGATGGGGGACAAGAAGCCAGCCCAGGTGCAGCCTGCACATCAGTGGTCCCTGACTCCCGGAGGCCACGGGAGGAAGCATCAGGGCCCTCTGGGCGTCCAGCCCACGTCCAGGAAACCCTGACTCAGGAGGAGGGGGCGCTTCCACTCCCCCAGGAGCTGCCCCATCAGGAGGATGACGCTGGGCTGCTCAGAAAGGGGCTGTCCCTGCGTCCCTGTGAGCCCCGGGTGGGCGGGGCCGGTCCTGGGGTTTCAGGTGGGGAAGCAGAGGCAGCAGAGGTGGCCTCCCTGGCCCGGGGTGGCCTTGTGCTAAGGGAGAGCTTGATGTGCCCCGTGTGTGCTGTCGTCCTTGCAGCCCACTCTGCCCAGGGCCCATCCTGGGGGACAGCAGGGCGAGGGCCCTCGAGGCACCGTCACCCGCACCACCGGAAGGAATCAGGCCCAACCAAAGTCAGGGTTCAGACCGCGATCCCCACCATCAGCCTCGGTGGGCGACACCCTCATGGCCCCCTCCCCTCCTGACAGCTCTGATCCCAGGAGCTGCCCTGTGCCCTGAGCGCCTCCCCCTGCCTCTTCTCATCCCTGCCCCGCCCCAGTCTGCCCCACAGGGGGCAGTCACACTCAGGAGGCCCAGCCCCAGGACACAGCCTGCTGTGGAGGGCCCATCCTGCCTGGAGCCTACCGTGCAGCCTTGATGGGGCCTGTCCCTATCCACCGAGGTTCCTCTGTCGTCCTGCGAGCAGCCTCGAATGTGTCTGTCCACCTGCAGGACCCTGGGCAGGCTCACACTTTGTCCCTGGTAGCCTGACCCTGCTGACCATTGCTCACTCCCCGCCACCACCAACTGCCCCCCGACTGACCAATCTCAACACATCAGTGAGGGTCCTGCTGACCCCAGACCTACAAACAGTCCTGACTCACAGAGACCCTGCCCTGTCTGCTGGGGGCTTTGTCAGTTTAACTGATTCTGTCTCCATGGAACCAACTGCCAGTGGTTCTGATTGGCTGAGCAGCCTCGCCAGCTGACCAATGGTATGACTAGTTAGCCAGTCAGCAGTTACCTGCCCAAGGTACAGAGCTGGGGATGCCAGAGGCAGAAGAGAGACTGAAGGTAGACACTTGGAGGCTTTGTTGCACTTTTCTTCTTTTAAAAAATGTTTAACAGGCCAGCGTCGCGGCTCAATAGGCTAATCCTCCGCCTGCGGCGCCAGCTCCACGGGTTCTAGTCCCAGTCAGGGTGCCGGATTCTGTCCCGGTTGCTCCTCTTCCAGTCCAGCTCTCTGCTGTGGCCCAGGAGTGCAGTGGAGGATGGCCCAAGTGCTTGGGTCCTGCACCTGCATGGGAGACCAGGAGAAGTACCTGGCTCCTGGCTAAGGATCAGTGCAGTGCTCTGGCCACAGCGGCTATTGGGGGATGAACCAACGGAAAAGGAAGACCTTTCTCTCTCTCTCACTGTCCACTCTGCCTATCAAAAAAAAAAAAAGTTTAACAGTTTCATCGGGATTTAATTCACATACCTTACAATACACCCATTTAAAATGTATGCTTAGGGCTGATGCAGTGGCACTCTGGGTAAGTGGCATCCCTGGTGCTCCACTTCCAATCCAGCTCCTTGCTGATGCACCTGGTAAGCAGCGGAAGATGGTCCAAGTACCAGAGCTCCTGCCACCCACGTGGGAGACCTGGATATAGTTCCTGGCTCTTGGCTCTAGTGTTATTGCCATTTGGAAAGTAAACCAATGGATGGAAGATCTGTCTCCTGCACTCTGACACTGGCTTTCCAGTCAATAAATCTTTTTAAAAAGCATGCTCTTAATATATTCTTGCATCGTACAATCACCCCCACAATTTAATGTTAGACTCACCCCACCTCAGGAGGGATAGTCTTCTGTGACCAGTTCAGCTCACTTAGTAGGCTTTCAAACTTTGTCCTTGCAGAATCATGTATCATAACTCCCTTCATGCTGAAAAAGATATCCCTGTGTATGCATACCACTATTATTTGTCCATCAGTTGATATACCATTGAGTGTGATTTTGGGGACAAGATGCGACTCTATTATTCACCTTTTGAGGAACAGCCAAACCATTTTTGTAAAGTGCTTGCACCAGCCATGTAGGGTGGTTGTATTTGTGCCCATCTTCAGCAACACTTGGTATTGTGTGTACTTTTTTTCTGTTTTATATATATATATATATATTTGTACTTTATTATATTTTTAAAAATATAGCAGGTATAAAGTATTTCATTGTGCTGTTAATTTCCTTTTCCTAATGACTGATATGCTGAGCATCTCATGTACTTATTGGCCACTTGTTTTATCATCTTCGAAGGAATGTTCATGCAAATCCTGCGCTCATTGTTTAGGGAGGTTATTTGTCTTTTTATGGGGTTGTAACAATAGTTTATGTATTCTAGATACAAATCTCTTATCAGAAAAATAATTTACAAGTATTTTCCCTATTCTGCGGGTTTACTTTCTTGGTAGTACCTTTTGAAGCCATTTTTAAAATTTTTAAAAAATTGTTTTAAAGATTATTTTATTTGAAAGGCAGAGTTAGAGAGAGAGAGAAGGAGAGACAGAGATCTTCCATCCACTGGTTCACTCCCAAATGGCTGCAATGGCTGGGACTGGGCTGGGTCAAAGCCAGGAGCCAGGAACCCCATCCAGTTTGCCCACATGGGTGGCAGGAACCCAAGCGCTTGGGCCATGTGCTGCTGCTTTTCCAGGCACATTAGCAGGGAGCTGAGTTGGAAGTGGAGCCCCTGGGACTTGAACCACTGCTTATATAGGATATTGGCATTGCAAGCAGTTGCTGAACTCACCACGACACAATGCCAGCTCCTGAAGCCAACATCTTTATTTTTTTCTATTTCATTTTTTCTAGAAAATATTTAAACTTTGATAAAGTCCAGTTTATTTTTGCTTCATTCACTTTTACATTTAGTGTCATATCTAGGAAGTCATTGTCATAAGGACATATGGTTATATTTTCTTCAAATTTGATTCCAGCATTTAAATATCTGCTTTATTTTGAGTTAATGTTTGCAAAATGGTATGATGTAGGGGGGCTAACATTCTTTTACACGCAGCTGTATGGTTGAGAACCATTTGCTGAGAAGATGATCACTTCCCCCTTCAATTGTTTAGCCACCTTCCTCCAAAAGCAAATCGATGTAAACATGAGAGTTTACTTCTGTACTCCTGACTCGATTCCACTGATGGACACACTCATCCTAATGCCTGGAGCACACTACTTTGACCACCGCAGCTTTGATGTGTTTTCAAGTCAGAGACCACGCGTCCTCCATGGCTTTGTTCTCTCGCCCGAGATGGATTTGGCCGTTCTGGGTACCTTGACCTTCCACTTGGATATGGGGATCAGCTTGCCAACTTTGTAATGAAACTGGCTGGAGCCCTCCTATAGGTATTGAGTGGCACCTGCAGCTCAATGTGGGGACCTGCACGTGTCAGGATTCCCCAGAGAAACAGAACTAGTGTGTATAGACAGAGAGTTAGGATAGGGAATTGGTTCACCTGATTCCGGAGGCCGGGGAATGCAACACCTGCAGTGTGGGGTGGCAGGCTCAAGACCCAGGAAAGCTGACCTTCCCGTTCCGGTCCACACACCACTGGTAGAGACCCATGGGAGGCTGCAGGTGAGGTGTGAGGCTGCCTTCTGGGAAACACCCTGTGCTCAGGGAAGCTGGTCTCTGTTCTACTCAGGCCTTCACCCTGAGTGGAAGAAGACCACCCACACCACGGGAAGAAATCTGCTCTACACGAGACACAAGGCTTGAAATGTGTATCTCGGGGCCAGTGCTGTGGCTCAGCAGGTTAACGCCCTGGCCTGAAGTGCCGGCATCCCATATGGGTGCCGGTTCTAGTCCCGGCTGCTCCTCTTACCATTCAGCTCTCTGCTGTGTCCTGGGAAAGCAGTAGAAGATGGCCCAAGTCCTTGGGCTCTTGCACCTGCGTGGGAGACCTGGAAGAAGCTCCTGGCACCTGGCTTTGGATCGGCACAGCTCCGGCTGTTGTGGCCATCTGGGGAGTGAACCATCGGATGGAAGACCTCTCTCTCTCTCTGCCTCTCCTCTCTCTGTGTAACTCTGACTTTCGAATAAACAAATAAATCATTAAAAAGAAATGTGTATCTCCTCCCGAAGCACTCGCCCCAAGTAAGCATCACGGCAGTGTAGGTATCTTAGCATTGAGTCTTCTGGCCCGTGAACATGGGAAAGCTCTCCACATAGAGTTTCTTTCAACCAAGGGACATAACATTCCATTCTTTTATTTCAGCGTTGTTTTTTAACATTCAGAGTACAAGTCTTGCATTTAAGATTATTTCCACTACTTCATTCTCTGATGTTGTTAGCTTTCCTCATTCTTGTTTTATTCATTGCTACTACAAAGAAATATGATTGACTTTTGTATGTGGGTCTTGTATCCTGCAACCTAGCTTATCTGGTTTTCATAGTTTTTTTTTTGTGTGTGTGTGTGTGTGTGTGAATTTCTTAGAGTTTTCTAGATCTAAAATCATGTGACCTTAAGTAGAAATCATCTTTCTTCCTTTTCATTCTGGATGCCTTTTTTTTTTCTTATGTAATTCCTGGCTAGAACTTCCAGAGTGTTGAGTAGAGTGATGAGAGCAGACATCCTTTTGTTGTTCATTCTATCTCTCACCATTGAGCGTGACGCTGGCTGTGGACTGTCCATAAATGTCCTTTAAAAGGTTAAGGTACTTCCTTTCTAGTTCTAATGTAATTGGTTATTTTTATTATAAAGGTCCGTTGGATTTCATGAAGTGCATTTTCTGTGTCTACTGAATGATTGTGTGACCTTTGTATTTATCCTGGTGCTACAATGGACTATATTAATCAATTAGATTTATTTATTTATTTCAAAGTCAGAGTTACAGAGAGAGAGGAAGAGACAAAGAGGTCTTCCATCCATTGGTGCCCTCCCAGATGGCTGCAATGATCTGCACTGGGCCAGGCTGACGTCAGCCTCCAGGAGCTTCTTCTGGGTCTCCCACGTGGGTGCAGGGGCCCAAGGACTTGGGCCATCTCCTCCTGCTGTCCCAGGTCATAGCAGAGAGCTGAATTGGAAGTGGAGCAGCTGGTACTCAAACCGGCGTCCATATGGGATGCCGGCACTGCAGGTGGCTTTACTCGCTACAACACAGCGCCGGCCCCTAAAGTAGTTTTTAACATTTGTTCCACATGTCAACCGGCTTACGGCGGTTCCTTTTCACCGATGGGAAAACAAATTACAGTTCAGATACAAAAGAATACTAAAGCAAAAGTTTGTTGAAATATGCCTTCCACGCGTGATCTCATTAAGCTTTATTGCAGCCATCTTGTGAAGTGATTATTACCCACCCTCTGCAGGTGGGGAAAGTAATGACAAGACCCGAACTCAGCCAGTAGGACAGGTGCGCTCGCTTAGGGGCGGACTCTCAACACTCCAGCAGTACACCAGGGCCCCACTGGGTGGTGCTCCTGTCTGCTGTTTTACTGCTTCGCAAGGGCCAGGGCGAAGGGCTCAGGTTCTCAACAGAGGGGAACTTGTGTTCATCAGGAATACTTTGCCACTAATACGACCATTACACGTTCATTCTGGCACCTCTGAGAACAGCCCTGAGCTTGGAATTCGTAACAGGAATTAGCGCTTTGCTCTCCAGGAAAAGTCTCCTAGGATCCATGATGAGCCCCCAGCCGGCCCCACTCAACTGTGGGACAAGGTTTACACAGGGAATGCCCTGCCTTGACCGACACGCGCGGGGAGAGGGGACAGGTGAGCGCACGCAGCGGGCCTTCTCATGGTGGCTTCCAGCCACGTGGTTAGTTTGCAGTTGGCCAGGACTCAGGGGACATGGTGGGGGGGGACTCTTCCCAGTTCCTGGCAGGTGGGTGTGGGGTGAGGCAGCGCTGAAATGAAGAACAGCTGAGAAGTCAGGAGGGCTAAAGGCAGGGATGGTAAATAAAGTCTGAGCTGCACACTGACCCATCCCCACACACAGCTCCCGGGCACTCCCGCCCCCACCGCACTCCGCTGCCTGGCTCAGGCACCCACCAGGTCGGGGAGGAGAAGCCAGATTCAGTTTGGGATAAACTAAGTAGGAAACCAGAGGACCCCGCCACCTTCTTCTTCTTTTTCTTCTTTTTTAAATTGAACATGCCAAGTTCCATCAGCGAGTATGTGGCTGGTAGGTTGTCACTAAAAATAGCATGTCTGATTTTTGGACATGCGCACTTGGCATTATTTCTCTTACAAATTCAGGAAATGAAACCTCACACAACTTTGCTAAGTGATCCATCTAGAGAAAAAAAAAAAAACAACAACAACAAACATGAACTTGGCTAAGGCTAAGGCCTTTTGTGTTCTTCCAAGGGCAAGTAGAATGTCACCTGGGAGCATGGGAGGGTGCACGGACAGGGAGCCGTCACAGATCTCAGGCCAGCCCTGCACACCGGCTGAGGTCACTTAGTGGCCTGTCAGAAGGGCTCCTGGCGCTCTCAGCCATGTTCACCCATATGGGCGCGGAGTGGGACCTGGACAGGAGATGAAATAATCAGGGGGAGGTGATGACGCCTTCAGGGCAAGAGTATGACTCCAACCCCCAACTGTGTGACCAGAGCTGGGGGAGGCAGGAAGTGGGCGTTGGAGAGGCGGTGGTGGCGTCGATGCCTTGGTGGGAAGCGGCCAGATTTCGGTTGGGAGGGGGAGTTGATGCCAGATAGGCCAGGCTTGGGTTATGACCAGGGCAGTGGGCACCACAAGAGACAGTACAATCACGGGCAGGAAACAGACAGGTGTAGGATATCCCCAAGCACAGGAGGCTGGTGCAGAACGCGACAGTGAGGAGGTGAGTGAAACCCTCAGGGAATCCATCCCCAGGCTTTGGCACACGTCTGTAACAAGAGGTGGTGGGAGCAGCAGTTCCTCATGGAAGCAGGGAGAATGTTCCAGGAAAGCTGCCCCGAGCTGTGAGGTCGACAGGCACGGGAGTGTTCAGGAAGTGCAGGAGTTGACCAGTGCCCATATGGGATGCTGGCCGTGCAGCTGCAGCTTAACCTGCTGCACCATAGTGCCGGCCCCAGATTTATTTTTCATCTTATTAATTCAAAAGTCAGAGACACAGAGATCTCCCACCAGCTGGTTCACTCCCCAAATGCCCGCAACAGCCAGGCTAAAGTCAGGAACTGGGAACTGTGCAGGTGTCTCACATGAGTGACAGGGACACAAATACATGGGCCATCACCTGCTGCCTCGTAGGGTGTGTATCACTAGGGAGCTGGAATCGGGAACAGAGCTGGGTCTCAAACCAGGCATTGGGAACCACTTTTTTTTTAATGAGTTTTGTTTTGTTTTTAGGATTTACTTATTATTTGAGAGGTAGGGTTACAGACAGGGAGGGAGAGACAGAGAGAGAAGTCTTCCATTTGCTGGTTCATTCCCCAAATGGCCACAGTGATCGGAACTTGGCTGATCTGAAGCCAGGAGCTTCCTCCAAGTCTCCCATGTGGGTACAGGGGCCAAAGGACTTGGGTCATCTTCCACTGCTTTCCCAGGCCATAGCAGAGAGCTGGATGGGAAGGGGAGCAGCCGGTACTTGAACTGGTTCCCATATGGATGCCAGTGCCTCAAGTGGAGGCTTAGCCCACTGCACCACAGTGCTGGCCCTTAAGAGCCACTTTTAAGTTATGTCCAGGAAGAGGGGCAGCCATAGTATAGATTGTGTCAGAGGCGTGGGGTTTCCAGAGGGAAGCAGGATGTAGAACCAACCCTGGGTTAAATGGTAGCAGTCGAGTTTATTTCCATCTTCCTGACGAACCAAGGAACTACAAAAGGGAAGAAAGATTCATCTGATGCAATTTCTGTTTGGTTTGGCTTGCAGTGCATGCCTTTGGCTAAGCATCTGTGCCAAGGTCTGTGCTGAGGGTCTGGGCAGGAGCGTGGCCTGCTCACCAGTTGGCCCAATTCAGGGAGAATGGCTTTCTTCACTGTGGTTCAGCTCCAAGGACTTTTACCCAACATTCATTGTAAATAATTCCAGGTTCTGTGGGAAGCTGTTGCAACAAGGCCCCAGCAACTGGAGAGCAAGGCAGGGCAAGCAGAAGGTAGAAAGTTCTAGATGTGCAGCTACACTCTCTACACTATGAGATGTATACACCCTCCTGGCTTCTGGTTCCTTGTCTCCCCATCAGCTGGTCTGTTGTGTTTCCAGGGTATACACATTCATTGTAATGTTAGATAGAGCAAGATGTTGTCAAGAATACATACCTAGGGAAAAAAAAGAAGAAAAGATACCCTTTTTATGCCTATATTTCATGTCTTATTTTCTTTTTTTAATGTATTTTATTTATTTACTTTTTAAATTTTTTTTTCTTTTATTTGGAAGACAGGAAAGACTAAGATCTTCAACCTGCTGGTTGACTCCCCAAATGCCCGTAACAGCCATGGCTGGGCCAGGCCCAAGCCAGGAGCCGGAACTCTATCCAGGCCTCCCATGTGGGTGGCAGGGACCTAAGCCCTTGAGTCATCACCTGTTGCCTGCCAGGGTATGCATTAGCAGGAAGCTGGAGCGGAAGCTGAGAAGCCAGGACTCCACAGCGCTCTCTGCTGTGGGAAGCAGGCACCCCAAGCTGCGACAAACAGCCGCCCTTGTTCTAATGCGGCTGCTTTATGACCAGAGAGGCAGGAACAGGGAAGGTGGAACAGAATGTCCTTGGAGGAATCCAGTCTTAACTCAGGCACTGCTTGGCCCAGAGGGGCCAGCTCAGCTGAGGCAGGTTCTGGAACGGGCGCTTGGACATCTAACATCCGACAGGCAGAGAACAAATTCCCACCTGCCATTAGCCATGCCCGAATCTTTCCCTGTCACTTTGGGGGCAGGTGAGAGTGAGGGCCAGAAGCAGCAGTGGGAGCGGGTGAGACTGGGGGCCAGGAGAAGTGGTGGGAGTGTGAGAGGGAAAGAGAAGAGGCTTAGAGATGCCGTGTGGTCCCGAGGGTGAGGCTCAGGCATGTGCAGGGGCCAGGCAGGACAGGGTGGAGAATGGAGAAGAGGAAGCAGGGTGGGAGGAGGAAGGCTCAGGTTAGGGGGAAATGACTTGCTGTCCATGGACCACTGAAAGTCCCCTTGAGCAAGAGGGAAGCCTCACTGGTTTGTTTACTTAGCAAGAGGAAGTGGTTGTGAAACCATCTTGTTCTGAGATTGCCCAGGGCCCCGATGACATCTTTTGTTTGCATATCAAAATGTCCACATGGGGCTGGCGCTGTGGCGTGGTAGGCTAAGCCTCCACCTAAGGCACGGGTATCCCATATGGGCGTTGGTTCAATTCCTCTTCCGATCCAGCTCCTTACTAATGGCCTGGGAAAGTAGTGAAGGATGGCCAAAAGTGCTTGGACCTCTGCACCCACGTGAGAGACCTGGCTCCTGATTGGCTCAGCTCTGCCTGTTGCAGCCATTTGGGGGATGAGCCAGCAGAAGACAGACCTCTCTGTGACGCCCTCTCTCTCTCTGTAACTCTGCGTCTCAAGTAAGTAAGTCTTTAAAAAAAATTCCACATCTTCAGATGTCATCAGACCTGTGCATTGGAGGGGGTTATGGCTTGTCCACTGCTGGGGGGACTCCAGGCCTGGTTTGGTGGGGAGGGCCAGGGAGAGGGCATGGGGCGTGGGGGCCGTGTTGCACTCCTGTGGTGACTCATTTCAGCAGTGGGTCATTGGTGAGACTCAAGGTGGGGACATGGCTGATGCCATCAGATTATCTAGAAAGCAACAGAAACTCACCTGGTAAGCTCCTTTCTCAACCCCTCCTACTGACTCCCAAGAGCCCCCCCCCCCCCATGGCTTTGCAGGGAAGCCCAGAGTTTGTGACACCTTTGGTGAGGTTGGCAGGGCTGGAGGTGGGGGCGGGGTTCAAGCAGGCTATTAGCACTTGCAGTCAACGCTCATCGAATCTCATTATAAGTGTTCAAGGTCACTTAGTCCAAAAGGCAGTTGATGAGAGTCACCCATCCCGTGACGAAGGATGGGGCTCTCACTACTCCCTGGGCAGCTCAGCTCTAACGTGTTCTGCACCATCAGGAGTGTGTTCCTTTTTATTGCTGAATAATTTCCATGGTGTAGCTGTATCACAGTCTGTTGAACCATTCACCTGTTGATCAACATTTGTGCTATTTTTCAGTTTGGGGCCATTGCAGATAAAGCCGCTATGAACTGTCCTGTGCAGTTTTGTGTGGATGTAAGTTTTTGTTTCTTTGAGATAAACACCCAGGGGTGTGAGGGCTGGGTCATAGGCTGCATTAGTCAGGGTTCTCTAAAGATACAGAACCGACAGGCTATCTATGTAAGGGGGATTTATTAGGGTCATTGGCTCCCGCAGTCACAGCAGCTGTCCCAAGACAGGTGATCTACAGGTTGGAGAGCCTGGGCTGCTGGTAGCAGGGCTCAGTTGAAGTTCAAGGGCCTCAGAACCAGGGAAGCCAAGGGGCTCACTTTCAGTGTGAGGCTGCCTGACCACCAGCCAGGGGCCACCGACATGGGACCTGGAGCCCAAGCGCAGACACTGATGTCCATGGCAGGAGACAAATGTGGCCCAGCTCTCACCTCCTGTGTCCATTCTGCCTGGACCCCCACTTGCTGGGTGGTGCCCACACACTGCAGCCAGGACTTCCCACCCAGCCCAGTCAGGCTCACAGACACACCCAAAAGATGCCAAGTGTTCATTAACCCAGTTAGCACTATAAAATCAGCCATCACACGTGGTGGTATTTAGCTTTTAAAAGCAGCCATGCTATTTTTATAAAGATTTATTTGCGAGGCAGAGAGAAAGAGAGAGACAAACACACACACACAGAATTTTCACTCCTAAAACTGCTGCAGTAGCCAGGTCTGGGCCAGCCTGGAGCAGGAGCTTCATCTGGGTCTCCCACATGGTGGCAGGGTCCCCAGGACTTGAACCATTGTCTGCTGCCTTCCCAGGCACAGAGCAGGGAGCTGAGTTGGAAGCAGAGCAGCCGGGACTTGAATGGCTGCTCCGGTACCGAATGCAGCATCACAAGGGGCGGTTTACTCCTTGCCGCACAATGCCGCGCCCTTGGAATCCTCTCAGCTTCATCCTCTTCTTCCGGGACTCCGATGACATGGATGGTTGTTGGCTTCACTTCTCACGTGCTCCTGAGACTGCATTGCTCACTTTTCCTTCAGCCTACATTCTCTGTTCAGATTGGGTTATTTTTGTTGTCTTTAAGTTCTCCAATTCTTGCCTGTGTTGTCTCCATTCTGCTGTTGAGTCAATTTATGGAGTAAATTAATTGCAAACTTGTGTTCTGAAAAATTTTCAAGTTTTGGTTCATTATCTATTAGCACTTGCTAATTATCTCTCCTGTTTCTTTGCTATGTTTCATTTGTTTTAAGCACATCTGTAATTGTCAAAGCACATCTATAATGCTTTTTTTCTAAGATTTATTTTATTTATTTGAAAGAGTTACAGAGAGAGGTAGGGACAGAGAGAGAGGTCTTCCATCCACTGGTCCACTCCCCAGACGGCTGCAATGGCTGGATCTGCACCAATCTAAAGCCAGAGCCAGGAGCTTCCTCCAGGTCTCCCATGTGGGTGCAGGGGTCCAAGGACTTGGGCCATCTTCCACTGCTATCCCAGGCCACAGCAGAGAGCTGGTATGATGCTGTTTTAAATCTATCTTTACTGAAGTCCAATTTTACTTATATACTAAGCCATGAAAATGAAAAAATCCCACAATTTTGTTGAAAATAAAACACACTCTATGCATAGGAAAGACTGAAAATATACAGGTGGTGCCTAACTTATGACAGCTCAGCTGATGACTTTCCAACTTTAGGATGATGAAAGTGATACAGTCAGCACAAGCTGTGCTTTGAATGTTGGTCTTCTCCCACCCTAAGGACAGATACTCGATGGACGTTCTCTTTCGATGTGGGCATCGGCAGTGAGCCACACCTCCCAGCCCGAGACTGATGACTTTGTCCACTATAATGTTCACCTCAGTGTCAATTCAGTGTGATTTCAGTGCTGTGCATTAATGGTGAGAACCCATATAAGCATTCTATTTTCACTTCAAAATAGTATCCAGTAAATCACATGAGATATTCAACACTTTATTATAAAATGGCTTTGTGCTGGATGATTTTGCTCAACTATAGGTTAATGTTTGTGTTCAGCGTATTTAAGGTAGGCTAGGTTAAGCCATGATGCTCAATGGGTGAGGTGAATTAAATAATTTTTTTCTGAGAGGGAGAGGATGTGCTCACAGCCAGTAGGTCACTCACCAAATGTCCAAGAACTGGGAATTCAGTCCCTGTCTTCCACGTGGGCAGCAGGGACCCAACCACCCAAGCCATCACTTTCTGCCTCCCAGGTGCACATTAGTAGGATGCTAGAATCAGGGAAGTGGAAGAATCAGACCCTCAGATACGAGATGCAGACATCCCAAGAAGAGCCCTAACTGCTCTACCAAATGCTCTTCTCTTAAATGAATTTGTTTAAAGATTTAGGGGTGGTACAGCAGGTTAAAGTCCTGGCCTGCAGCACCGGCATCCCATATGGGCACTGGTTCAAGTCCCGGCAGCTCCACTTGTGCTCCAGCTCCCTGCTAATGATGCCTGGGAAAGCAGTGGAAGCTGGCCCAAGTGCTTGGGGCCCTGTACCCAAGAGGGGAGACCTGGAAGAAACTCCTGGCTCCTGGATTTGGATCAGCTGAGCTCTGGCCATTGCAGCCATTTGGGGAGTAAACCAGCAGATGGAAGACTCTCTTTGTCTACCTCTCTCTGTAACTCTTTCAAATAAATAAATCTTAAAAAAAAATTTAGTCATTCAAAGAGGAGACAGAGAGAGAAAGAAAGAACGAGAATCTTTCATCTGCTGGTTAATCCCCAAATGGTCACAATGACTGGCTGTGGGCCAGGCCAAAGTCAGGAGCCAGGAATCCCATCCTGGTCTCCCATATGGGTGGCAGGGGCTCAGGTATTTGGGCCATCCTCTGCTGCTTTCCTAGGTGCATTAGCAGGGAGCTGGATCGGAAGTGGAGTAACTGGGACTTGAACCAGCATTCCAATGTGGGATTCTGGCATTGCAAGTGGCAGCTTAGCTTGCTGAACCACAATGCTGACCCCAAAATGCATTTAAAAACATTTTTTTTGAAAGGCAATGAGAGAGAAAGGGAGAGACGCACAGAGAAAAATCTTCCTTCTTCTAGTTCACCGCCCAAATGCCTACCACAGTCTGGGCTGGGCCCAGGAGCCAGCAGCGCCTTCTGAATCTCTCGGGTGGGTGGTGGGGACTCAAGAACTTGCACCATCAGCTGCTGCCTTCCAGGTGCGTAGGCAGAAAGCTGGACTGGAAGGCAGAGCAGGACTTGATGCCAGTCACTCCTATATGGGAGGCAGGTGTCCCAAGCCCAGGCTTAACCTGCTGTGCCACAGTTAATTGCATTTGTGATTTATAGTATTGTCAACTTATGAGTTTATTGGGTTGTAACCACCCTGTAAGTCAAGGAGCATCTGTCTATATGTAGTACGCCAAGTTATAATCATATATTTGGGTTTTTAACTTCCAAGGGCCAGTGCTTTACAGCCAGTCATGTCCTGTGCCTGTTTCCCAGGAAACCTCTGGGCTGTCTGTGCCCAACAGAAGCAATAAAGCCAGATGGGAGGAAAGCTGGTGTCCTGGAGAAGGGCCCAGATCTTCCAGTTACCGCCCTCAACAAATGAGTCTGGTAGGCAGGCGAGGCAACCCCACCCCAACACACACACACACACACGCCCACCTCCCCTGCAGACACCTCCACACCCCACGGCTCCAGGTTCTGTTGCTCTGGGGCTCAGCCCTCGTGGACTTTCTTGTAAAATCTGGCTTATTTCCAAACAGGTCTGGTCTGTCCCTATCTCTATGGGACTGGGATATAAAAAACAAACCTTAAACTCACAAGCACTGTCAGTCAAGCAAATGTGTGTGTATGTGTGTGTGTGCATGCACCCACGTGCCTCTGAAATGAACTGATTGGTGGTAGGCTCTACTCCTTATGTTCATCGTGTGACCTGTTACCTCCCACCCCACAGCTTTGCTGAAACCAAATTCACGTACAATCAGCAGCAATAGTGAGTCTTGACATACTGGTGTCCCACAAAGCCAGCCCGATCAATACAGAGCACACCCCTCAGTGCCCTCAATGTCCTCCTGCCTCTGTGACCCCTTCCTCTGCAGCCTCTGACCTGTGTTCTGCACCTGTGGGTTATGTTCACGACCCAGTTTGTAGAAATACAGGGTGTGAACTCCTGCTTTTGTCTTGCTTCTTAGACTCAGTAGAATTAGTTGTGAGGCTCAGTCTGTCAGCTGCTCTTTATTGCTGTGTCCTACTGCCTGTGTGAGCCGTCACTGTTGTGTCCACTCAATGTCAGTGGACATCTAGGTTGTTTTCAGGAGGGGCTGTTACAGGTACGGGTGCAACACTCACACGGCATCTTTCTGTGGACAGAGGCTTTCGTTTCTTGTGGGCAACAGCTAGAAAGAAAATGGGCTGTCATATGGTAGGTGTCTATTTAACCTGTAAAGAAACTCTGAAAGCACTCCATACCCAGGATCAGAAGACAGTCAAGTCTCTGTTCCTCTGTTCACTCTTGTTTACAGGTCATATGGGATTCTAATCCATTTCAGTTCAGAGCAGCTCACTATTGGGCGGGGCGGGGGGGGGGGGGATACTACCGCATTGTGTTTAATGCCTTACAAGGGTAAACACTTGCTTATTGTCAACATAAACCCTACTCAAGATCTTTTTTTTTTTTTTAATATTTTATTTATTTATTTGACAGGTAGAGTTACAGACAGTGGAAGGGAGAGACAGAGAGAATGGTCTTCCGTCCGCTGGTTCACTCCCCAAATGGCCACAACAGCTGGAGCTGCACCGATCCAAAGCCAGGAGCTGTGGGGAGCAACTCGGACTAGACTAGGTTACTGGAATTAAGACTTATTCTATGCATCTGCTCTCCCACAATATGGCGCTGGGAGAGAAGAAAACAGCTTCTACACAGCTGCCTCCAGTCCAGCCAATAAACTGTAGGACTTGCTCCTGATTGGAGGAGAGCAGCGTGCTCGGCGTGTGGGCAGCCGAGTTGGGATTGGCGTTGGGATTGGCGGAGGAGGACTATAAAGGAGGAGAGAGACGGCATGCACCAGGAACATCTAAGGGGAACATCTAAGGGGAACATCTGAGCAGCCCCCGAGAGAGCCGGCCGGCGGAGTGCCGCTCCCCTGCGGAAGTGGGGAAAGTGGCCAGGGGGAACCGCCCTTCCACGGAGGTGGAAGGGACAGTAGCCAACCCGGGAAGAACCAGCAGCAAACCCGGGGAGGGCCGAGCAGACGAAAGAACAGCGCAGGGTCCTGTGTCGTTCCTCCACGAAGAGGGGGAGCAACATAATGGTGCCGTGACTCGGATATGAAGCCTAGGCAGGGTTTAGTGTCGTTCCCCCATGAAGACGGGGAGCGACATGGTGGTGCCGTGACTCGGATATGAAGCCTAGGCAGGGCTTGGTGTCGTTCCTCCATGAAGAGGGGGAGCGACAAGGAGCCAGGAGCTTCTTCCAGTCTTCCACAAGGGTGCAGGGGCCCAAGGACTTGAGCCATCTTCTACTGCTTTCCCAGGCCATAGCAGAGAGCTAGATCAGAAGAGGAGCAGCCGGGACTAGAACCGGCGCCCATATGGGATGCAGGCACTACAGAGCCTACTGAGCCACAGCGCCAGCCCCTACTCAAGATCTTTGTACTTCTTCTTTCCAAGTCGTTTACCACTCTTTCAGAATATTAAGTAACTCTTCTCTTGCCACAGACTTAATGCTTTTGAGCCAGTTCATTGTCTGTGGGCATCGGCTGAGTGACATTATTATAAAACTATCTCACTTGTTATAAAAATGACTAAGTATTTGAATATCAGCACAATACTATGCTGCTGGCCACTTGTGAAGTCTATCTTCAAGAGACTATCGCCAGGGGGATTGATGTGGGCACTGATTTTGACTTTCATATCTGAAAAAATTAATCTGGAACCTTACCTGGCCCACATTGTGGTGTTGCGGCATTTGGGGAGTGAACCAACAAACGGAAGAGTTCTCATTCTCTCTCGTTCTCTCTCTCCTTTTCCCCTGTCACTCTGCCTTTCAAATAAATATTTTTTAAAAAAGGAGGTGAGATAACACAAAGGATGGGGTTTTGGATTTTGTACAATAAAAACAGAATTCAGCATATGGCTAGGGAAGGACATGGTGTATATAATTGTAGAATACTGTTCTAAATTATTCAGGCCTACACTTTCCATTGTTGGAGCCCTCCATTGTGTGGCCACACAGTGTGGCGAACTTACAGGAGCCAGAGCGTCCCCTCTCCCCAGGTAGCTGGTCAGCTGTGGACTCTGTGACCTTTGTCTAACCTGTGTTGTGAGATCTTGGGACCTTCTCCCTCTTGCTCTTTCTCCCCACCACCACCTTCCCTTCTTAGTCTATTTTTCAGTCTCTGAATCTCTGTCTGTCTCAGTCTCATTTTTGAAAATGCTCTTTCAGAACGGGCACGGCTCAGACCCTGCTGTGGGTGGGGCCTTCTGTCTCTGTCGCGTCTGCTGTGAAGCACAGCATGCCCTATGTATTGTAGAAAGTGACTATTTGCTTTCTAGAATTGTTTATGACAGATGATATAAGAGAGGTAATAAACAGAAAAATCTATGCCTGTAAAGAATACAAGAGTGAATTTTACCTACTATAATAAATCTGAAACTTATTTTCTGAGAAATAAATGTTCTAATGGGAAGATTATAGATAGATAGATAGATAGATAGATAGATAGATAAAATATATATAAAGGAGGTGAGAGAGATGCTGAGAGGGTTATAAGCTAGAAGTTTCAGGAAATAGGTTTCTAAAGTGGAAGGGGAACCAAATGCCAAATAGACTTTCTGTGCTAGTGTGGGATCTGCTCCCCTAGTGGACTGACAAGCACTGATAGAATGTCATTAAAAGCACTCAAAAGACAAGGCTGGAAGTGGGCATGTAGCCTAGTGGTTTGTTTCCTGGCTCCAGCTTCTGAATCTGCCTTCCAGTTACAGCAGATCCCGGGGAGCAGCAGTGATGGCTCAAGCAGTTGGGCTCTTATCACCACGTGGGAGACTTGGATTCCTTCACAGCATCCAGCTCTGGCTCCAGCTCAGCCCTGGCTCGTGTACGCACTTGAGGAGTGAAATCAACAGATAGGAGCACTTGTACTTTCTGTCTCTCTTCCCCTTCACTCTCATTAAGAAGAGAAATTTGGGGCCAGCGCTGTGGTGTAGCGGGTTAATGCCCTGGCCTGAAGCACTGGCATCCCATATGGGCGCAACAGTTCTAGTCCCAGCTGCTCCTCTTCGAATCTAGCTCTCTGCTATGGCCTGGGAAAGCAGCAGAAGATGGCCTAAGTCCTTGGGCCCCTGGCACCTGTGTGGGAGACCTAGAGGAAGCTCCTGGCTTTGGATCGGTGCAGCTCTGGCTGTTGCAGCCATCTGGGGAGTGAACCATCAGATGGAAGACCTCTCTCTCTGTCTCTCTTCTGTGTAACTCTGACTTTCAAATAAATAAATAAATCTTTAAAAAAAAAAGGAGAGAGAAATTCATGTCATCAAAGTAATATCTCATTCTTTTTTTACAGCCATGATTCAGACTCTGAGAGCAAAGTACGAGTGCCCTCTGAGGCAGTGAACAGAAGAGTCGGGTTGAGAATGGTAGAGACATGCTTGGAGGAGAACATGCATGAGATGTTCCAAGCCACGCTGGTCCCACCATGCACGGGCAGCGGAGTGCAGGCCGGGCTCCTGATTCACGGAGACATTTGTTTGGTTCACTGAGATATAATCTACCAGCTGTTAATTCATCCCCCACAAGTCACATTAGAATGTGCTTCAATTAATAAATGATTCTTGTTAATGCTAGGTACATAAATGAGCTGATAAGGGAAGAAAATACAAGTTGCTGAATTCAGTGTATAAAAACTGTATTGAGCCTTCACAGACCTGTGTGCCTACCTATGCTAGCAGCCCAGTCTTGGGCACAAGCAACAGTACTGTCTGTAAAACTGCATCAGGTGCCAGTGCAGCAACTCCCTAGGCTAATCCTCTGCCTTGCGGCACCAGCACACCGGGTTCTAGTCCCAGTCAGGGCACCGGATTCTGTCCCGGTTGCCCTTCTTCCAGGCCAGCTCTCTGCTGTGGCCAGGGAGTGCAGTGGAGGATGGCCCAAGTGCTTGGGCCCTGCACCCCATGGGAGACCAGGAGAAGCACCTGGCTCCTGCCATCGGATCAGCACGGTGCGCCGGCCACAGCGCACCAGCTGTGGCGGCCATTGGCGGGTGAACCAACGGCAAAGGAAGACCTTTCTCTCTGTCTCTCTCACTGTCCACTCCGCCTGTCAAAACAAACAAACAAACAAAAACAAACAAAAAAAAAACCCACCTGCATCAGGAAGACCCAGGGGGCTCCCCAGCATGAGCCCCTCACATCACCCTGGATTGGGAACCGTCTGGGCACTTGTTCTGTCTTCCAGCGCTCTGACCGAGATGCAATGGCCTCCGTGCAGAGTGTCCAGTCCTGGCTTTGTTCACGTGCCCAGACCTAGGCGGGGGGAAAGATGGCATTTCCCCCAGACCACCCAACAGGGAGAGGGTACAGCCAAAGAGGCAACGCTGCCACCAAAAGGAGAAGGTGGGTGCTGGGCAGTTAGGGAAGCAGACACCACATTCTTAGTTCTGGTCCCCAGTGGGGAGTCTCCACTGCATTCCTCTGAGCTGGTGAGGTTTTTAATACTGTGTGATGATTTGTTGAGTTCATGCAAGACCAACAAATCTGTGCTCCAGACACCCTGTAGGGGCACACATACAGGACTGCAAAGGTCCATACTCCAACAGTCACGTGTTCTTGGATGTAAGCAACAGAATCTTTAACAGAAGAAAACTGTACCCAGAAAAAGGAAATGGGTAAACTACAGAAAGATAAAATGGAAATGACCAAACTAGAATATACAAATCTCCTGGGACTAAAACCCAAGGTCAACTGGCAACTCTGGGGCAGAGTCCCAGTTCCTTCTTGGCATTAACTATCGGGTGCTGTCACATACCCGGGTTTAGAGTGAGGTTTTGGAGCTTCTGCGGGAGGCAACCACCAGACCACTAGAGAGATTAGAAGAGGGAAGGAAAGAGATTAAATACAGGATCCTGCACACCAAAATTCTCAAATGCATGCGGAACTGTGTGCTGAGAAAAAGCCACTAAAACCAATCATTACAAGAGCCTGAAAAGGACCTTAAATCCTTAAATAGACTGAGTGTATAAAGGGTAGGCGTAAGCTACACCTCTGTTAAAAAAAAAAAAAAAAAAAAAAAACAAAAAACTGCGGCTTATTTGATTGAAAAATGGAAAGGAATGAAATAAGACCAAATGGACTCAAAGAAGAACCAATTAGAAATCTTGGAAAGAAAAACATGGTTTAATTAATATAAACAGGCTTAAGTTGGATATAGTAAAATAGTAAGCAAGGAAACTGGAAGATGATACTTAGGAAATTACCCTCTACACAACACACACACAAGCACCTTTCCACTTAGACACTGAAGAGGCATCTCAAATATCTGTAGCCACAAAACTCCGTCTTTGAAGCACATCTCTAATAGGAGGTATAGAACAGGTCAACGCAGAGCCACGGTGGTTGAAGTGTGGGCAGGAGGACTCATTCATGTCATTAAATGAGCATGAGGAGTGACCCAGTAATTTTCCTTCTATTCCTGTTTTAAACAATTGCTACAATCTTGTATTTTTTAAAATATACCTTGCCTGAATTAAATAAGGGACATTTTGAAGATGGAAGCTGTTCTATGAATTATCCAAGCTCTCAACAAATAGCTTTACTTTATTATGCTTTAATGAATTGTAGTTCAATCAGACTAGCTAGAAAGTTAAAGATACAAGTAATGCAGGCATGTCTCAGACATTGTGGGTGCTGCTCCACAACTACAGGAATAAATATTGCAACAGTAACCTTGTTTCCCAGTGGATACAAAAGGCTGTTTATCACATACTCTATTAAGTGAGAAATACAGTGTTATGCCTAAAAGCACTCAACATACAGAAAAAACTTTGTTAAAAAAATAATGCTAAGCTTTACCTGAGCCTTCAGCAAGTCCTAATGCTTTTGCTAGAAGAGGGTCTTGCTGGGACGCTGACAGGTTCTGGCTGATCAGTGTGGTGGCCGTGCGGTTGTGGCAGTTACACTTCGCATCTTTAAGACAATGAGTCTTCCTTTCGCAGAAGGTCTCTGCCGTGCAATGCCATGTGATGCTGTTTCACCCACAGAATTTCTTCCAGAAGTGGAGCCAATCCTCCCAAACCCTGCTGCTACTTTATCAACTAAGCTCATCTGACACTCTAAATCCCTTGTTGCCATTTCAACGATGTTTGCAGCATCTTCGTCAGGAGTAATTCTGCAAAATACTTTCTTGGCTTATACACAAGGAGTAACTTTTCTCATCCATTAAAATTTTACCACGAGGGCTGGTGGTGTGGTACAGCAAGTTAGTCGCCACCTGTGACGCCAGCATCCCTCATCAGAGTACAGGTTCAAGTCCCTGCTCTGCTTCTGACAGCAGGAAAGGCAATCTGCCTATCTGCAGCAGAACTCTCAGGTGACTAGGCAGGAATATTTTTTGCTCCGTCTCAACAGTGAGTACCTGAAGTTCAGTAAAGCGCACTGCAACAGCTCTGCTATCATCCAGGCTTTGTTGTTTGTTTCTAGGGCAAAGGCAGATTGGATTGAGTAATTCCTAAGGGCGGGGCCGGCACTGTGGTGAATCGGGTAAGGCTGCCACCTGCAGTGCCGGCATCCCATATGGGATCCAGTTCGAGTCCTGGCTGCTCTGCTTCCAATCTAGCTCTCTGCTATGGCCTGGGAAAGCAGTGGAAGATGGCCCAAGTCCTTGGGCCCCTGCACCCGTGTGGGAGACCCAGAAGCTCCTGGCTCAGATAGGCCCAGCTCTGGCCATTGCAGCCATCTGGGGAGTGAACCAGCGGAACAGAAGACTCTCTCTCTCTGCCTCTAACTCTGCCTTTCAAATAAATAAATAAACCCTTAAAAAAAAATTCCTAAGGGCTTCAGAGTTTTCAGACTGGCAAATGAACACGGCTTCAACTATCATCACCAGCTGCATTAGCCCTTCCTAACAAGGAGTCAGCCAGTCCATGAAGCCAGGCAATGATTTCTCTGTAGCTACGGAAGTCCAGATGGAGTCTTCTTTCAATGTGAGGCTGTCTTGTCTACCTTGAAATCTGTTAGTGTAGTCACTTTCATCAGTTATCTTAGCTCAGTCTTCTATAACGTGCTGCTTCAGCCTGCACTTCTGTTATGGACATGACTTCTTAAATCTTACCAATCTACTTCTGCTAGCTTCAAAAGAAATCTGCATTTTCCATTCTTCTCTCTGCCTTCATACACTTGAAGAGTGTTATTAGATCTTTGCTCTGGTTTGAGTTTTGGCTTAAAGGAATGTTGTAATTGATTTGCTCTTCTATCCAAACAACTAAACCATTCTCTGTATCAGCACTAAGGCTATTTCCCTCTCATACCATTTGTGTGTTGACTGGAAAAGCACTTCTAACTTCCTCCACAACCTGCATCCACAGCCTGGCTGTTTGCTATAGAAGTCCTGGCTTTCAGCCTGTCTCAGTTTTCAGAATGCCTTCCTTACTAAGCTTAATCATTCTATTTTTTTTTTATTTAAAGTGAGCAATGTCTCACTCTTCCTTTGATTTGAACACTTCAGAAGTCACTGTTTCTGCCGATTCCAATATGGCTTTCTCTTATGGACTAGGCAGACTGAGAGAGCCCAGGAAATCAGCGTTCAGTTGGTAGAGCAGTCAGAACACACACATTTATCTCTTGTTGGCCATCTTACATGAGCACGTTTTGGAGCACCACAAAACAATTATAATCGTAACATCAAAAGTCACTGATTATCCCAACAGATATAATGAAAAAGTCTGAAATATTTCAAGGATTATCAAAATGTGAGAGATGTGAGGTGAGCACATGCTATTGGAAAAATAGTACCAATAGATTTCCTCTGTGCAGGGTTGCCACAAGCCTTCAATTGAAAAAAATATAACACCTAAAACACCAATCAGGGGCCGGTGCCGTGAATCAGTAGGTTAATCCTCTGCCTGTGGCGCCAGCATCCCACATCAGCGCCAGTTCTAGTCCTGGCTGCTCCTCTTCCCATCCAGCTCTCCGCTATGGCCTGAGAATGGCCTGGGAAAGCAGTACAAGTTGGCCCAAGTCTTTGGGCCCCTGCACCCACATGGGAGATCAGGAAGAAGCACCTGGTTCCTGGCTCCTGGCTTCGGATCAGCACAGCTCCAGCTGTTGTGGCCATTTGGGGAATGAACCAACAGAAGGAAGACCTCTCTGTCTCTCCCTCTGTCTGTAACTCTCTCACATTAGATTAAATGTTTAAAAGAACAGCTCTAAAAGAAGTCACCAATCAAGCACAACAAAATAAAGTATGCCTGTGCTTCATATAGTGCTCATCCCTGTTAGTGTAAAGCCACCAGTTCCAGGAAGTATAGATTCTTTTATTCTTAAAAGTTCTTGTCCTTCTATTAAGATTTATTTTTTAATTTTTAAATGAAGCTGCGATTCAGAACCACAGCTTTTTTTTTTTTTTTTTTTTCCAAAGACACAGGAGAAGGGGAGAGAGAGAGAGAGAGAGATCATCCATCAACTGGCTCACTCCCTAAATGGCAACAGCTAGAGCTGTGCCAGGTGGAAGGCAGGAGCCTGGAGCTACTTCTAGTCTCCCATGTGGTACAGGGGCCCAAACACTTAGGCCATCTTTGGCTGCCTTCCAAGCACGTTAGCAGGGAGCTGGACTGGAAGTGGAGCAGCCAGGTCTCAAACTGGGGCCCATATGGGATGCCAGCATCACAGGTAGCAGCTTAACCGACTATGGCACAGCACTAGACCCTAAAATTGTATTTCTCTGAGGCCAGCATTATTATTCCATTGGACCAGAATTGTATTTTGTGTTGAGATGAACTCAAGAAGAAAAAGAACAAAATAAATCCAAATTAAGCAGAATTCTGAAAACTTAATGGTAATGAATAATAGTAAAAACACTGTTCAATAATGCTAAAGCCTAGTTTAATAAAGAGATATATGAGGGTACTTCAAAAAGCTCATGGCAAATGGAATTAGAAGTAAGTTTAGGGGCCAGAGCCATGGCTCAATAGGCTAATCCTCCACCTGGGCGCCGGCACCCCGGGTTCTAGTCCCGGTTGGGGAGCTGGATTCTGTCCTGGTTGCTCCTCTTCCAGTCCAGCTCTCTGCTGTGGAAGGCAGTGGAGGATGGCCCTCTGCACCCACATGGGAGACCAGGAAGAAGCACCTGGCTCCTGGCTTTGGATCAGGGTGGTGCGCCGGCCATGGTGGCCACTGGGTGAACCAATGGAAAAGGAAGACCTTTCTCTGTTTCTCTCTCTTTGTCCACTGTCAAAAATAAATAATTCAAAAAAAAAAAAAAAAGTAGTAGTAAGTTTAGAGGTAAATGAATGGCTTAGTGGTTATTACCGATGTTGGGTAAAATGTACACATCCCACTTCAGAGTACCTGGTTTTAATACCATCTCTGGCTCCTGACTCCACCTTCCTGCTAATGCAGACCCTGGGAGGCAGCAGGTGCTGGCTCAAGTACTTGGGCTCCTGCCATCCCTGTGGAGGACCTGGATTGGCCTGCCAGCTCCCGACTTTAGCCTGCCAATTTTGGCTATTTTGGACATTTGGAGAGTAAACCAGTGAATGGGAACTGTTTCTTTGTCTCTCTGTCCCTCAAATAAATAAATAAATAAATATAAAATATAAAGAGAGAGAGTGTGTGCTAAGTTTTTTTGGTGCCAAAAATATGGGACCTTCAATAAGTTAATGAAAAAACTATGCACTGGATTTGTTTTTCTGAACCAAAATAAACTTAACTTTTAATTCCATCTTTCCATATATCTTTCAAAGTAACTTATTTATTTTTATGTATATATATCATTATTAAACAACACACAGCTTTATATTCAATACATTCAAATTTAGAAAAACTGCGTGATTTTCCATGAAAATTATAAACTTGCTAAAAAAAAAAGTAGAGAATATATACAGAAAAGTAACTGAAGAAACTGTAATGGAAAAAAAAAAAAAAAAGCCACCACCAAACTTGAAAGCTACTCAATTTACAAGGCTATCTCAAACAGTCTCCAAAACCAGCTGAAGAAAAGTCCAAGTCAATCTCATTTGCTAAGTGCGGACAATAAATCCTAAACAAGTTTGCAAATTAGTGTTGAATCAACATTCATGAACAGAGATTTTACATCAGTTATTGAAGAGTAGTTCAGCATTAAAAAAAAAGTATTAGCTTCGTTCACTCCACTTAATTACAGATGAACAAAAAGTATCCCTTTGGTGATTTATTAGCAAACTAAGAATTTTCTTAACTTGATCAATGTGATCTACTACAAAACCTCAGCAGCCAACATTCTTATGTTCCCATGACAATCAGGAAAGAAAGATGCCTATAATTACTACTTGTCAATGAAATGAAACAAGATAGTCACTTAAAATTAGAAAAATGCATTTACTGATACTATAATTATCTATACAACCCCAGAGGCTTAAATAATAAATGTTTTAATTGAATTCAGCAAGGTACCTAGAGATAATATCAATAAACAAAAATTAACTGCTTATTATTAAAGCAGAAAAGTACTCGAGAAAGTGAACTAGGAATTTCATAAAAGTCTATTCATTTCCATTTAGAAAATGAAAACTCAGTTTATGAAAACAGGTAAAGCTGCCGTCTGCAGTGCCAGCATCCCATATGGGTGCCGGTTCGAGTCCCAGCTGCTCCACTTCCACTCCAGCTCTCTGCTATGGCCTGGGAAAGCAGATGGCCCAGGTCCTTGGACCCCTGCACCTGCGTGAGAAACTGGGAAGAAGCTCCTAGCTTCGGGTTGGCACAGCTCTGGCGGTTGCAGCCGTCTGGGGAGTGAACCAGTAGATGGAAGATCTCTCTCTCTCTCTCTGCCTCTGCCACTCTAACTATGCCTTTCAAATAAACAAACAAATGTTTAAAAAAAAGTCAAGTCGTCCCCGTCATGTTTTTAATATAGCAATCAGTCTGACACTGAGTAAAATCCCACAAAGACTTTCCTGACAGTTGATAAGGTCATTTTCTACTTGTTGAACAATGTGGAAGAATTTTTAAAAAGCAAAAGAATAAGTTGGGCAATGGCCCTATCCTGTATCATATTATAAAGTTATACGAATCCATGGATTCAGCAAGAGAAAAGTTATGCAAGAGTCCTGGGTGCCACTTACTGAGGCAGAGAAAACTTTAGGGATGGGAGGAGGTTTGGGGGAAGGAGGGAAGAGCGTGGGCGAGGTGCAGTAATGTGGGATGCCTGCTCGCCCTCTATATGCACAGTCCAATCTGGACCTTCTGCAGTTCAGTTTTGCACATTTCAGTTCAGCCATCCGACCTACATTTCAATTTCTTGTGTAAGGAAACAAGTGGAGGTATGCGTGGCGGATTAACCACAGCATTCCTCATTACTGTACTACTAGTAGTTTCCTCTATTTTAGAACACTGCATACCTGCCTTTAAACAGGCAGTGACCCAAACTGGTTCCACAGCCATCCTGCCTCACCCCTACTCCGTGAAGGCCCGAGAGCCCCACAGGGTTCTTGACCGTTGATCATGCCGCAATCTCTCCCGACCTCCAGAACACATGGCACACACTTAACCATGTACTCTTGCACCTTAAACACCTCAGATCAAGTTCTCAAATTACAGAAGCCCACTAGGGTTACATTTGAATCAGTTTCTAATCATGAATGCCAATATAAAGCAGCATTTCAACAAAATGCATTATTTCTAATATGAATACTTTGCTTTCAACTCCAAAAGTACATAATCCAAGACTAAAATGCAAAGGAGTAAGTCAATGTATCCAAATCTAAGTTAGCAGGACTCCATTATCAACCTAGAGTTCCAAACCAGCGCTAAGGTGAGAGATAAAACTCAGTAATCACGGCCATGAAGATAAAGAGCTAAGGCAGAAGGGGCGACAATCGTGCACCTGGACTGACAGGACTGCAGCACCTTACTGCCAGCCCTCCCGCCACCCACTTTAGGTAAATTGCTCCAGGGAAGGGCAATCGGGTCTGGGAGGAGAAATTACCTTTTTGCTCAAATCACTGGAATAACCATCACTATTATATTTCTCCTCATTCAGCTTGGAGTAGAAAATTGGTTTACAGTAACCCATCAAATATATGATTCCAAGCAACTGGGGTGGAGTGAGAATTCCAGGTGTGAACATGCAAACTCACACACACACATGCACATGTGAGCACACTCCAGATAAATGGCCAAGCATGCCATACAGAACTGTATGTTAATCATGAAACAGTCTGAGTGAGGAAACTAGGATTGTTGCCACTGCCATTTATTTAGCTGGTTCATAACGAAGGAGAGAACACTAGAGTGGTGCTAAAAACACAAAGAAGTCCTTGCCCTTAAGGGGCTTACAATCTTATTAGGGAAATATAACAGATACATAAGAAATTGACTCTAAGAACGCTTAGGCTAACAAATGCCACAAGACTTCAGAAGGCCGCGTAGCTTAGGAACATAAAGATCAGGAGTTGGGAAACCCAGATTCTAACACCAACCTGACAGATCAGTGAACCCTTGGGTTTATTAGCCTAGCTGCAAACTGCAGTAGAGAGACTTCGAGGCTATATGCATTGTTTCTGTCATGATTGAGATCCAAAGCGGAGGCAAGTTTTAAAGAGGTGGCACCTGAGTGAGACATGGAAGGCAGGCAGAGAAGGCATTTCAGACAAGGAGAGTGGTGCTGAGGCAGGCAAAAGCATGGGGCCCCCAGGGGAGAAGAGTTGAGTGCTACAGGGAATAATGGAATGAGGTAAGTGGGTGGCAGGACGCCAGCTGTGGTTACCCTCAGGCACCGCTCACCCAGGAGGGAGCTGTGTGCCTCCCATCCATGTCCAGTCAGTTACAGTACATCATTCCAGAGAGGAGAAAATACAGAGGACAGTGGCAGCATGCTATCAAACACTTCACTCGATTTCTAGAAAGCAAAAAATAATTTAATATTACACTTCTACATCACAAAATTGACATTAATATATTGTCCCCATTGTCAAAATGTAAACTAATTCAAAGTTAACATTTTTAGTAAACAAAACTAAATCTCTCAATCCAAAAGGACATATGATACAAATTATATTATCCCCCTAATTCCAACATTGGTTTTCTACTGTGTTCCACATACTGTGGAAATAAAAATGGCTAAGGACAAGGGCCCTGCCCTTGCAAAGCACAAGCCTGGTAGGAGAGGCCCTCAACTGTGCTCACCTGGAATGGACCAAGAGGCATGGTGTGATGAAGGTGTGAGCAGGGCGGAGGTGTGAGCACAATGAGGCATAAGCAGGATGCTTGAAGACAGTTTCTTGTCTTCTGAAGGACTTTCAGTCTGGGCTCAGAGGAGAGAGGCGGATGGCTCCAGGAGAAATGTGTGTGGCATGGAGAAAGTGACTATGGTGAAGAGACAGCTCCTAGGCATCGGACACATGGGCCCATGTAGGGAGTAGCACAGTAGCCTCTCACAGCTAGAGTGGCTGGAGAAGAGGTTAAAGGGCAACAGCTAGGAACATGAGACCTGCATGTATTAAAATGGGGAGCCTCTGCTTGTGACGTTTTAGTCATTGCCTAGCACTGGCTTCTAAGGTTTGGAAGAGGCAGATTTGAGAAGGAGTGGGAAGGTTCTATCTGTATCGTAAGCAGTTGCAATGTGCTCTCCTCAGCAAATCAAACTTCTCAGAGGCATAGCCCCTACCAGCTCCTTTCCTCACTCTCCTCTGTCCCTACCCTGGCTTATGAACAGTTTCCCCACTGCCCTAGAGTCTTCTTCAGAGATCTGGAACTGGAAAGGCACAGGGGAGGAGCAAAGAAATGGGACTAAAACTGCACACATATGGCTAACCAAGTTACCAGAAGATATTGGTAACTGTATTGTACAAAAGTCTGCAGATGAAAAAACATTCTTTCCCAGGAGTTTTCTAAAAATTCCCAATTCCTAAACTATTTTCAAATATCAGTGTTACAAATACAATACCATAGGATTTCAGATCTCATCTTCACATAATTAAAATCTCACCAAAATTGCATTGCTTAGCTTTAAAAAAATCAAAAGATATATGTAAGTTCAAGTCTTAGGTTCTCAGCTACTGCCATACATGAATGTCCATACATCAATAAACGGCCTGGGGAAGAAAGTACAGTGAAAGATGGAGGCAAAGAAGCTTTAGGATAGACACTAAGTTCCAATTGCTCAGAATAATATAAAACCGTTCTACAAAAAAAGTAACACCTTCTTGAAATTTCATTTTATAATGGAGAAAATAAATCTGTCATTTTATTTAACATTCATTTTTAAGTTACAGTTATGCCAACATAATCTACTCCTAATGAAATAAATCTTAGTATAATCCTAAAAACATGCATAAACGCTTGGTAAGATTTTCTATATTTCTAAATAAATTACATGCATGATATGCATTTCCAATAAAGAATACCAATATAAGATTCAGGACATTTATTTTTCTGCACGAAGATTTAACTACTGTATCACACACACACACACACACACGCACACATACCCAACAAACCCACAAAGCAATGGTGTGTAATAGGTAGTGAGATACCCTTAAAATAAGCATGTTTAATATGCCCACAAACAGGCTTTTTTTTTTTTAGGCAACAAAATATTTTCAGTCCTTGACATCTTCTCACACTCACCTAGCACCACAGATGCAAGGACTTATATCAGTAAACGCGTACAATCCCATGCTTGAAACCTAAAGCATGCACTGAACTGAATATATACATTGTGATCTACTCTACTAGGTATGCACTACATACTTCTAATATTTTATACATTAAATTACCCTGCAGCATTTTGAAATTTTAACATTTATGCAAAACAACTTCTGAAAGACTTAGGAAACAAATTCCAAGGTTCACCTCCAGGCTGGTTTGGTTAAGTGAAAAAATGGCAGCAGCCTCAAGGTTCATCCTGAATGAAAATGATATATGTGCATGTCAACCCATGTAAAAAACGCCTATATACACAGATGGCACAAAGAATTGTGCAGTTGGAATCACCAGTGCAAATGCATGCATTTGAGGTACTTATTCTTTTCCATGGTCAGGTATAATTATGCATAGTCATTTCCTCAAGTGCTAAAGATTTCAGACCTGATCAAATAAGTCGTTAAGAAGTGTAAATATGAGATATTTATATAGCTAATTTTGAAGTGCTATGCTGTTAAGGACATTTATTTAACATTATAGGTTTATATATTTAGTTCAAAATATTTACCAACCAATAAATGTTCTTACTGTAAAGAGAATGACTGGCAATTATACCTGGCCAAGTGATTAAATAGCATACTTGAAATTCTTGCAAGAACTGTAGTGAAAGAGTAAAATACTTCATTATTGCTTCATTGGACTAAGAAACCCAAAAGGCATAGATAAACGATGCTCAGTGATGAAAAGTGAATACCCAAATGGTCTCCAGACAGCAACTACGCGTTCTCCATGTTGTCAATGCCATTGGCATCCACGTGGATATCAGGCTCCCCGCACAAAGACGAGGGGACAAAGCGGCTCACAGTAGGGCACAAACAGCTCTTCAGCTCTGGCAGTTCTTGCTTCAGGCGTTCCAACTGCTCCACTTGGAATATATTTGGCTGTTCAGGCATCCAATCATATATCCTATGATGAAACAAACGCAAATCACATAAAAAAAAGCAATTTCATGCTTCAGACCTACCTACCTGATTTACCCTTCATGACAATTTGTTTTCAAAATGCCTAGAATATCCATATTGCAGAGTTTTTGTTTGAAAGATGAAAGCTTCAGTTCTAAAGACTTCTCTTTTCAGGGTGGGCATGTAGCATAGCAGGTTTAAGATACTTCTCGGGACCCCCAAATTCCACACTGGAGTGCTGATTCCAGTGTTGGCTACTCCGCTTTTGTTTTTTGTTTTTTTTTTGTTTTGTTTTGTTTTGTTTTGTTTTTTCGACAGGCAGAGTTAGACAGTGAGAGAGAGAGACAAAGGTCTTCCTTCCGTTGGTTCACCCCCCAAATAGAAGCTACGGCCGGCACACCGTCCTGATCCAAAGCCAGGAGCCAGGTTCTTCTTCCTGGTCTCCCATGCGGGTGCAGGGGCCCAAGCACTTGGGCCATCCTCCACTGCCTTCTCAGGCCACAGCAGAGAGCGGGACTGGAAGAGGAGCAACCGGGACTAGAACCCGGGATACCGGCACCGCAGGCAGAGGATTAGCCAAGTGAGCCGTGGCATCGGCCGGTTACTGTGCTTCTAATCCAGCCTCCTACTAATGCCCTTGGGGAGGTAGTGGATGATGGCCCAAGTTCTTGAGTCTCTGTCACCCTTATGGAGACCAAGATGGAATTCTAGGCTCTTAGCTTTGGCCTGGCCCAGCTTCAGCAATTGAGGTCACTGGAAGAGTGAACCATTGGATGGAAGATCTTTTACCTTTCAAAAGAACAAATAAATAAATCTTTTTTAAAAATTATTTATTTGAAAGAGTTACAAAGATAGAGAATCTTCCATCCAATGGTTCACTCCCCATATGGCCACATCAGCTGGGACTAGGCCAGGCTGAAGCCAGGAACCAGGCGCTTCCTACAGATCCCCCATGTGGCTGGTCTGCTAATTTCCCAGACCAATCCATGGCAGGGAGCTGGATGGGAAGTAGAGCAGCAGGGACACAAACCGGCACCCATTTGGGATGTCAGCATTTAAGGCGGCACCTTTACCCACTTTGCCACAATGCTAGCCCCATAAATCAATCTTTTAAAAAATCTTTTGCCCAGTCTAATGATGCATGGTTCTTCTGTATCCCTGATGCAAAAACTGATTAAAGCAAATCGGAAAATGAAATCTATAGCTTGCCAGAGATTCCTAAAGTACTTGCCTTCCACATTAATCAATCAGCAATGTCTTAGTTCACAAGGGGAAAGATACTGACAAGTTTCTGAGTTCAAATTCACTAAAGAACAAGATGAGGACTGCTCACCAGTATGAAAATCAGCGTAAGCTTTGTAGTACAGGAAGATAAACTCAGGGTCGAGAGCCCAGAATGAGCACTGGCACTGCCTACCGGCAGAGAAGGGCTTCTCACACTGCAATGTGAATTCTAGGCAACTACACAACCTTTCACAAGAGAACCTAGTGATATCACACTAGGGAATAAGTTTTGGAACAAGATTCAAATATATATTGGTTCTATTAAAACAAAGGCTTTCTGTAAAATAAAAAGTGGCTTCTGGATCAAAGCCATTAGAACAGAGCATCTTAACTTCATTCTTTCCCCTATATCCTCTTAAAAATAAAAGGGGGATTGGCCTTATGACATAGTGGGTTATGCCACTGCCTGCAATGCTGCTATGCCATATGGGTGCCAGTTTGAGTCCTAGATGTTTCACTTCTGATCCAGCTCCCTGCTGATGCTCCTGAGAGAGCAGAGGAAGATGGCTCAAGTGCTTGGGCCCCTGCCCCCATGTGGGAGACCTGGATGAAGCTCCTGGCTGCTGGCTTCTGCCATTTGGAGAGTGAATGAGCAGATGAAAGATCTCTGTCTCTCCCTCTCTGTAACTCTGCCTTTCAAATAAATAAATGTTTTTTAAAATAAAATGGATTTAAAAAATAAAAACAATCTGTGAGTATGAGAAAACCCAAGAAACAAAGCAATAGAGTTTTGGAAGCTGGGAAACATATGGATAAAGAACTAAAAAGGCCAAATCACAAGTCAATAATAACAAAAAAAAGTCCAAGCTTAAAAATAGCATTGAAGCCGGCGCCGTGGCTCAATAGGCTAATCCTCCACCTTGCGGCGCCGGCACACCGGGTTCTAGTCCCGGTTGGGGCGCCGGATTCTGTCCCGGTTGCCCCTCTTCCAGGCCAGCTCTCTGCTATGGCCAGGGAGTGCAGTGGAGGATGGCCCAGGTGCTTGGGCCCTGCACCCCATGGGAGACCAGGAAAAAGCACCTGGCTCCTGGCTCCTGCCAGGATCAGCGCGGTGCGCCGGCTGCAGCGGCGGCCATTGGAGGGTGAACCAACGGCAAAGGAAGACCTTTCTCTCTCTGTCTTTTTCTCTCACTGTCCACTCTGCCTGTCAAAAAAAAAAAAAAAAAAAAAAAAAAAAAAAAAATAGCATTGAAATCCTGAATGAAGAGACAGGGTTAAAATGGGGAGGATGAGGTGAAGGCTTTGAGCCAACAATATTTCCCCTTACTTTCTGCTGCCAAATGGATCCCACAGGTATATATGCAGATTCTTCTGTGAGGAACCTGACTAGCCAGGCAAGTTCTAATCTACTGACATCAGAAGTATCACCAAACAGGCCACCTGATTACCCAAAGCAAAGTCCAACTCAACTCCATTTACAAGGAGATGGCATGGTGCAAGCAGCTTGAGTAGCTGTGTGGGAGACTCATATGCCACAATGGAGTACCATTCTGGTCCCAGCTACTCATCATTGGAAGCATTCAATCCAGTTTCCTGCTAATGTGCCTGGAAAGGCAGCAGATGATGGCCCAAGTTCATGGGTCCATGACACCTACATGGAGACCCCAATGAATGGAGTTCCTGGCCCCTAATTTCAACCTGGCCCACCACTGGCTGCTGCAGGCAGTTAGGGAGCGAGCCAGTAGATGGAAGAGTGAACTCATTCTCTTTCCCCTCTCTGTCACTCTACCTTTCAAATAAGCAAATAGGCCAACTTCAAAAAAATTCATTATCATTAAAAAAAAAAAAGGGGCAACTGCTTCACATACTCAATTTCCAACAAGCTCTGTAGACTGAAATTCCTTATCATGGTAGGCAAAGATTCCGAAACATCTGAGAGACTCTTCTAAATGAAAGATAGTAAAGAAAACTCCAAAAAGCCAATGACAACAAAAACCCTTAATGATTTCAGAGAAATACAAGAGATCTTCAAAGCATTCCTGGAAAATGGAATTAAAAGACATTTATTTGGGTGCAAAAAATTTTAAAATCTATGCATAGTTTTTTTCACAATATGCATTTTCAGATAACTTCTTAAATATCTTGCATTGTTTTGATCAAATTCAAATAGTGTTACACAGAAAAAAGCACAGATAAAAAAGATAGTCCTTGGGAATTAAAATCATAGTAGCAAACGTGATAATACAAGAGAATGGATGGAAGATAAAGCTGAGGATATCTTCCAAGTAGAGCAAAAAACACTATAAACAGGAGAAAATAAGTACAAGTCTGGTACAGGAGGTGTATATGCAAGTAAGAGGATTTCTATAAAGAAAATACATCCAGCAAAATGAGAGACAAGAACCATGGAAGTCAGTCAAAAGGGCTAGCATTGTGGCATAACTGGTTAAAACACAGCCTTTGATGCCGGAATCTCGTATAGGCACCAGTTCATGTCCTGGCTGCTTCACTTCTGATCCAGCTCCCTGCTAATGTGCCTGGGAAAGCAGTGGAAGATAGTTTAAGTACTTGAGCCCCTGCACCCATGTGGGAGACCTGGAAGAAGCTCCTGAACCTTAGGTTCAGCCTGGCCAAGCCTTAGCTATTGTGGCCATTGGGGAGTCAACCAGTGGATAAAAGATCTCCTCTCTCTCTCTCTCTCTCTCTAACTCTGTCTCTCAAATAAATAAAATATTTTAAAAAATTTACAAAATATTCCCCATCTTTAAGGATATTTACTGACAGACTAAAAGAGCTATGGAGTCCCCAGCACAATGGCAAAACCAGACTCACAACTAGAATCATCTCCACGGAGCTCTAGAACACTAATGACAAAGACTCTCCTAGCTTCTGGAGGGGAACCAAGAAATTACATGCCAGAGAGCAGGGGTCAACAAGGCCTCACACTTGTCAACATTAACACTGGCATTGCAAAGATGGAGAAATGCTTCAAATTATAAAGGAAAATGATTTTCCAAGGAGAATTCTATGCCCAGCCATGACATTCAAGACCTAAAAGACCTATAAATACTTTCTATCTTCCTTTCTCAAGATGTATTCATAAAAATGACAATGAACCAAGGAGAAAAAAAAAAAAAAAGGTATGAGCTACAGGAAATGTGATACAACACGGGGAATGCCAGGGAGCAGCTCTCGGGATGGTGGTTCTGTCCAGAGAGGCCAACCAAATAGTACTGGAAAGTTCCGGGTAGAAAGGAAGGTATATTAAAGTTGTCATTCCACGGGGTGGATGTTTATCCAGTTGAAATACCCATCAAGATACCATCAGAGTACTGAGTCTAACTCCCAGTTCTGGCTTCTCACTCCAGCTTCCCGCTATTGCAGACTCTGGGAGACAGCAAGTGATGACTCAGCTACCAGGGTTTCAGCCACACACATTGGCACCATGGATTGTGTTCCCACAACCATGCTCATTGCAGGCATCTGGGGAGTGAACTAGCAGGTGACAGTGCGTTCAGGTTCTCAACTCATCTTTCTAAAAGATTAATTTGAAAGGCAGAGATATCAACTAAATTTTTGAATTCTGAATTGTATAAAAATTAAAGGCTCTCACTCCAAGAGGATCACTGACATTCTTGCAGCCTTGCAATCTAAGCACAGTGTGCCCAGTGAGCCTAGGCCCAAGTGTTACTTAAATACGATTTCTTACCCATGTACTGATGAAGACTGTGCACCACCTGACAGGTAGTCAGCCTACTCCTGAAACTGTGGCAGGCTACAACAAGCATAGAACCAGGAAACAGAACGGCCCACTCCACGTGACGGACCTAGTCCTGACAGTGCTGAGCAGGAGACTGAGTGGGTCACAAAATCATTTCAGAAAGCTAGGATTAGCATATCAAGTAACACATGAATAGGAACTATTCAAGGGGCATTGTGTTTTTAATGTTGTTGAGATACACATTAGTAAATTTTAAAATGCTTTAAGAGAATAACTTGATAAGTAATTATGTATGAGGGAGAAGACAGGAGAATGGGATTAGGGAGAGGCATGCAGGGACTTCAGAATGATAATGCTCTTAAACATGGTGTTTGTTCAGTTGTTACTGCTTTGTTTGTTTTTATCTAGAAGGCAGAGAGATAGGGACACATAGAAATCTTCCATCAGCTTGTTCATGCCCCCAAATGTCCTCAATAGCCATGGCTGGGCTAGCCAGGCCCAAGCCAGGAACTCAGAACACAAACTGGGTCTCCCAGGTAGGTGACACTGACTCAAGCATTTGGGCCATTACCTACTGCCACTCTGGGTATCAATATGCAGGAAGCTGGAATGGGAAGCAGAACCAGGATGCAAACCCAGGCACTCTGATAAGGGATACTGGTGTATCAAAAGGTATCTTAAATGCTGAGCCAAACACCCACCGTTGGGCTACAATTTTAAAATCAGACTGATAAAACAGGAGAAAAAGCTTTATTACAAAAGTGATGTTACTTCGTAGGACAAACAATACAACACGAACTAAATCCAAGGAATATATTTTTAAGGCAAGTTTGTTGAGAATTTTATCACTCACTCTATGATGCTGCTCAAATATTAGAAAGACCACTAATTCAACAAATTTTTCTGTACTGAAGTGACTCTCACCAATTAGTGACTATCATATTTACATCATAAACACCCAGAGAGCTGATTTTTAAAATTTTTATTATTTTTAAAGATTTGTTTATTTATTTGAAAGGCAGCATGAAGGAGAAGGAGAGGAAGAGAAAGAGAGAGGTATCTTCCACCCACTGGTCCACTCCCCAAATGCCCACAATAGCCAGGGTTGGGTTGAAGCCAAGAGCCAGGAAATCCAAACAGTTTCTCATATGGGTAGTAGGAATCCAAGTATTCGGCCATTATCTATCTGCTGACCTCCAAGGTGCAATAGCAGGAAGTCGGATTGGAAGTGGAGGTGGGACTCCAGCCAGCACTCCAATATGGAATGCGGGTGACCAAGAAGTAGCTTAACCCACTCCACCATAATGTCCACCCTAAGCTGATTTAAAATATATATGTTCAAGAAACAGTTGAGTTCCTACTGTGTATTATCTATTTGTCTAACTTCTGGAGATATATCAGTGAACAAACAAGCAAAAAGCCTTGCTCTCATGTAGCTTATGGGTAAGAAGAAAGCCGATGGGGGAAGAAGAGCCAGGGAGAAAAATAATGTACATGCAGGGTGTCAAATGGTGACAGCTGAGATGGAGTTGGGAAGTGCATTGTGAATACAGATTATTTAAAATAGGTTATTCAAGGGAGGCCTCCCTAGGTGACATTTCAATTTTCACATAAGTCTTTCTCTCTGAGAGAAAAGGTCAACGAAGGACAGTTGGGGGTGGGGTGGGGATGGGGAAGGACAGAGACAAGGGCATACAGCATCTTATAACATCTTTGGCTTTTCCTTTATGTGACACAGAAACCCGTGGAAGAGTTGTAAGCGAGCCATGATCCGACAAAGGTTTTAAAAGGCTCCCTTTGCTGCTGCGCTGAGAAGAGACAGTGTGGGAGCAGGGGAGAGGCAGTCATCACGGCACAGGCTACTTCAGTGATCCACATGAGACAGGAGGTGGGTTAGCTGAGAGTGACAACAGTAAACATGGTGAGCAGACAGATTCAAGAAAGACACAGTTTGAAGAAAGCATAAAGGAGGTTTTATCTGACTGGATTTGGGGTATGATATAAAGGACAGAGTCATGGAAAACTCCAAGAATGTGGCCTCAGAAATTGGAAAGATGGAGTTATCAATTATAATGAATTCTGGAAAGCTACAGAAGCACCTGGATATACAAGTTAGAAAACAAGGGAACTGGTCTGTTAGAGACACTTAATTTGGGTCTACAAAAAGCAGGGGTGGGAAGTGTCTGGCCTGTGGGCCACATCAGGCTGCAAAATCGTATGGTTTGGCCCTGCCAAAGCAAACCACAGGCAGGACTCGAAACTCAGTAAATCTATAACAGCCTAGTTTTGATAATTTTGTATGGACTGCAAATGATGTTATAAATATCCAAATAGACCTTGGCAGAAAAAAAGCTTTCCCCATTTCAGATACAAAGGTATGAAATGCCACAGAACTGGATGAGCTCATGAACAGTTTTGGGGAAGACAGCCATCCTCACCTTCAAGGTGACTTAGTATACCTCAGTTAGGGACCAGTCATCTGATTTTATAAAAAGCTTCCCAGATGATTCTGGTTTATTTCAAAGTTTGAAAAAAAAACCACTGACAAAGGTCAAGATAAACCTCAGGCCAAACTAAAGATTTTTAACTGCAGTTAAAGTTTGATTTTATTCATAGTTTTCTAAGATGAATGCTACACTTTTCCTAACATTCCAAGGGAATTTTTTAGGAAAGATAGATACCTATCATAAATCAGACCATTGACTCCAAATTCCTTTAATTTCCTTCTGTTTTCTGGATCGTTGGTATCATCACCCCAGCAGAATATGACCAGTCCCTTAGCTCTCGCCTCTTGAATATAGGATGGGTTTCTGAGCAGGTCTTCAGTGTGTGCATTTATCCCCTAAGAGAAGAAAAATCAGTTGTTCATGAAAAAGCAATGTATAACTGCACACCCTAAATGCTCACACTTTCTAGATCATTGCTATTTAGAGTGGAGCATACATGAAAGAAAATGTTAGACACAGTTCTTATAATTTACCTTATTCTTCTGACTAAACATTTCACAGACATATATTCAGAATAAATATTACTGACTTTCTATGTGTAATTTATAAACATACAGATATTGAATGTGTGACCAAAAAATTTACTCTAATAGATGCACTATCAAAACAAGGTTATCTGCATTCAATTCACAATAGCTAATATATGGAATCAACTCAGATGTCCATCAACTGAAGACTGAATAGAGAAATTATGGTATATGTACCCCATGGAATACTACATAGCAGTAAAAAAAAAATTCCTGTCGTTTGGAACAAAATAGATACAACTGGAAATCCTCATACTTAGTGAAATAAGCCAGTCCCCAAAAGACAAATATCATATGTGCTCCCTGATCTGTGGTAACTAATAGAGCACCTAACAGGTAATCTATAGAAGTGATATTGACACTTTGATATGTGAGGATTTCGACAGCTTTCATCTTAACTGTGAGAAACAGGTTTTTGTTTTTTTTTTTTTACTATCTGTTGAACTCTTGGTATAGGGTTAATCTTCTGAGTACAAAGTTAGTTGAAAATAGATCTTGTATAAAATAAGAATGGGAATAGGAGAAGGAAGAGGAGGAAAGGTGGGAGCGAAGGTGGCAGGGAGTGTAGGGTGGGAAGAATCACTATGTTCCTAAACTTTTATATATGAAACGCATGAAGTTTGTATACCTTAAATAAAAGGTTTCTATGTAAAAATAAAAATTTAAAAAAACAAGATTATCATTTTTGATGATTCAGAAAATCCACTCAGAAAACTAAACTAAAACTCAGTGTAGGCCTGCAAGATAACTCATTTCTCTTCAATTTAATTTCTTTTCATTCTGAAATCTAACACCCCCAATTTAAAGTAGTTATTTGCTTATCACACATCACTCAAACCTTTAACCATTAGTTGTGTAAAGTAATATGAAACTTACTACTGCTCTAAAACATCAAATTTTTTTTTTTTTGACAGGCAGAGTAGACAGTGAGAGAGAGAGAGAGAGAGAGAGAGAGAGAGAGAGAGAGAGAAAGGTCTTCCTTTGACGTTGGTTCACCCTCCAATGACTGCCGTGGCCAGTGAGCTGCGGCCAGCGCACCGGGCTGATCCAAAGGCAGGAGCCAGGTGCTTATCCTGGTCTCCCATGGGGTGCAGGGCCCAAGTACTTGGGCCATCCTCCACTGCACTCCCTGGCCACAGCAGAGAGCTGGCCCGGAAGAGGGGCAACCGGGACAGAATCCGGCGCCCCGACCGGGACTAGAACCTGGTGTGCCGGTGCCTCAAGGAGCCGCGGTGCCGGCCTCAAATAATATAATATTAAAAAATAAAAATTTAGGCCGGTGCCGCGGCTCACTAGGCTAATCCTCCGCCTGCAGCACTGGCACACCGGGTTCTAGTCCCGGTTGGGGTACTGGATTCTGTCCTGGTTGTTCCTCTTCCAGTCCAGCTCTCTGCTGTGGTCCAGGAAGGCAGTGGAGGATGGCCCAAGTGCTTGGGCCCTACACCCGCATGGGAGACCAGGAGGAAGCACCTGGCTCCTAGCTTCAGATCGGCACGGTGCACTGGCCGCAGCACGCCGGCTCTAGCAGCCATTTGGGGGGTGAACCTACGGAAAAGGAAGATCTTTCTCTCTGTCTCTCTGCCTAACTCTGCCTGTTAAAAATAAATAAAATAAAATAAAAATAAAAATAAAAATAAAAATTCAAACTTACCAGAAGATTTTCAAACTGTGCAAAGCTCATTGCAATGGGAGTTGTCCGAGACCTGAGGTCCATGAGCTCAGGGTAAATATCGGATTTTCCTTGAGTCAAAAATAATATGGGATATTTGTTCTGTTTTTGTCGAACCCTAAAAAAGATAATTTAAAGAATTATTTTTCAAGGCCGGCACTGTGGCAGGTTTAGCTGCTACCTGCAGTGCCAGCACCCAATCTTTACAAAAACAAACAAAAAATTACTTTTCATTGGGGAGATCACTATAATATTACTTGTAAATTTTAGAAAATACTAAAAATGTAAAGAAAACAGAAAATATATAATCCCATTATTCAGATATAACATTAACATGTGCTTAGTCAAAAAAGAAATTTAAAATTTTTCTGCATAAGAAATACAATAGAAATAGGCAGTCAGAAGGCCCTTGAGAGCTTACAGTCTGGGGAAGAAGACATGACCTGCAGTACAGTGCAGCACAGGTTTGAGGCTCTAGGATCCAGCAGGCAGGGACTTGTCAGGAGTGGAAGGCACCCCAGCAAGCCAACATAAAGAAATAAGGACAATAAATACAACTTGACTGAGAGGAAAAAATCAAGGCTGAAATATGGATAACTCTCCTACCTTCGGTATACCTCCATGTATACTTCAAATTCTAGCTATACTATAGGAACATAGGAGAAAAAAAAAACATGACTCACATTGTGCAGATATCTGCATCAAATGAAGAAAACACTATTCTCCTCTTCCCAGAGTTTTCCAAAACGGTTTTTAAAATTATATCCAAAAACAGATTCATGTCAAAATATGTTGATAAGTTACCATCCCACATCCCATCCTGTATGAAAAGGAAATGAAAGACATTACATGCTGCAAAAGCACAAGGTTGGGGAAAAAATCTTATCCAACTCATTTTTCAATCTATAGAAACTGTTATTTTAATGTGTATATTCAAGGTACACAACAATATGTTACAGGATAAATATAGTAAAAAGGATACTAAATTGAGGCATCATCTCACAGTTCCCCTTTTTTGCTTCTGTGGCAGAAGTAGCTAAGGGGCGGTGTTGTGGCATAGTGGGTAAATGGTCTCCTGCAATGCGAACATCACATATGTGCACTGGTTTGATTCCCAGCTGCTTCACTTCCAATCCAGCTCCCTGCTAATGCACCTGGGAAAAGCAGCAGAGGATGGCCACGTGCTTGGACCCTGCACCCACATGAGCGACCTGGATGAAACTCCTAGCTTCTGCCTGGCTCACCCTTGGCTGTTGCAGCCATCTGGAGTGAGAGCCAGCAGATGGAAGATCTCTCTCTCTCTGTCTCCTCTGCTAACTCTGACTTTCAAATAAATTATTAAATCTTTAAACCAAAGATCGGCTAGAACCTATTCACTAGAATCTCGTAATACAATACAATTTTAACACATATAGTCTTCATGTTGTACTTTAGATTTCTGGACCATTCATTCTACTTATCTATTTTTGTATCCTTTGACCTACATCTCCTCACCATGCAAAATCACTGCTTTGTCAGATTCCACCTATAAGCAAGATCATTCAAAACTTTTCCTGCTATATCTCATTTATTTGACTTAGCATAAGGTCCTCCAGGCTCATCTGTTGCGGCAAATGTCAAGATGTTCTTTTTTAGAACCAAATAAGGGGCTGGCGCTGTGGCACAGCAGGTTAATGCCCTGGCCCGAAGTGCCGGTATCCCACATGGGCGCCGGTTAGAGACCTGGCTGCTCCACTTCCGATCCAACTCTCTGCTATGGCCTGGGAAAGCAGTCGAAAATGGCCCAGGCCCTTGGGCCCCTGCACCCGCATGGGAGACCTGGAAGAAGCTCCTGACCCTGGCTTCAGATCGGCACAGCTCCGGCCATTGCGGCCAACTGGGGAGTGAACCATCAGATGGAAGACCTCTCTCTCTCTCTCTCTCTGCCTCTCCTTTCTCTTTGTAACTCTTTAAAATAAATAAATAAATCTAAAAAAAAAAAAAGAAAGAACCGAATAATTATTCCATTGTATGTGTGTGTGTATCTGTTTCTTCATCCCTTTCTCGCTGATGAATACTTTGGTTGCTCCCCTACCTCCTCTATTGTGAATATTGTTACAATTATCTTTTACAAGGCAGTGATTTCACTTCCTTTTTCTACATGTTCAGAAGAGAGGTGGCTATGTTATATAATTGCCCTGGTTATTTATTATTAGATTTATATTATTCTTTTTTTTTTTTTTTTTTTTTATTTTTATTTTACTATTTTTTTTTTTTGACAGGCAGAGTGGACAGTGAGAGAGAGACAGAGAGAGAAAGGTCTTCCTTTTGCCGTTGGTTCACCCTCCAATGGCCGCCGCTGCAGCCGGCGCACCGCGCTGATCCGATGGCAGGAGCCAGGATCCAGGTGCTTTTCCTGGTCTCCCATGGGGTGCAGGGCCCAAGCACCTGGGCCATCCTCCACTGCACTCCCTGGCCATAGCAGAGAGCTGGCCTGGAAGAGGGGCAACCGGGACAGAATCCGGCGCCCCGACCGGGACTAGAACCCGGTGTGCCGGCGCCGCAAGGTGGAGGATTAGCCTAGTGAGCCACGGCGCCGGCCAGATTTATATTATTACAATTAAAAATTGTTAGATTATATTTTTATTGGAAACTTCAATACTGTTTTTATCATTTAAACTCCCACCAACAGTGTACAAGAACTGCCTTTTCTACAAACCCTCACTAACATTTACCTTTTGACTTTTTGATGACTGTCATACTAACAAGTGTGAGTTGGTAGCTCACAGTTTTTTTGACCAATTATTATTTTGCAGATGAGGAAACCAAAGGCCTGAAAAGATTAAGTGACTTGCCAAGACCACACAGCTACTTAGTGATGGTACAGCAGGTGTAGAAACTAAATCTGAAGTCTGATATGACTTTAAAATATCTTTATGGCGGCCGGCACTGTGGCACAGAAGGTTAAACCTCCGCCTGCCCATCCCATATGGGCACCAGTTCAAGTCCAGGCTGCTTCACTTCCGATCCAGCTCCCTGCTAACATGCCTGGCAAAGCAGCAATGGATGGCCAAAGTACTTGGGCCCCTGCACTCATCTGGGAGACCCGAAAGAAGCTCTTGGCTCCAGCCTGGCCCAGCCCTGATCATTGTAGCCATCTGGGGAGTGAACCAGCAGATGGAAGATCTGTCTTTCTCCTTCTCTCTATATATTTCTGCCTTTCAAAGAAAAAAACCTTTATAAAAAAATCTTTATATAGCCTTCATAAATGATAAGATACTTCACTGGCTGAGACCCTATTAATTATGAACTTACCAGCTACCAAAAAACTCAAATACTCCTATTATTTATAAAAACATTATTTACTATGAATTACCAGTTAAAAATCTCATTATTTGGGTCTTAAACATATCAAGTATACTTAGACAATTAAAATAATGGAGTTATGATACAAAGAGCTTTATTGACATCCAAATATTAAATGTCTTAAGATATTAATCATGAAAATAATTCTAGATGCTCAGAAAACCAAATCATATATTTGAAATATCTCAGTTGGAAATGCCTTTACTATGTTAACCAGAATCAGCCTGTCATAAATAGAATGATTTGAAGGCAGTTACATATTACTGTAACCAAAACTTACTCCAGGATATCAGTCTGAGTAACTGATCATAATACTTAACTACTTCCAAACTTCTGACCAAGCACCCTATCGATTTATACATATATCCTCCTCTAGGATATATTTAATATGTACTTTAGGGGCCACTACTGTGATACAGCAGGTTAAGCTACTGGTTGCAACAGTGGCACCCATATCATAGTGCCAGTTTGAGTCCCAGTTAACTCCACTTCTGATCCAGCTTCCTGCTAATGTGCCTGGGAAGACCAAGAGAAAGGATGGCACAAGCACTTGGGACACTGCCATCCATGTTAAAAACCAGAATGGAGTTCCTGGCTCGACTTCAGCCTGGCCTATACCTTACTGTTGTAGCCAGAGGCGGAGTGAACCAGCAGATGGAAGATGGCCTGCTCTCTGTCACTCTGCCTTTCAAATAAACCAACAAACACACATATTTTTAAAGTTACTTTAATTGCTGTTTCCCCCAACAAGAATATATGTTCTAGGAAAGCTGGGCCTTATTTGTTTTGTTCACTACTTAATCCAAGCACTCAGAACTTAGCCAGCAGCTGCTTTTCAATAAATATTTGTTGAACAAGGAAAGATTAAATCCAAGAGTGATTTAAAACACAGCTGCAGAAATTTCTTTTCCTGGGAAACTACTATTAGCCAATAGAAAACTACTCAGGAAATTGTTTAAAACATATGTTTACATAAGAAATAAGTAAAGAAAAAAACAGAGAATCTGTCCATTTTTTAAGTATTCCCGGAAACCATCTGTATTAATGTGTACACAAGACACATGTACAAGGAATGTCTGCAATAAATTTCAAGTACTGACATATTAATGTAAGTGTGATAATGCTTTAATACAAAGGTCCAAAAAGCACTGTGCTTGCTGGAAGAAGCCACAAAAAATTTAAGTATTATTTATTCCATTAAAATACAGACAGACAAGAATGAAGGAATTTTTTTTAAATGTGGGTAGGGAAGAATGAAAAACATCTCTTGCATACAGAACTACTTACCCTTTGTTGACAGATCCACTTTATTTCTATGTTAAACCCTACATCTTCCGGCAAAGAATCTAAAACCTAAAGTTTTGTTTGTTGGTGGCCAATTGTTTTGTTTTTGGTGAAACAGTGGCAGAAAAAGAAGAAAAGTAAAAGAATTATTACAAAAAGGCAATCACTACAAATATATTACTAGTAAGAATAAAATGCTTTGTGTTTTCAGCATAAACCACTATCTTCTCATACCAAGCTGACAAACCTGGTTGATGCTTTTTTACATTAAATAAGAAGATCAAAAGGAACAGCAAATTCACTAGCCTCAGGCAACATCTATGATAAGCAATCACCACCCCACCATGAAAATCCTTAATGTAAAATCTTTTTCATCATTGTTACTGAACACTGAATGTCATGAATTCCAAGCATGGGTCATGTTTTCTGAATTGTCTTCAGGCAGTTCAATCTACTTTACTAAGATATGATTATGGTGCTGGCGCTAGTGCCGGTTCAAGTTCTGGCTGCTCCACTTCAAATCCAGCTCTCTGCTATGACCTAGGAAAGCAGCAGAAGATGGCCCAAGTCATTGGGCCCCTGCAACCGCATGGGAGACCCGGAGGAAGCTCCTGGCTCCTGGCTTTGGATTGGTGCAGTTCTGGCTATCGAGACCAACTGGGGAGTGAACCAGCAGACAGAAGACCTCTCTCTCTGTCTCTGGCTTTGTCTTTTCTTCACTCTCTGACTTTCAAATAATAAATAAATAAATCTTTCAATAATAAATAAATAATAAATATTTCAAATAAATAAATAAATGTTAAAGACATGATTACATGGAAAAAAAAATACATGAGTTTTAGCTTGTTTTGAAAGTGATAATACCAATAAGCCCTTGAAACGATGTTGTTCACAAGTTAAAGATTTTGCTGGGGTTCAGAAATCAAAGGTTATAAAGAGCAAGGAGGGCCAGCATTGTGGCGTAGCAGATTAAGCCTCCACCTATGATGCCAGCATCCCTTTTGGGAGCTGGTTCAAGACCTGGGTGCTCCACTTCTGATCCAGATCCCTGCTAATGTGTCTGAGAAAGCAGCAGAAGATGCCCTAAGTCCTTGAGCCCCCGCATCCCCACATGGGAGACCCACAAGAAGTTCCAGGCTCCTAGCTTCAGCCTGGCCCAGCCCTAGCTATTGTAGCTGTTTGGGGAGTGAACAAGTAGATGGAGATCTCTCTCTTCCTCTCTATGTAACTCTTTCAAATAAATTATTTTAAAAAGATGATATATGACATCTATTTTATACAGCAAATAAAAGTATATTAACATAACTTAGAGGTGAGACCTGGACTCTACACTAACCAGCTAAGCACAAAGTACAGTATGTAAGAGTTTATACTCAAAATTTATATGGGGCTCCTTGATTTTCTTCTCCTATACCTAGAAGCCTTATTTATTGAATGTAGCCATACTTTTATCAGACTAATGCCAAATTTTAAAACGAGGATAACAGCATGATTTAGGATTGCAACTGTTAAACATCAGATGTATAAGAAGACTGTCTTTATACTGCTAATGGTGTATTTGGCATTTGTTTTTAAATTTCTCATTAATTAAATGACAGTAATGGCAAAGTGAGTTGGTTTTTATGTGTGTAACTACTTGGCTAAATAAAAGTTGTCAAATACTTCACATATAATTTAAAAAATATGATTCAAAAGTCTGGGCATTATGAGCTTTCTGAAACCCAAATGAGTTTAGACTTTTGAAGCAGATGGAGTGATCTCACTTTGCTGGGCTTCATAAATATATAAGAACTATAGATGCCATGAGGACTACATTAGGCGCTCTCTTGTGGCATCCTTTTAGCGCAGTGAACAATCAGTACTTAATTTACTTTTAACCACTTGAGCTACCTTTAATGATTTAGATTCCCTTATGAATTCCTTCTCAGGTGAATACATACCTAAATATCTTAAGCTAGGCAATGGAGTCAGTGGGAGCGAAAGCAGAGAGTGAAAGCAGAAAGCGAAAGTCTCTGTCATCTGCAGAGGCTCTTTCCTGGTGCTGCCAAAGCAGCTTTTATAGGAACTTTTGCCAGGTTTTTAAGAGTTTTCATGGCTGCTTCTGCTTCTCGGTGAATTCTTGAAATTTCTATCTCATTTTAAGTGATGAGGGCACTTATTTTCTTTGCTTGGAGAATCTCATTTCTCTCCAAAAGCTATGGAACACTATTAAACATGGTAAAAATGCCATCTTCCATCCCCTTCCTGTTTATACACAGAAATATGTGAATGTACTCTTCTTACCAAATTAACCCACTGAGATGAGAATTTTTTATTTAAGCAGATGTTACTCCTTTAAAAAAAGTAGCACAGTACAACCATGCAGGGGGATGTCTCTTTTAAAGATCAATGACAATAAAATTTATTTTAAAGTTGTCTGATACAGCCTTTTTAGTGCCTATTTAAGACATCAAAATAAATCATTCAGATGATAACAGAATTAATGAGAGTCTTGCCCTGGTTTCCTCAAGGAACTTACCATTTTAAGAGAAGGAAATGGCTGATTTTCAGAAAAGGAATTTTCTTCTTCAACCACAGATTCTAGAATTTCAAATGATAAAAACTCAATAAATAAAATGCTACTATATAACCAAGATCCTTAGTGGGTAGCTACAGTAATTATGGGATTCTTTCACATATGGTATTTTGAAGGCTCTTATATTTGTTACTTTTGATCATTAAAAATTTAGTTGTCTAAAGTATCTTTCATGTAGACTAGCTGGCAACAAACACTTAAAGACCATAGTCTGGGTTGTAAGAATATATTATTTCCGTATAAAAATCATAATACATAAGATCTTCAAAATGTGTAAAATTGATGTCAGGGAAAGCCACTGAGGTGGGCTTTTGGTGTAGCAGTTGAGACACTATTCAGGACGTTCACATCCCATGCCTGGGTTTGACTCCCAGACTGCTCCTGATTCCAGCTTCCTGCTAATGTCTACCCTGGAAGGCAGCAGGTGACAGACTGCCACCTTCATGGGAGAAAGCTCTTGACTTCAGCTTGGTTCAGTCCCACCCGATTTGCAGAGTGCACCTATATTTGGAGAGTGAACCAGTGGATAAGAGATCACTGTCTCTCTGCTTTTCAAATAAATTAAAAGTTTAAAAAACAAAAACCAATGAGCTTCCAAATATTTCTGAACCAAAATAAACACCTTTTAATTTCATTTTTTTAAAAAAGAAGATTTATTATTTATTTAAAAGTCAGAGTTAGAGAGAGAGAAAGAGAGAGAGAGGTCTTCCACCCACTGGTTCACTCGCCAGATGGCTACAACAGCTGGAGCTGCACCAATCCGAAGCCAAGACCAAGGAGCTTTCTCCAGATCCCCAATGTGGGTGGTGGGGCCCAAGAACTTGGGCCATTCTCTACTGCTTTCCCAGGCAACAGCAGAGAACTGGATCAGAAGTGGAACATCCAGGACTCGAACTGGTGCCCATATGGGATGCCAGCACTGCAGGTGGCGGCTTCACCCACTACACTACTCTTTTAAAAGTAGTCACAAGAGACTGGTGCTGTGGTGTAACAGGTAAGGATGCTTCCTGTAATGCCGACATCCCAAATGGCACCAGTTCACATTCTGGCTGCTCCACTTGCTATCCAGCTCCCTGCTAATGTGCCTGGGAAAGCAGCAGCAGATGAACCAAGTCCTTGGGCCTCTGCCACCCAACTGGGAAACCTGGAAGAAGCTCCTGGCTTCAGACTGGTCCAGCTCTGGCAGCCACAGCCATCTGGAGAATGAACCAGCAGATGGAAGACTGTCTCTCTGTAACTTTACCTTTCAAATAAATAAAACTCTTAGAAAAAAAAATTCTGATCATCAAGCTAAGAAAATAAAATGGTTACTATATACACATTTATTAACTAATAATATATGTAAGGTCTTCACATTTATAAAATCACATTCAGATGGTCCAGTGTTATATTCCTCAAAAATCTATTAAGATGGGTAGGAAATACTCTACTAATACTAACTACGAAACAAAATGCATTTCCCACAGTGGTACATACCTTTCCGATCCTTAGACTTCAGTGCAGTCACATGAGAGAGCTAGAAAACACAAAAAATGCAATCAGAAAAAAGTGTTTTAGTTTATGAAGAGTTGGTTAATAAAACTGGAAAAGCTACCAAGGTAGACTGTAAAATATAGATTTATCAATTCCTAACAATAAGTGCTAACCACCGTGCATATTTAAAATGCACATACACATTATGATCAAATACTCAAAGAATGTAAAATTCGTAAGCTAAGCAACTAGGTATCTAAAGACAATGGGAAGAAAAATCATGTAAAATTACACAGTACAACCAAAACACAAAGATTTTGGAGATTAACATGTCTAAAAACTAGCACATTAAAGGATTATTGTAAAACAGGTGCAGGTGATATAAAGGGCTACTGAATACCAGAAGGAGCCTAAGACTATGAAGCTGAAGAGCTAGTTCTTAGGCCTACAAGTATTTATGGCCTAGTTCCCTATGAAGTACCAAAAACCAGTGTTGTCCTTAGAGATGTGAGAGAAGGCAGATTAGCACAAACCCACTCTCTCAAATTATAACAAAAAACTAAAGCACACTCTTAACTAAAGCATGATGCGTATATAATCATTCCTGGGTGCAAAGAGAATGCTACTATATATAAGCAAGTAAAAGTAGTCCTAAAGCTAAAGGATAATTTTTATTTTATTCTACTGTTACTACCTTTAACAACTGGAGTTGGTCAAATGTTAATTCCTTTACTGGAATTTCAAACAGTTCAACTGGATCAGCTTCAAATTTCTAAAAAAAAAAAAAAAAAAGAGAGAGAGAGAGAGAGAGAGAAATAGGCACCAAATTATTATTGAGTGTTTACATGAGACAGGCCTAATAACTTGTTAAACAATGATAACTATTAGGTAGCCACTGTGATACCATATAAGAAAGCCCTCCTTACTAGCTCCCAGCTCTTTATTCCGGCTTTTACTTTTAAAGTAGGTGGGGAATGCCTGAAAGAGAAAATCTTCAGGAAGGAAGTAGTGGCACTGAAGACACAATGAAAGATAGGGAGAAGTGGGTTGTCATTTCTCTTATTTCCTGTCATGCTATTTAACATTCTGACAACAGCTACACTGCCTGACTGGGTTTCACTCACAAGCAAGTCTGTTCTATTAGGCTTTAATGCCATATCAAATGATAAAGTGTCACACTGTTAAAAACACCTCTATCTTCTATTTGTGAGTTAAGGTAACACCAATAAATAGCAGTCCAACAAATATACTAAAATCCATTAATTCAGTAGTGTACAATTAGTGTGAAACTGTATTTGCATAGTTGTTCTGGAAGAATAAATAAGAAACTATTAAAGAAAAGTAGTGAGGCCAAGAAAAAAAATAAAAATTTGTTTTTCACTTCATCACCATCTGAACTACTTGCAGTTTTTCTGAGTATGATTTTTTTGTAAGAAAAATGCCAGCTTTTTTCTAAAAAAATTAAAACTCAGCCTAAAAATATATGTAATTCATTACTTCCCTTACCCAATTAATTCATTCAGGTCTGCTTTAGTGCAAGACAGAGTCTAGTAAAAACATACTCTTCAATTAGAAATGATACTTTCACAGATTTTTACAAATTATAGGTAGATTCATTCATCTCATTCTTGGCTAGCAAGATCCTTTTTACTGCATTAATGTTCCCCCACAGCAAAAACAACCAGCTCCATTTCTGCCAAGTTATTCTACTCTTGTCAACTGAATAGATGCATCTCCTTCTGCCCTGTTCCTAGTAGCATACCACACATCACACTATACCACAATAACCCAACCCCCTGGGACTCTGGTTAAAATCTGATAGCAGGTGGAGCCAGGTGCTAATTTTTGACTGTGGCTCTTCCTGCTTTAGCCAAATCCTATCAGTCTGTTAACAGAGAAAGTGTAAAACAGAAACAGATGGAAACCTAAGAAACAAACATGATAATTCCTGGTCTCCTGCCCCAATTCAGTGACAGTGGCAGAGAGAACCCACCTGGAATGTCCCTTGGTTAGCAACACAAAAGAACACATTCAGCAATACAGAGACTACATTCTGGGAAATTAACATTCTTACATCATTCTCAATGTAGTAACAGCTCGAGAAAGGAAAGTACTGGCATTAATTGCCAAAAAACTGAATTGACTCTTTTTAACTAAAAATACAACAAAGTTCTAATTTTTAAGCTGTTTACCTAACAGAAAAATAGTTTAAAATGAAGGAATTTCAACATACCTTCTTCATAGTCAAGCAACAAGTGAGATCATGATATACCACAGGCACAAAGTCCTTTGAAAGGTGTACATCAAATTCCACAAAGGCTGCACCCTGACAGAAATAAAGTATTTAAAAAATATTATTTGGTGTACAATGTATCTGAAAGTATGAGGACATCAAAAACTTTTCATTATAAAAGTATAGGCTTGTACATAAAACTCCCTGCTGATTGAATTTCTTCTTTTTTTTCTTCTGTGAAAGCACAGCAACTTTTTCATGGCAAAAAATGGGCACAGATCCATTTGAAAACAGCTCCCCCACAGGTGTCAGTTCTGCTACTGCTAACAGCAGCACTGAAACCTGACAGGACCTGGAGTACAGGGCTCCCTCGCCTTGCTGCCCTGCTATCTTAGCTGGACAGGGAAACCCAAAGATGAGGCAATGGAGGAGTAAGCTGCAGAGCCTCCGAAACACACTCCCTGGGACATCTGAGTAATAAACTTAAGAGCCAGAAACTAGCAAAATGTCAGAAGTGGACTAAAGAGGAAGCTAAAATTGCTCAACACAGAAAACAAATGGGCAAAAAGATCGATGGATGTGCCAGATTTCCTGATGGAAGCAGAAACAGATGAGGCAGATGGGAATTACAGTTAAGAATGTATTTTAAAAGTTGGATCCATCATTTTTTGGCCATTTGGCTAAGATCAAGTGTAAAAGTGAATCCATTCTATGAATTAATTCAAATAAAGGCCAAAAACATAGAAAGACATATAAATGTGTACATTTACTGAAAGCAAGCCAGCTGGGATCAAAGGAAGCAGGGTCTGAGAATCTGTGTGCGGCCCACAGAAGAGCAACACAAGAATGGGTGGATGTATTTCTAAACTTACAGTGGGTTGTCATAGCAGGGGAGCAACTCGTGTAGACTTACAGACTCCAGACAACCAGAGGCTCAAATTATGCCTATGAAGTTTACTTCCTTAGTGATACCTATGATAGCAAAGCCCACCATCCCTAAATAGTTCTATTAAACATTTTAGCTTTCTAGTTTACATGTTTAATTTTACAAAAATCAACATTGTTTTGGAAGATAGTCTTAATAAGAGACAAAAGCTAATCCCAAAATTCATTTGGAGACTCCAAAAGTCAATAGATCAAAACACCTTCAAAGATGTTAACATTAAGATGTTAATAAACAATTAGTAAGATTTTAAAAATGTGATCCTTGGGGCCAGCGCTGTGGCAGAGCGGATAAAGCTGCCTTCAGTGCTGGCATCCCATATGGGTGTTGGTTCGAGTCCTGGCTGCTCCACTTCTAATCTAGTTCTCTGCTATGGCCTGGGAAAGCAGTAGAAGATGGCCCAAGTCTTTGGGCCCCTGCACCCACGTGGGAGACCTGGAAGAAGCTCCTGACCCTGGCTTCGGATCAGCACAGCTCTGGCTGTTGCAGCCAATTGGGGAGTGAACCAGCAGATGGAAGACCTGTCTCTCTGCCTCTCCTTCTCTAACTCTGACTTTCAAATAAATAAATAAATCTTAAAAAAATGTGATTCTTACAAGTTTTAAGAATTTCACCAGAATACAGAAGACGGCAACTTAATAAAATCCTCTTTCAAAAAAAATAGAGAACCTGAAAATTCCTTAATGGAGCCATCATATTTTTATAGCTAACAAAATGTTTCTATTAGTTAGCTATGGTGAAAAAAAAGTTAGCTATGGTGAACTAAAACTGCCCCCAAGTTATGAATCAATATATTCATAGATTAATATCATCTTTCAACACAAAGACAAAACTATCTGTTATTAATATTTAAGGCATTAAAATAATTGCTACAATCAATTTAACATGTTATGAATTATAAATTGTATTATTATTTTGTATACCACAAAGAAGAGAAGAATATTGCTAATTAAACCATGACTCAAAGTTAGGGTGTAGGGAAAAGTGCTTGGCCTTCAAGTTAAGCCAGCAGTTGAGACACCAGCATCCCATATGGGAGTGCCTAGGTTCAAGTTCTGGCTTAGCTCCTGATTCTAGCTTCCTGCTAATGTGTACTTGGGAGCACAGACCATAACAGCTCCTCTGGCTGAGTCCCTGCCTCGCACATGAGACTCAGCTGGTATAGGCATTTGGGGGAATGAACCAGCATACAGGAGCACAATCTCGCAAATAAATTTTTAAAAAAGAACCTAACATGTAAAACCAATTCCAATTTCAGAGAGGCTTTCTGGTCAGGTATAGAGAAACAGGTTGAGGAAAAAAAAAAATCCCAGGTGTATTTTTTCTCAAGTTTCAGCTTTTTAAAAAGCTAGGGGCAGGGCCAACGCTGGGGCACAGCAGGTTAACACCCTGGCCTGAAGTGCTGGCATCCCATATGGGCGCCAGTTCTAGTCCCGGCTGCTCCTCTTCCGATCCAGCTCTCTGCTATGGCCTGGGATAGCAGTAGAAGATGGCCCAAGGTCTTAGACCCTTGCACCCGCGTGGGAGACCCTAAGAGGCTCCTGGCTGCTGATCGGTGCAGCTCCGGCCATTGTGGCCATCTGGGGAGTGAACCAGTGGATGGAAGACCTCTCTCTCTGTCTCTACCTCTCTGTGTAACTCTTTGAAATAAATAAAACAAATCTTGAAAAAAAAAAAAAAATGCTAGGGGCCAGCGCTGTGGCATAGAGGGTAAAACCACTGCCTACAGTGTCAGCATCCTGTATGGGCCCATGAGTCCTGGCTGTTCCGCTTCTTTTTTTTTTTTTTAAAGACTTTTTTTATTTATTTACTTGAAAGAGTTACAGAGAGAGGTAGAGGTAGAGACAGAGACAGAGACAGAGACAGAGACACACATAGAGAGAGAAAGAGAGAGAGAGAGAGGTTTTCCATCCGCTGGTTCACTCCCCAGATAGCCGCAACAGCTGGAGCTACGCTGATCCGAAGCTAGGAGCCAGGAGCTTCTTCTGGGTCTCCCACTTGGGTGCAGGGGCCCAAGGACTTGGGCCATCTTCTACTGCTTTCCCAGGCCATAGCAGAGAGCTGGATCAGAAGTAGAGCAGCCCAGGCCGGCGCCACGGCTCACTAGGCTAATCCTCTGCTTGCGGCGCCCACATCTCGGGTTCTAGTCCGGGTCGGGACGCCGGATTCTGTCCTGGTTGCTCCTCTTCCAATCCAGCTCTATCTGCTGTGGCCCAGGAAGGCAGTGGAGGATGGCCCAAGTGCTTGGGCCCTGCACCCAAGTGGGAGACCAGGAGGAAGCACCTGGCTTCTGGCTTCGGATTGGCGCAGCGCGCCAGCCATAGCGGCCATTTGGGGGGTGAACCAATGGAAGGAAGACCTTTCTCTCTGACTCTCTGTCTCTCAGTGTCTATAACTCTCTGTCTGTCAATCTCTCTCACTGTCTATCTCTGCCTGGCCAAAAAAAAAAAAAAAAAAGAAAAGAAAAGAAGTAGAGCAGCCAGGACTAGAACCGGCGCCCATATGGGATGCTGGTGCTTCAGGCCAGGGCTTTAACCCACTGTGCCACAGCACCAGTCCCCGGCTGTTCCATTTCTGATCCAGCTGTGGCCAGGAAAGCAGCAGAAGATGGCCCAAGTGCTTAGGCCCCTGCATCTGCATGGGAGACCCAGAGGAGGCTCCTGGCTTCTGATTGGTGCAACTCTGGCAGTTGCAGCAGTTGGGGAGTGAGCCAGCGGATGGAAGGCATCTCTCTGTCTCTCTTCCTCTCTATAACTCTTTCAAGTAAATAAATAAGTCTTAAAAAAAAAAAAGCTAAAAAACAGATGAATCCTTTAAGAGTGGATAAAATAAACAATAAAAAGGCATTAAGAAATTTAACATGATCAAATGGTAAGTAAAGTAGGACCTGATTTTTTTAAAAAAGTGTTACATGAAATCACCATCAAACCCTACTAAAAGCATTATTTCCAATGTTATCTGAATAGGCACATTATTCAAGTAGGGAAAGCCAATGCTTAACAGGAACTTTTTTCTTGCTTCAATAACCAAAAATGTGTTACATCAAAAAGGTTGCTTATGATTCTGTTTTCATTTCAATCTTTACCATGGATCTAAATACAAACACCAACAGAGATTTTATCTTCTCTTAGAAACATGTTTAAAAGAAGCATTCATTTTGTAATTAATCCTTTTTAAGCTGTTAATGTAGATTGCAGGAGACCGCCCTGAGCTCATTTCCCTACCTCAACACTCCAAAGTTGTTTCAAGAAAGGTTACTTACGTGACTAGCAGCATTTCTTAAGGAAGCAATAGTATTTTCTTGAACTTTAGCCAGCCTGAAATAGAGAAATACAGCTAACTACAGAAAAGAAAAAATGACAAAATAAAGAAGCCAACTGTATTTTCAACAGTGGAAATAGTGCTTATTTTCTATACTGAGGTTGATTTTGTGAATCTTCAAAATGCGACTATAACCATCACTTGGCTGATAGGTGCATGTATTTCATAAATGCAATGTCGATTGTAGAATATTCAAGATGAATACAGACATATCTTGCACCATACACATACTTTCCCTGTACTATGGGATTCTTTTAAAGTCAAGGTGACTTAAGGTGATCAACTAAGGAAAACAATCCTTTTCAATGGCAGGAAGAAACATAGAAACTTGCTCCTTGCAAGGAAGCCTCCAGGGGACTTAAACCTGGCAGACTGTGGCGGAGAAGACAGACATACTAACAGGGCAGAGATATTAAAATAACATTAAGATAAGGACAGGGGGCAGGCGCTGTGGCCCAGCAGATGAAGCCACCGCCTGTAGTGCTGGCATTCCATATGGGCGGCGGCTCAAGTCCTGGCTGCTGTTCTAATCCAGCTCTCTGCTATGGCCCGGGGGAAGCAATGGAAGACAGCCCAAGTGGTTGGGCCCCTGCACCAGTGTGAGAGATTAGGGAGAAGCTCCCGGTTTTGGATAGGACCAACTCCGGCCTTTACAGCCATTTGGGGAGTGAACCAGCAGATGGGAGACCTCTCTTTCTCTTTCTGCTTCTGCCTCTCTAACTCTGCCTTTCAAATGAAAAAAAAAAAAAAAAAAAAAAAAAAGAACAAGGACAGAAAGGAATAAAGCTTAATGTTTGGTAACATGTGGCCTGAAGGTACTTTTTTCCTTAAAATGTAATTTAATTTACAATTTAATTTACAGACGTAAAAGATTATAATGATCACCATGGATCCCAAAACTATCACAGAATCACTTTAAAATAAAAGCATGTAGGAGTAAAAGTTACAGTAGAAAATCTGTGGCTATGAACTACATGAACACTGGTGATCACACCAATTTACAAAGTTGTAAGGAAAAGACAAGTGTACCAGGCTGTAATCTGTGTCTGCTAAGAAACAGCGCATCTTTCTGTTGAGGTCTAGGCTGAACATTTAATTTTACTTAAACTTTCTTAGAATCATGGATGCTTGGACCAGAAAGGAACACTAGGGATAATCTTGTTCAAACCCAACACTAACACACTGAAGTCACCAAAGCTTTCTGAATCAAGTTTCCCCTCCTGGCCTTCTACTTTTAATGTCTCCCTCGTCATCAACTCAGCACAACATTAACAAGACTGACCAGAAGGCTGGTGCTGTGGTGAAGGGGGTTAAAGCCACAGCTTGAGGTACCAACATCCCATATGAGCACCTGTTCAAGTCCCTGCTGCACCATTTCCAATCTGGCTCCCTACTAATGTGCCTGGGAAAGCACTGGAAGACGGCCCAAGTGCTGCACCCACATGGAAACCCAGAAGAAGCTCCTGGCTCCTGACTGGCCCAGCTAAGGTTGTTGCAAATAAATATACATATTAAAAAAAAAAAAAAAGACTGACCAGAATCTTTGGAGAGAGTTGGCCTCTATTTGAAATTATGTTTCATTCCCAGATTATTAATAACAGTCATCTGACCTTTAATGGTCAAACCCACAAAATCTTTACCGAACATGAACTACCAAATAAATGCTGATCCTCCTCAAACATTCAACGTACTGGGCGGTCGTTGTAGAGTTCCCTGCTCCTCGATGTCCAACATCCAATGGTATTCTTGGCTTCCAATACTTGGAAAATGATGATTTCATATCACAACTGTATCCTGGTATTGGCTTAATAATTATGAAGTCAACTTTCACAGAAGAAAAAAGAGAGAGGGACAAAGATTAAAAATGATTGGAAAGGACATTATGAGCTCAATTACTTTTAATTGTACTCAAGGGGCCGACACTGTAGTACACTGGGTAAAGGAACCGCTTCAGTGCCAGCATCCCATATGGGCGCCGGTTTGAGACCCGGCTGCTCCACTTCCCGATCCAGCTCTCTGCTACGGCCTGGGATAGCAGTAGAAGATGGCCCAAGTCCTTGGGTCCCTGCACCTGCATGGGAGACCCAGAAGTTCCTGGCTTCGGATAGGCGCAGCTCCGGCTGTGCGGCCAACAGGGGAGTGAACCAGGGGGTGGAAGACCTCTCTCCGTGTCTCTCTCTCCTTCTCTGTATGTAACTCTTTCAGAAAATAAGTAAATCTTTAAAAAAAATTGTACTTAAGCCAGCTTTATCAACCTCTATCAATTAGAAAAAAACATATCAAGGGCCGGCGCTGTGGCTCACTTAGCTAATCTCCGCCTGCGGCGCTGGCATCCCATATGGGTGCTGGTTCTAGTCCCGGTTGCTCCTCTTCCAGTCCAGCTCTCTGCTGTGGCCCGGGAGGGCAGTGGAGGATAAGCCCAAGTGCTTGGGCCCCTGCACCCGCCGGGGAGACCAGGAAGAAGCACCTGGCTCCTGGCTTCAGATCAGCGCAACACCGGCCATAGCAGCCATTTGGGGAGTGAACCAACAAAAGGAAGACCTTTCTCTCTGTCTATAAATCTACCTGCTAAATAAACAAATAAATGAAAAAGAAAAAAATATATCAAACCAAAGTTGATTCAGGGGCTGGCGCTGTGGTGTAACGGGTTAAGCTGCCACCTATAATGCCAGCATCCCATATGGGTGTTGGTTTGATTCCTGGTGGCTCCACTTCTGATACAGCTCTCTGCGAAGATGGCACAAGTGCTTGGGCTCCTGCCACCTCCATGGGATAAAATTCTAGGTTCTTAGCTTTGGCCTGGCCCAGCCCTGGCTGTTGAGGCCATTTGGAGAGTGAACCAGCTGATGGAAGATCTGTCTCTCCATCTCTAACTCTGCCTTTCAAATAAAATAAACCTTTTTTAAAAAATTAATTCAAAGTAAAGCTTCTAGACAATTTAACAATGTTTTTTAAGTTGTTTTAACCAATACCCTAAAATTTTACTTTAATCTTTACACCATTCTGCAATACTCAATTTAAAAATTAAAATTCCAGCTGATGTGGTTTAGACAGCTCCTTTCTTGGGTCCTCTAATAATGACTTTGTCTTTTGTTTTAGATCCCGTGAATTTAAACTGCTTTTTAGATTAATTTTCTCCAGACTTAAAACAGTGAAATTCTAGGTGGCCAGGCACCTCAGATGGAAACAGTCTCTGTAAGCTGGCGCTGGCACTGGCACTGGCTCCCTCAAGAACCCACCTCCAGCTGAGAAGCCACCTCTTGTTGGAACCCTGTCTTGACTCCTATTCCCAACAACGCCCCTTTTTAGCATGAAGCAGCCAGAGCCATCATTGCCTAGTTCTCCTAACAGAAGGTAGAGTCCATTCATCTTGTGGAGTGGGGGGGAATGTGAGGATGGGTTAAGATTTTTTTTCTTTCAAAATCGTGCTTAAAAACCCCACTACCACCAGACATTTTGGGTTTTCTCTTGGAGCCCTGCTCCATGCCACTCTGGCTGGAGGTCTCTGACTCTAATAAATCTAAAAAAAAAAAAAAAAAAGTCAGCTGAACAACAGTTTATTTGAATGGGTCCTCCAACCTCTCCAAACTTACCTCTTACTTTGCCAATTGTTTTCCTGGAATTTCTGCTCATGATGGGAAGGGTGAGGATTCCAGCACTCTTCCCACTCTCAGCAATGGTGGATGATAAGAGGCACGCTGTTCCCACATGTCCAGGAAGAGCATCACCCTGAACTATATGTTCACTGAGATCTTCCTGAAAAAGGAAGGACCCAAAAAATGTGAATTTTTCAACTTTGTCAATTCCAAGATCAAAGAACTCTCTTAAAGTCAACTCACAATTTATGAGGGAGGACCGATGAGAAAGAAATACAATCAAATTTATAATCAGGTAATTCTGATGGCTTTATAATAAATGATACATTTATTTTAAAATATAAGATTTAACATACTGATTAGTCATAATCCTGCTGGTCTTCTAATAATGCTTCTAATATTCTAACCTGTATTAGGAGAATCTAAATCCCTGCCTGAAATTTCTAAGCACTTTTACATTAAAAATCTAAGATGTAGGGCCGGCGCCGTGGCTCAATAGGCTAATCCTCCACCTAGCGGCACTGGCACACCGGGTTCTAGTCCCGGTCAGGGCACTGGATTCTGTCCCAGTTGCCCCTCTTCCAGGCCAGCTATCTGCTGTGGGCCAGGAGTGCAGTGGAGGATGGCCCAAGTGCTTGGGCCCTGCACCCGCATGGGAGACCAGGGGAAGCGCCTGGCTCCTGCCATTGGATCAGCGCAGTACGCTGGCCGCAGCGGCCATTGGAGGGTGAACCAATGGAAAAGGAAGACCTTTCTCTCTGTCTCACTGTCCACTCTGCCTATCAAAAAAAAAAAAAGAAAGAAATCTAAGATGTATTTTTAAGGAATTTTAAGCATATATTGTAATTTTCCAATAACGTGTTTATATGGGTGGCACAAAGGGATAGTTACTGTCTAGGAAACCAAATACTCACTTTAAGATTATACTGAGTATTATGTCAGCCTAGTATATGAATAAAAACGTATTTCTGGGGCTGGTGATGTGGCATAGCGGGTAAAGCCACTGCCCGAAGTTCCAGCATCCCATATAGGTGCCGGTTCAAGTACTAGCTGCACTTCCAACCCAGCTCCCTACTAATGTGCCTGAGAAAGCAGCAAAAGACAGCCCAAGTGCTATGTGGTTGGCTGCAACCACATAGGAGACCTGGAAGAAGCTATTGGCTGCCGGCTTTAGATCTGCCCAGCTCTGGCCACTGTGGCCATTTAGGGAGCGAACCAGCAGATAGAAGATCTCTCTCAATCTCTTTTAACTCTGCCTTTTAAATCTTTAAAAAGAAAAAAAAAAAAAAAAGTACTTCCAAGGCCAACTCTGTGGTGCAGCAGGTTAAAGCCCTGGCCTGAAGCGCCAGCATCCCATATGGGTGCTGGTTCTAGTCCCGGCTACTCCTCTTCCGATCCAGCTCTCTGCTATGACCTGGGAAAGCAGTAGAAGATGGCCCAAGTCCTCGGGTCTCTGCGCCAGCATAGGAGACCCGGAGGAAGCTCCTGGCTTCGGATCGGTGCAACTCCACCCATTGCAGCCATCTGGGGAGTGAACGAGCAGATGGAAGACCTCTCTGTCTCAACCTCTTTCTATAACTCCTTCAAATAAATACAATAAATCTTTTAAAAAAAAAAAAAAGTTTTTCCAGAAATGCTAAGCCAGTCAAAGTGAAGCTAGGATGTTCAGGAGATTATTAAAAGGTAGGCAGGTTCACTTAAAACATCTTAGAGGGGGCCAACGCTGTGATGTAGTAGGCAAAGCCACCACCTGCAATGACTGCATCCCATATGGGTGCCAGTTCGAGTCCTGGCTGCTCCACTTCCAATCCAGGTTTCTGCTATGGTTTGGGAAAGCAGAAGATGGCTCAAGTGCTTAGGCACCTGGACCTGTGTGGGCAATCTGGAAGAAGCTTCTGGCTCCTGGCTTTAGATTGGCCCAGCTCTGGCCATTGCAGCCATTTCTCTCTCTCTCTCTCTCTCTCTCATTCTCTGCTTCTCTGTAACTCCGCCTTTCGAATAAATAAATAAATATTAAGGGGGAAAAAAAATGTGCTCCCTGGGGGCCAGTGTTGTGGAGTAGTGGGGAAAGCTGTTGCCTGCAATATCGTTATCCCATATGGGCACCAGTTTGAGATCCGGCTGCTCCACTTCTGATCCAGCTCCTTGTTGGGAAAGCACCAGAAGATGGAACAAGTTCTTGGGTCCATGCACCCACGTGGGAGACTTGGAAGAAGCTTCGGGCTCCTGGCTTCAAATCAGCCCAGCCCTAGCCGTTGTGGCCATTTGGGAAGTGAACTAGCAGATGAAGATCTCTTTGTCTGCATAACTCTGCCTTTCAAAAGAAAAGGCATATTCTCCTAGCCTCAAAGATTTAAACTTTATTATAGAGGAAACAGGAATGGAGACAGTAAATGAGGCAGTGGCCAAGGAAATCAGTACTTGTTTAACTACTGCACTGGGCACATGTAGAAAGGATCTGAGAAGGGTAGAAAGTATTATTTGCAGGAAGTCTGAACAGCCCGTAAGCTACCAAGTTCTAGCATAAACAGCTCTGCGAAGTTGGCAGTACAGGTTCTGTACAGCCAAGTATAAATTTTACAACTCTTTTTATTACATACATATAATACCAAGTAAAGCTGCAAAGCAAGCCCACTGTCACAATGAATCTTCACAATCAAACGCCTTATAACAAAACACCCCCAATAAATGACAGACTTGTGTCACGAAGAGGACATAACCATGCTGCTTACATCACACTGCCTGGTATTCTATTTATCCTGGGAGACTCCCCTGCATACAGCTCATTTATATTTAGATTTTTAATAAGCACAGACATCAAGACATCTAGTCTTGAATTAAAGCATCAATTCTACTGAAGTTCTCTTAATTATATTCTTAATAGTACTCCAGACCATCAACTGCAGGCTGTTTAAGTCAGCTAAAATGTGTACAGGAGCAAACATCTGAAGAGTTGTATGAATCTCAGATTTATTCATATACATATTAGATTAAAATCAAACCACATGTAAAATTAAACTCCTGCTTGCATTCACTCTTGATACTCGCACTGAAATAACTCACCTCAAAAAAATCAAAGATTAGTTCTAGGTTATCTGGTTCCATTGTCTGGATGCTGTACTCTGTCCAACGGTCAGGCTGCAAGCCATATCCACACTCTGGCTGTGAATGCCTGCACTTGAACTCATTATCACTTATTAAAGATATCTCCAGAGTATTGGACATTTTATGAAGAACAGTGGGAGAAATCCTATCATCATCATCTTCCTCTGGGCCCTCCAGTGTCAGCTTTACCCTGTATGACAGGAAAAAATAATGAAATGCAAAAAGTGGCACAGGAGGGAAACTCATAAAAATGCAACATAAGTGTTAAATTAAAAGGGAAGGGAAAGGCGGCGCTGTGGCATAGTGGCTAAAGCCACTGCCTGTAGCGCTGGTCATCCCATATGGGAGCCAGTTCGAGTCCTCGTTGCTCCACTTCCAATCCAGCTCTCTAATATGGCCTAGGAAAGCAGAAGATGGCCCAAGTCACTTGGCCCCTGCACTCGTGTGGGAAACCCAGAAGAACCTCCTGACGGCTAGCTTTGGATGGGCTCAGCTCCAGCCATTGCGACCAACTGGGAAGTGAACCAGCAGATGGAAGACCTCTCTCTCTCTGCCTCTCCTCTCTCTGTGTAACTCTGCCTTTCAGATTAATAAATAAATCTTTATATATATAGAAAAAAGACTATTAGAGGGGCCAATGCTGTGGCGTAGCGGGTAAGGCCGCTGCCTGCAGTGCCAGCATCCCATATGGGTGCCAGTTCCTTTACCAGCTACTCCGCTTCTGATCCAGCTCTCTGATATGGCCTGGGAAAGCAGGCGAAGATGGTTGAAGTGCTTGGGCCCCTGCACTCGTGTGGGAGACCTGGAAGAAGTTCCTGGCTCCTGGCTTTGGATCAGCTCAGCTCCGGCCACTGTGCCCATTTGGGGAGTGAACCAGCAAATGGAAGATCTCTCTCTGTCTCTACCTTTCCCTGTAACTGTTTCAAATGAATAAATCTTAAAGTTTTCTTCAAATAGTTATATAAATGCTTATAGTCTACCACAAAGAGACACTGACAGGTGAGCATCTGGCACAAAGGTTAAGATACTACTTGGCATATCCACATCCTGCAGTTGCTAATGTGCAACTTGGGAGAGAACAAGTGATGGCTCCAGAAGGTGGGTCCTTGCCATCCATGTGGAAGACCCAGATTGAGTTCTGGGCTCCTGGCATTGGCTTGGTCCACTGCTGGCCATTGTGGGCTTTTGGGAAGTGAACCTTTGGATGGAAAATTCTCTCTCTCTCTCTGACTTTCAAGTAAAGAAGTGCATAGTTGCTTTTTTTTTTTTTTAATTAAAAAAGATTTATGTATTTATTTGGAAGTCAGAGTTATACAGAGAGAGAAGAAATGGCAGAGAGAGGTCATCCATCTGCTGGTTCACTCCCCAACTGGCCTCAATGGCCAGAACTGTGTTGATCCAAAGCCAGGAGCCAGGAGCTTCTTCCAGGTCTCCCACATGGGTGCAGGGGCCCAAGGACTTGGGCCATCTTATACTGCTATCCTAGGCCACAGCAGAGAGCTGGATTGAAAGTGGAGCAGCCGGGTCTCAAACTGGCACCCATATGGGATGCTGGCATGGCAGAAGGTGGCTTTATCTACTATGCCATAGCGCTGGCCCTTTTTTTTTTTTTTTAAGCAAGACATTTATATTGTTTTCCACCTACTGGTGGAGTCAATCAAAGAGAGAACAGTGTTGTTTAATACTTGGTGATGAGGCTGGCACCGTGATGTAGCAGGTAAAGCTGCCACCTGCAGTGCCGGCATCCCATATGGGTGCCGGTTTGAGTCCCAGCTGCTCCACTTCCAATCCAGCTCTCTGCTATGACCTGGGTTAGCAGTAGAAGACGGCCCAGGCTCATGGGCCCCTGCACCCCCGTGGGAGACCCGGAAGAAGCTCCTGACTCCTGGCTTTGGATTGGTGCAGCTCCATCGGTTGCAGCCATTTAGGGAGTGAACCAGTGGGTGGAAGATCTTTCTCACTGTCTCTCCCTCTCTGCCAATCTGCCTTTCAAATAAATAAATCTTAAAAAAAAAAAGCTTGGTGATAATGAGATGCAGGAATACTGTTTTATTTTAAATGCCTAAGTTAAATTTTTAAAGTGCTGACTGCTTGCAGATAAATTTATTTTTTATCTTAAGAAAGCTTAGTCTAGGAAGGAAGACCTTTCTCTCTGTCTCTCTCACTGTCTATAATTCTACCTGTCAAATAATAATAATAAAAAAAGCTTAGTCTATCATTAATATGAATTAGGAAGGAAAATGATAGTCAGAACAAACATCAATTTCTAGCTGTGCATAATTATTTCAAAAGAAATCAAGTAATTTATAAAACGAAACTAAGTAGTTACAAGAAAAAAATATCACAATTTAAGTCTATGCACTCAATAGTATATACAAACCCTCAAAGTGATTTTCACATAAACAAGAATGATGCAGAACTCAGTTTTCACATGCATTCTAATCAGATGCCCCAACCATTGATTACCTATTTACTTTTTAACAGCAGCCAAGGGGGAAAAATCCTGCAGGTCAACCCACCAACTAGGTTTTATCTTCTATTGATGCCTTTATTTCAAGGTCTTTTTTTAAGTTACTACAGTGTTGCAGAATCAAAGTAGAAGGCAAGAAAAGCCATGGCAAGATACCTACACCCTAAATCCTCTACTCATAGCTGAAGGGGCCACCACAAAGGATTAAAGTGCCACTTAACCTTTTCCTTATCTATCATTGAGATCTGTGAGTACTATAATATTTAACCACTCATGGCAAAATATTTATGCATTTACAAACTGTAATATCATTATGAATTTTACTATGAAGATAATAAATGTTATATTATCAATCAATGTTAACAAAAATGGCCCTTTCAATCCAGGCCTGACATTTTGCCATAAAAGGCTGCATTACATATGAAAACACAGAACCCGCAGTCTCAAAATCACAAAAATTCTCAAGTGAAAGGGATGTCTGGGTCTTCAAGAAACTAGCTCAGTCCAAGTTATAATATTTCGCAGCAGGGGAGGAAGTCACTAATTAACCACTTACACAAAGCTTGACATCTCTAGCTCTTAAATTGGTATAGACTTTTAAAAAATAATCTGGACCAGTTCTGTGGCATAGTGGTTAAAGCCGCCGCCTGCAGTGCCGACATCACATATGGGTGCCAGTTTGAGTCCTGGCTCCACCACTGCCAATCCAGCTCTCTGCTAGGGCCTGGGAAAGCAGTCGAAGATGGCCCAAGTCCTTGGGCCCCTGCACCTGCGTGGGAGACCTGGAAGAAGCTCCTGGCTCCTGGTTTTGGATTGGCACAGCTCCTGCTGTTGTGGCCAATTGGGAAGTGAACCAGCAGATGGAAGACCTCTCTCTCTGCCTCTCCTTCTCTGTCTGTGTAACTCTGGCTTTCAAATAAATACATAAATCTTTTTAAAAAATAATGATATGGAACAGCTATGATAACTGCTGCCTTCCATCATACAAAATTTTTCATTTTTGAGTCACAGCAAAGTTTAGAACTCTGAAGGATATTTCCAATCATTTTTTTTCTGTATATGCCATTCTCCTCTCCCTTAGCACAAAACTTTGGCTATATCAATTTTAAGACAAACTTTTACTGCTATAGAAAATGTTAAATGATAGAAAGTACAAAGATACATAAACTTAAAAATTATCTACATAAAAACATTTTTCTGGTTCTGAGTTTCAAGGTAACACTAACCTAGGTACATGCTGCAACAGCAATCTGAGCAGTTCACTAACACAAAACCCTGTGGTTACCAGAAGATATGACATAATCTGTTAGGTGTCTACATTTAATGGCTAAAACCAAATGGGTGAGAAATCTACAGCAATAAGAAAAATAAATGGCAGAAGTAAAAAAAATACATGTGCATACCTAAATCTAGATTTCTTCAACTTTTTCTTGGTAATTGAGACAGGAGGTTTTTCAGAATAATGCAAGCGTAATCTTATTTCAGTCTGACATGTCAGCCATCCAGAATCCAGAGTTTCAACACCATCTGGCAGAGTAAATATATGAAGAACAGTGATTATTAAACACTTTTTAAAAAATAGCCCAGTAATTACAATACACACTAATGATTCCAGTTCTCTTTCAAATTTTAATACACTGAAGTTATAACATTGGTCCTTCCCCCATAGCAAATACACAGTCTTAAAATTTGTCACTAAAAAAGTTTCATTTGAAAGGAAAAAAATGTTAAGCTATTCACAATTAGCTATGCTTTAAAAAGTAAATTAAAATATTCTTATCAGACTCATTGTTTAAGTAACACGGATCTATTTCAGAATGAGTCCATGTTCCAAGATAGCTTCTAATCTAGTTAAGCGTTTCATTGGGGATTACTATTAAACTTCAGTGCTTCAGAGGAGATGCTCAGCTGAATTATTATGCCACACTAGTGGTGAGGCGTGAGATGTAGGAAGGTAGGAACAAAACTGCAAGTCAACTCTCCATTCTCATATCTATATATCCTGTGATAAAATATACTTATTTTGTGTTAGCACTCTTTAACTTGAAATTATCTAACATAGATAATAAGTTTCATCTATAGGGATTAAAGAAATTAAACATCTCTCCATAGGTATAATTTAATGTTTAATAATTGTCAAATTTTAAACACTGCTTGTAGAAATGGATGTAATGGCTTTTCATCCTGAAAGCTAACTCAAGCTGAATTCAGCAGAATAACAGCCACAACAAAGGAGAGAAGTGCTGTGTATTTAACCCTAGCCCTGAAACAATAAACACTGATGCTGTTCAAGTAGTAGACTAATGTAATATAAACAATCCCAGACCACATTAAAGAAGTTAAATTCGTACCCAAATACTCCGAGAGCACATACTCGTCTAATGTGTCCCAGCATATGAGGATGCATAAAGGAAAACTACAATCAAAAACATTCAAGCCCTTTTCCTCCCTGTGCTTGACAGGAAACTGGTTATTGGCAATTTATCTCTAGGTCACACGTTCTTCCGACCCTTTTCTACCTTTTAACTCCCTAGGTACAGTAAATTAGAATGCAATTTAGCAAGATAATCTTGATAACAATATGACAATTCCAGTCATTAAAGAAAATCTGAATTATTAGGATATAGTATTTACTAAAGCAAAGAAGTATACAAATACATTTTCAGTTAAAAATTTTTACTCGATTGCAAATTAGTTTTTACAGGTTCAGCCATGGCAGGTTATTATGGCACAGTGGGGTAAGCCAGTGCTTGGGATAACCACATCCACATCACAGTGCTGGTTCAAGTCCTGACTGCTCTGCTTCCAATCCAGTTTTCTGCTTATGTGCCTGGAAAGGCAGCAGATGATAGCCCAAGTACTTGGGTCCATCACCCACATGGGAGACCCAGATGGAGTTCTAGGCTCTTGGCTTTTGCCTGACCCAGCCCCAGCAGCCGTTGTAGGTATCTGGAAAGTGAACCAGCAGACGAAAGGTCTCTCTTTCTCTCTCTCCCTTTCTGTCATTCTGTCCTTCCAAATAAACAATCAAATGTTATTTAAAAAAAAAAAAAAAAAAGTCAGCCAGAATTACTAGAACATTCTGGCCAGTCTCAGTTTTACTGTAAGTGCACATACAGGGGCTAGAGTTGCGGCAAAGCAAGTAAAGCTGCCACCTGTGATGCCAGCATCCCATATGGGTGCTGGTTTATGTCCCGGCTGCTCAACTTCAGATCCAGCTTCCAGCTAATGGCCTGGGAAAGGCAGTGGAAGATGGTCCAAGTGTTTAGGCCCCTGCCACCATATAGGAATCCCAGATGAATTCCTGACTTTGGCCTGGCCCAACCTTGACCATTGTGGCCATTTGGGGAGTAAACCAGTGAATGGGAGCTCTCTCTCTCTCTCTCTCTTTGAAAATAATCTTTAAAAAAATGCATACACAATCACATAATGTACTTACTTAGCCAAAGAGTTACAATTCATACTTTATACCTTTAGAACTACTTATCATTTTCAAACATAATAGTGTTAAAGTATATTAAAAGTTAAGAATACCACTTTTTTTTTTTTTTTTTTGGACAGGCAGAGTTAGACAGTGAGAGAGAGAGACAGAGAGAAAAGTCTTCCTTTTTTCCGTTGCTTCACCCCCCCAAATGGCCGCCACGGCTGGCGCACTGCGCCGATCAAGCCAGGAGCCTGGTCTCCCATGCGGGTGCAAGGCCCAATTGGGCCATCCTCCACTGCCTTCCCAGGCCACAGCAGAGAGCTGGACTGAAGAGACAGGACAGAATCCGGCGCCCCAACTGGGACTAGAACCCAGGGTGCCAGTGTCGCAGGCGGAGGATTAGCCAAGTGAGCCACGGTGCCGGCCTAAGTATACTACTTTTAAGTTAACTGTATGAACTCATACCTGAAGTCATTAGTTAAAAATCAAAAAGGTAAAATTTTAAAACATAGCAATTATGTTTCTGGAATCTAGTCTCTACTTTCAAGATCATTCTATGCCCTATTTCTCTGTGCTATTTATTTCCAATGAAATGTGAAGTAGCATCTTAATCATATCAGTAAACATTTTCACAACTCAGTCTCACTTACTGTGGATTCCAAACTGTCCGTCATCAATAGTAATTTCATTTTCTAGAATTCAAGGAAAATAGAAAACCTAGTTAAAATTCATGAGGTACATAAAATGAACAATTCAGAAACTGCCCACCTTAGGACTGTTTAAAATATTTTATCTACAACTTAACAAGCATCCTAAAGTGAATAAGCATATTTATTGTAGCCCTCAATAAAGAATGCCCTTTTAAGGAGGCTTTGCCAACAAGATTGTTCTTACAGACTTTGTTGATTGTTCACGAAATTAAAAGGACGAGAAAGGAAATTCCTCAGCAAGGTGCTCTAGAGGCACTGGGACAGACTCCCACACCCACCCACGCAGGAGCCTTAAGTTGCTGGACAATGATAACTCCTTTTTGATGTTTCAAACCCAACATCTTGGCACAATTAAAATGCTTATTCTTATGTAGTGCATATTCTGAACTCATCTAAAATATAGTTCTCAAATTCCAACTATTCGCTATAGCCAGCTAAAAGCTTCTCAAATAGCAAACTTACCTGTAAGTACAAAGCTGTGAGGAACTACCAAAAAAATAAGCACTAGTAGGCTTCTTTCTAACAAGATTGCAACTAAACCACAGCTGTAAAGCCCCACCCTCTGAGGATATACTAATTATCTTCCTTGCTTACATCCCTTCCCAGTTTACTTTAAATGTAAGTCTGAAATGTTAAAATAAATGATGGTTCCTAATAAAGACTCTCACACAGAACACTTTTTTAACTTTAACAGCTATATTTCCCAAGCGTAAAAATAAATTTTTCTGTAAGAACAAAATCATTCTACATTTCACAATAATATATTTAATTGCAAGATACCTCAAAATGCAAAATTTTTTAAATGCTGAATCTCTAGTAAGTTCCAACCTCAGTATGGGACTAATGTACAATTCAAAATATTCTATCATAAAATTGTTAAATATACTATCAAAAATGTACTAAAACATACCAAAAAAATTCCAGAGAGGACAGAATGAGATGTTTGTTTAAAGATGTGTCCTCACTACAGTGTAAGTGGAACCTCCCACTGCTTTACCAGCCAGCTACCTTTCCATTTACCTCTAGACACTAGAAGATACGGTCCTCAGCAATGAATCAATTTACAGATGAGTACAAGCAGGTAATTTAATGCATGTGAAATGAATTTCAAATTCTATTTTCAATATGGAAAAGGAAATTCGAAAATATTGTATGAAGAGAAATGCCATTTTATAGGCATAAGAAAACTGAACAGTGTTTTACAAAACAAAAAACTCTCTGGATTTTAATTCTAACACAGCCAGCAGGGAATTTAAATCAATTAGGAGTAACATGTCTACTATAACAAAGAAATCTGGATTCATGCAAGTTTATTCAAGTACATACTAGCTTAAAAAAAAAAAAAAAGAAATGGAATAATTTATTCCATTACTCTCACTATACGAAGGTAAAAAATTAAGAGTCATTGCTCTGGATTAATTCTTTCCTCAAATGTCCTTTACGCCTGAGCATGTAATCAAATAAAGCCATGATGCTCAGTCAAGATGAATGTTATTTTTCAAGCCTCTAACTACTCCAAATAAAAATGATTAAAAATAAATTAACCAAACAAAATGAAATAAAAACTAGGCAAGCATGTCTAATAAATTTTATAAAGAAAGGCAATTAGGAACTATTTAGTTTTGAAAGTAAAATCCACGAAATGCTAAGTGAACTCTGTAGTACTGACAATTCATTGACTTTAAACTTTAGAATACAACCTTATGAAATCCCACTAAGCCATTGTCCAGCATATTAGTAACTTTATGCATATGCCTCAAACAGATGCAGTTAATGCCCATACCTAAAGGGGTTATTGATCGTGGTTGTAGATGAGTCTCCCACTTGTGAACTATGACTTGACATGGACCACCGATAGTCTGCAATTTAAAAGTTAAACGTCTGCAATAATTTCTTATACCTTATTTTCTACCCATGACTCCATTAGATGTTTGTGGCCTAAGTCTTATACTAAATATGAGACCAAGAGATTCATCTTGTTAGTTATCAATATTATATGCCAAAAATCAGGAATGTACCAGGTCACAAAACATGATGAAAATGCTGGAAGAAAAGGAGAGTGAGGCAGTAAGCAAAGAAAAATGAGATGAACTGGCATACAAGACTGTCTTAAACCCATTCTTGTATCTACCTCCAATACTTAATTTTTCTGCAAAGAAATTTTAATTTTTAACTTCTATTGTGTCATTAAAGCCAACACTAAATAAATTTTGTTTAGTATGTCAGCAATCAATGAAGTCTTACTAAAGTATTCTCTATTTTAAGTAACTCTCCAAGTGTTTAAAAAAAGCCTAACCAGTCTACAATATGAATAGTAGAAACAAGTATATCAGGTTCAATTATCACAAATTACAAAGAAGTAAAGTTCTTTATTTAAGAATATAAGCAGAAAATAAGAATATCAAAGTTCTTAACATCACAGCACTTCTTCTTTTTTTTTTTTTTTTGACAGGCAGAGTGGACAGTGAGAGAGAGAGACAGAGAGAAAGGTCTTCCTTTTGCCGTTGGTTCACCCTCCAATGGCCGCCGCTGCAGCCGGCGCACCGCGCTGATCCTGGCAGGAGCCAGGAGCCAGGTGCTTTTCCTGGTCTCCCATGGGGTGCAGGGCCCAAGCACCTGGGCCATCCTCCACTGCACTCCCTGGCCACAGCAGAGGGCTGGCCTGGAAGAGGGGCAACCGGGACAGAATCCGGCGCCCTGACCGGGACTAGAACCCAGTGTGCCGGCGCCGCAAGGCGGAGGATTAGCCTAGTGAGCCGCAGCGCCGGCCAACATCACAGCACTTCTAAAGAACACAAGAAACCCTAAAGAAAGGACACATGCACAGGTGAATTTGAAGGGCAAATATGATAATAGGGGAACTAACAGTCTCATCCCTTAGAATTTATATTCATACTGTAATAATTCATAATACTGTCTTCTGCTATCAATTCCCTTACTAAAACATAAATGTTGTTATGTTTTATGTTATGTTATGTTAAAACATAAATGTTATGGATAACACATAGAGCAATTTTAGACCAACAATGAGCCACAAAAGATTCTGAATGTACCTAAAAGACCAAAGTTTAAGTGTTCTAATTTTCCTTTAATTCTTAAAAAAAATTAGCTAATTAAAACTATGTGACAAAGGAAAACACTAAAATACACATTTTGAAAGCAAATTTTCAAATAACCTTATACAATACTTTGATTTTTTTTCTTCTTTACATGTTCTTTGACCCTTTTTCTAGGCAGATTATACATTACTATATGTGCTACTGAAGTGAGCACATGTTATATATAAAAAAGCCCAAGACACACAAGCTTCTCTTTATATACATTCTTTAGATACCATTAAATACTCTTGTATATCTTACAGAATTTCAATGTTAATTGTATTTGATAATAAGCATGCCAAATGATAGCAAATATCTAATAAATTTGGCACTTTTTTTATTTAAAGATTTATTTATTTCTTTGAAAGGCAAAGTTAGAGAGGCAGAGAGGCAGAGAGGCAGAAAGAGAGAGAGTCTTCCATCCTATGGTTCACTCCCCAAATGGCCACAACCACCAGAGCTGGGCCAATCTGAAGCCAGGAGCCAGAAGCTTCTTCCAGGTCTCCCACATGGATGCAGGGGGCCCAACGATTTGGCCACCTTCTACTGATTTCCCAGGCCATAGCAGAGAACTGGATCGGAAGTGGAGCAGCCAGGATTCAAACTGGCATCCATATGGGATGCCAGCACTGCAGGTGGTGGCCTTACCTATATGTCACTTAAAATAACCAGGCTAAATTTTTTGGTATATATAAACTTGTGAAGCTTAAAGGCTAAAAAGCATTAGCTATTCACTCAAATCATTAATCTTGAGATACTAAATGAAATGCTCTTTTTCTTTAGCTGCATACCTCCTTGCTAGAGAAGTTCACTTACGGTGGATTATCAAAGGAATGTATTCTCTTATCCTAAAATGTGATACATTTAATTTCCATTACACTTTTTAAAAAGGAAATATATTTAATCCTACATCTGCTAGATGTTTTTTACTACAACTTTCTTCCTGGCTATTTAAAAAAAAAAAAAAAACAAAAAAAAAACTAAACTTTCTAGCTGTCAAAAGATGCAAAGTGCACATTAAAAATAGGAACAGTAATATATTTAATCCTACATCTGCTAGATGTTTTTTACTACAACTTTCTTCCTGGCTATTAAAAAAAAAAAAAAAAACTAAACTTTCTAGCTGTCAAAAGATGCAAAGTGCACATTAAAAATAGGAACAGTGTTTCTTAGCATTATGCCTTTCCTCTACCTCTCCCATCCTCCTGCATGTCCTTTCCCTAAAACTCCCGTCTCTAAAGATGGGGCAGACTTAAATTCATATAAAAATTAACAATCAAAGATGAGTTGAAAAGGGTGCCATCAACTTATTATATGTTGACAGCGATTGAAAAGTGGGTGGAAAAAACGAGAGGGTGTAATTTGCTTTGTTAAATTTAATACAGGGGAACATTACAAAGTTTTGAGTGTTTTATCTATAATTACGTAAGAATTGTCCTGTGGATTAAATACTTGATAGGGAATCTATTTTCATAGCAATTTTAATATCTCCACTCTCTTTTCAGTAACAAAGCTATGACATAGCATAAAACAATCCAGACTTGAACTAACTGCAGAGACCTGAGGGGCAGTCTGAGGGCCAGTTCTGCAGATGACTTACAGGTCTACCTGCATTCAGACTACAAGTCCATGTTACTTGGTACATGAACTGCCATAATATTGGGTAACAAAAACTTGTTTTAAAATACACTGAAAATCCAAAATGGTTACAACTACATTTGACATCCTTTTACAAATATTTAAGAAATGTCTTAAACATTAGAAAATTTAAAATTTCAGTGATGACACTAAAGCATGCAATCCTTTCTAATAAACTAAATGTACTAACTCGTTCATCAAGATTTTAAAAAATTAACAGTTCCAATCTGCAGAAGGCATCAACAATTGTAAGGTTTTTGAGTAAAGTAGAAGGTGGATCTTTGGGGGGGAAAAGTAACAGTAACAATCTAAGATAATACTCCATTAACTGTACTTGTAGAACTATTTCAATTTTGCAGATACAAAAATCAGATGGCTACAGAAATGTTTCCAAACATATATATTAACAAAAACAATAAAAAAAATTTGTTTTAAGGGGAAGAACAAAAGCCTTACTGATTGCTTTCTTGAATAATTGCTGACTTCACTCAGCTCTATGCAGCACTGAGAAAAACAAGATCATCTAACATGGAGACTGGAGTTTTATTTTTGTTATTTAATAAATCACCAAAAATTATCACTAGTCATGCAGTATCACCACTGGTAGATATGAAATTTTAAAACTGTTACTGATTGTTTTCTCTACACAATTTTCCAAATATCTATATGTAAAAGGGGAATTGAGAAAATTTTACCTATGATATCATACAGAGATCAAACCCACTGTCATTTAAAAATCTCTGTTTAGTAAGACAAGTAAGGAAAATGGTTACCTAGGCATGAGTAAAGCAAAGTAAGCTAAGTGGAGAGGTATATCTGAGAAGACTCAAATCTCAAGCATCCAGAAGAATTTTACTACATTAAGAAACCACTACACAAAATGACATTATCTAGGCTATCCTGAAAATGAGCAATTATCTGCCTAACACTGACTATTTTATTAAAAAATTTAAACAAAAATCAAGGGAGATTAAGACCAAATAAGATAATGAATCTAATCATGACTGAATGTTAACATCTATTAAAGTCAGAAACATAGCTATGTTACCAAAAAGCAAAGATGTATTTTGATTAAAAAATAAGGAAAAACAACAAAGGTAGAATTAAAAACTGGCTAACACTTCATTATAAAACACTCATAATTCCAACCATCTGCAAAAGATAGTAGATATTGATTTTAAAAATGCTTAAATTACATGTTAATTCAAAACGAGTATGTGGAGAAGATGAAAAATTAATGTACTACCTATCTGTAGGCTCATCCAATGTTTTCACTCCAAAAATACTACTGTTACATTTAAATTAGTTTACCATAACACCTAGAGAATTATTTAAAAATTTAAACATGAATATTTTATTCTAATTGCATAAAGTGTAAGAGAAAATGTAGCTATGAAAAACTGAGGAAAAAATATTTTGAAACTTTTAACTTTTAAACTAAAAGTAATATGCCAGAAAAAGCAAAGTATGGAAGAGAAAACATGAATGATAAAATTTTATTTTTTCACAATAAAATTTTAGTAATGAAAGGGACCTAAGAAATCTACAATTCAAACATTTCATTTTATAGATGAAGAAGCTTAAGCCTAAAGGATGAGTGGTTTGTCCAAAACCATAAGCTTTTACTTAAACTTTTGACCCAGTAAAATTAACCTTATCTCCCATTTTAACTTTTTAATGTCCTCATCATTACTCTGCTTCCCTATCATTCTTTATGCTCATAAAATGTTTCCCTTTAGTTTACATCATTTCAAGATTTAAGATTCCTTGCACATTACTTCCATCATTTGATAACATACAACTGAGACAAAGTTTCATAATTCTAATAAAAATGTTTTATTTAAAAAGTGCCACCAACTTTTAAAAGAAAATTGTCACTTTAAGCTAGCATATGGGGAAAAAAAACTCTATCCATATGCATGGAATTTTATGTAGCTATTTACTCTATTCCATGAAAAACATACTTACCATGGCAGCCCCTGCATCACACGGTACATGTGTACACGATACAGAGCACCTACTTAAAGAAACACACTCACCAACACATACTGTAAACTTTTGCAAGTATTACAAGGGGAAAACTTGTTTTTTACTGTTAAGCAGAGTTCTTGCCAATTTTTCCAAAGGGCATTTGAGTGATTTTGCTCTTTTTGGTTACATTTTCAATGAAAAGGAATATACAGGTTGGCTTGATTTAACATATGTTGACAAAAGTCTTACTTTAGAAATCATGGGTCTTCTCACCTAAATTCTCCTTTCTAAGTAAAATTTGATTTCATATGCTGTAAGGCTAACAAAACATGCTCAATAAACTTTCAATGTCTTGAGCGCTATAACCTACATTTCTATACATAATTGTTCAATTTATACTGAAGAACTTTGCCATGCTGCATAACACCCATACAAATGATAGATGCCCTTTTCTTAAGTTGTTAAAGTAAGACAACTGTCAAGGTAAGCCAATGATCGACCAAAATGTAATTTAAGTTCAGTTACTGAATACTTATATAATAAAATATTCTTAGAATGAGAACGTAATAGGTGCAAAAGACAGCTGACGTGGGTTTGTCAGTTTTCATTCTTTTTTTATAATGGTGGCTAAGAGAACAAAGTAACAGTGGCTGCTTGCACTTTTTCGCATGTAACTAGTGTTCAACAGCCCCCAAATGAAACCCATTTTTAAGAAAGTTCTAATTCAAGTGTCATTTCCTAACCCCCTGCCTAAACCTTTTTCACATGCAGCCCAACTGTGCCCCAAAGTAAAACTCTGAAGGAAAAAAAATCCTTTCAGCAAATAACTATCTGTAGACTAAAAGGAAAAGAACCAAGTGTTTTTCTTTACTAAATATGAAAACAATCCCCAAATAATAAATTGTTGTGAATAGGCAGGTTGAGAATAGATATTTCAAAGGCCTTCAGAAAAGATCCTGGCCTAGCAATATCACCTTTGAAAAAAGTCTAAGAGGAATCACGTCAATTTTCATAGAAGTTAAAACAATACAGCCATTAAGAAATGGCTACAGTGAAATAATTTTACAAAACAATTAAAGCTGGCTATGCACTCCTCTAAATATATTTACGCCACAAAAGGATTCAAAACAAAACAAAAAGGAAAATCTTTGCAATTGGTTACTAACTAGTTTACAAAAGTTACAGAAAATGCATACCTATAGAGAACATTTATCATTAAAACCACTTTCATGATAAGAATATTGCAGAATATACTTACTATTATTAGGCTTTTAAAAATTCCACAGCAGAAAATGTCTGCCTCTGAAGTGGTTACTTTCTTGCATTTTTAATACCAAATTTGTTACTAACCAAGAATTCTGTTCCTTATTTGACCCAGACTCATTTTGCTTTTAATGTTTTCAAATGTGAGTTGCTTTTGAAAGAAGTGTTAAAGACATTGGAAAACAGATAAAGAAAACATACCTTTGGTTCTAAAAAGCACCCTTTGAAGTAGCGATACTGAATTGATACTCCTCTACTGAGGGCAATGGTTGCTTTCCATAACATGCTGTGAGGACAGAACAATCAAAGCAACAGCATCAGTATCAAACTAAAATGCCTAAAGACTTCATAATTTATGGAGCCTCTAGAACAAGATATGAGGCCAATACCACTCTTTTACGCCTACACAGGATTTTACTTCAGCCCTTTTGTGCAGCAGGCAAAAAACACATAAATATCGCTACGAAGCGGCTTTGGGACTCAGGCCTTTGCATCCCAAGTGCAGGGTGACCATCCAGCAAGTTAACACGCATGACGCAACTGTCCCTGGGTCTAAGGGTCCTGGTCCAGGCTCTGGCTATTCCCCTAACCATGAAAACAGTGTATCTTGTTTCAATTCAATGTTCTGGCTTGGAATTACGCTAATCTTAACAGCAACTGAAGCTCTGACTCAACATTCTGCCACAAAGTGAACAAATTCACTACCCTTCATGATTGTAACTGATTTTGAGCTTCAAATCACAGAACAATGGTATCCGAAATCTGGTCCCAGGATCCTTAATATCATCTGGGAACTTATTAGAAATGCAAACTCTCAGGCTGCATGCAGATCTATTGAAGCCTTGGGCTGAGTCCAGCAATCTGTACTTTACAAGCCAAGATTGAGAGCCACTGTCAGAGACCACCACCCAAACATGAATTCAGCCCAAGAGTAGCTCAGGGAACACAGGGCAGCTCCAAATGCTCTTCTATGAGACCGGATGCCACCTCTGCTCCCAGACTGGCTCCACTAAGGCATTATCCTCTCTGAGGCTCAATCCTGGCTCTTAACAAAATACCCACAACCAGATGTTACCCATGTCCCTAGTTTCAACAATCTCTGATTCTACCCTGAGAGGTTCTGATTTTATAGGCCTGGCCATTTAGAGTTTGATCACAAACTTCACGGGCACTTGGATGTAGGTGGTTTGTGGAAGTCACTGCTATAAAATGAGTACAGCAAATGTGTGGCACATGTGCCCCTACTTTTCCCTGTTAACTCTCAGAATCTTTTTCAACACAGGGTACCAGACAGACTACCAACTCAGAGATGAAATCTGCCATCGCTCCTATGAGAAAATGGCAAAAATTCCAGTACTACTGATCCACAGTCAGCCAAAGAATATGAAACTAGCCATGATGTGCACAGGATTTATGGTTAAGCTTTGGGAAATGTGCTGGGATTCCTGTCTCATCCACTATTTCTAAAGCTCTAGGAACAGGGGACATAGGTGTGTATATGTTTTAAAAGCCCTTCCAAATGATTCTAATGTATACCCCTGTTTAAGAACCACAAAATGAAGAGATGGCAAGGCAAAGCAATGCGTTTTTTCACCACTTCTCTAAGGAAACATACCAAAGTTAAGAATAAACCATGGGGGAGCTGGTGTGGCTTAGTGGGTAAAGCCACTGCCTGCAGTGCTAGCATCCCATATGGGCACAGTTAGAGTCCCGGCTGTTCCACTTCCGATCCAGCTGTCTGTTGTGGCCTGGGAAATCAGTGGAAGATGGCCCAAGTGCAAGCTTGGGCACCTGTACCCACATGAGAAACCCAGAGGAGGCTCCTGACTTCAGATTAATCCACCTCTGGGCATTGCGGCTATTTGGGGAATGAACCAGCAGATGAAAGACTTCTTTCTCTTTTTTGTTCTCTCTCTTTGCCTCTGCCCTTCAAATAAATAAATAAATCTTAATAAAAAAAAAAAAAAAAGAATAAGCCATGGGGCCAGCACTGCGACAAAGTGGGTAAAGCTACTGCCTGTGATGCTGGCATCACATGGGTGCCAGTTTTGAGTCCTGTCTGCTCCATTTCCAGCTGTTCAGAGCCTTTGAGGAATGACCCAGCTCTGCCTTTCAAATAAACTTTCAGAGTGTAAGTTGGGGGTGGAGGGTGGGAGGCAGATTGAAAATCACAGGCACAGAGGACTTACATGCTGAAATCCCAAAGAAAAACAAGAATCCTGTCTAAACGCAAAAGATTTCCCTGTGTCATCTATTTCTGTTCTCCCTGTGAAGCACTGTTTATCTGCTAGATATGAATCAATTTTACTTCAGTGTACATCAGTGAATAAATGGCTGGCCCCTTAAAGTGAAGTAATCAAAGGGGCCAGCACCGTGGCATAGTAGGCTAAGCCTCCGCCTACAGTGCCAGCATCTCATTTGGGCGCTGGTTCGAGTCCCAGCTGCTCCTCTTCCAATGTAGCTCTCTGTTTAATGGCCTAGGAAAGCAGTGGAAGATGGCTCAAGTGCTTGGGCCCTTGCACTCTCGTGGGAAACCTGGAAGAAGCTACTGACTCTTGGCTTCAGACCAGCCCAGCTCAGCTCCAGCCATTGCAGCCATTTGGAGAGTGAACCAGTGGATGGAAGACCTTTCTGTCTCTCTCTCTGTAACTCTACTTCTCAAATAAATAAAGCAAACAAAAAGGGAAGTAGTCAGGTGCTGTCTCATTCTATTCACACTACTTTGACCAGGTTGGGTAAAATCGACTCAAGACAGACAGAGTATGTTTTATTGAGAAGTTCAAAAAGGCATGAGATTTCACTTAAGACAGGAGTGGCTGATCAGAAAAATCAAGGAAAAGCAGCCATTTGAGGGGAATAAACAACTCGTCACTCTGTAAAAGACTGGGAAAAATGCTATACTAATATCATTTTTCAGCAGAATTCTACCCATAAAAACAGGTGAGAAAATGTGTCATTCCACAAGCAAGAAGAAAGGTGTTCTAGTGCATTTTTGTTTTCCCTTACAAAACTCACATTATGGAGCTACTTTCCTTTCCTTTTGTTACCCCTCTGTTTTGCCATTAGTGCTCTTCAAATTATCTGCTGTGAAGAATCAGTTTTTGTTTGCTTGTTTCTTTTCCCAATCTGTCTGGAGACTAATACCTCTGTGGTCCATGACCCCAGTTCAATGAAGTCAGTCCATGATGACACATATGGATGTCCTATAGGTATCAAATTGCTAAAAACATATATAAATGTCTGCTTTCAAATTTTGTATCTCTTACCTCACAGAACTAACCTAAACTCTACCAGGTCACCAAGGCCTAGAAACAGTTCTGCCCAAGATCACAGTTGACTGAATGTTGGCAGCCAGCACCATGCTCCCCTTTCCCCAGCTCACTGAACTGAAGGTAAAGTTTAATGCTGGATTCAATACTGCTAGCAAATGCGCTTCTTCACGTTACCTAAGATAAAACTTAAGTGTGTGCTCCACTCTGTGCTCCTTTACATCAATACCATATACTTCTCAACTAAATAACTGCATAGGTGAAAATAATTAATTAGATCTAGGGGTCGGCATTGTGGCGTAACAGATTAAGCTGCCACCTGCAATGCCAGCATCCCATACAAGCACCGGTTGAGACATGGCTGCTTCACCTCCAGCTCAGCTTCCTGCTAATGTATCTGGGAAAGCAGCAGAGGAGGACCCAAGTCTTTGGGCTCCTGCACCCATGTGAGAGCTGGAAAAAGCTCTTGGCTTCAACCTGGCCCAGCACTGGCCATTGCAGTCATCTGGGGAATGAAGCAGCAAATGGAAGAGAGCTCTCTCTCTCTCAACTCTGCCTTTCAAATAAATAAACCTTTTTCTCAAAAATTAATTAGATAACAAAAAAAATTAATTAGATCTTATCTAGAATATGAACTGATAATCTAAAAGATAATGACTAAATGTTTTAAATAAGGCAATATAACCCTGTTATTTATAAATATGGTAGTAAATCCTAAAAGAACCAGTTTAAGCACATGTGATAACCTTAATCAAAATTAAAACACAAAAGAAAAAAAGTCTCTCAGGAATCTGAGTTCTGTAACCTGAATGTCATGCTGCTCTGTAACCTGACACTTCGTGCTTACCTTTCATCGGTCTCATTCTCTGGAAGAAGAGTGACAGCATTTTGAGGATTCCAGTTTCCCAATGCATCACAGCTCCCACATATTGCAAAAACTTCTCCTGAAGAGCAAAACCATCAACCACAATGTCAGGTTTAAGCAGCAAAGTTTCACATTTTTGAAAGCAGTTGCTCTATCTAGTTCAACTGAATGCAGAATCTCCATTAGCAGAGCCAAAAGAGCCTCACTGGAACCTGCACTCGGCTGAGGGACCACACTAGCACCTTATCTGATTCACTCTTTCAGAACCAAAAATACCAGAGAAAGGGGGGAGGCACAGGGATGAACTTCCCTTCATTTGTTCAACTACTTAGCAAACCAGTAACAAGTACTCAAAAATATAAAGTGATAAAATACCTTCTTGTGGGGAGCAACCCGGACTAGACTAAGTTACTCGAATTAAGACTTATTCTATGCACCTGCTCTCCCACAATATGGCGCTGGGAGAGGAGTAAACAGCTTCCGCACAGCTGCCTCCAGTTCAACCAATAAACTGTAGGACTTGCTCCTGATTGGAGGAGAGCAGCGTACTCGGCGTGTGGGCAGCCGAGTTGGGATTGGCGGAGGAGGACTATAAAGGAGGAGAGAGACGGCATGCACCAGGAACATCTAAGGGGAACATCTAGCTGAAGGAACACCTGTGCAGCCCCGAGAAAGCCGGCCGGCGGTGTGCCGCTCCCCTGCGGAAGTGGGGAATGTGGCCAGGGGGAACTGCCCTTCCACGGAGGTGGAAGGGACAGTAGCCAACCCGGGAAGAACCAGCAGCAAACCCGGGGAGGGCCGAGCAGACGAAAGAACAGCGCAGGGTCCTGTGTCGTTCCTCCACGAAGAGGGGGAGCGACATAATGGTGCCGAAACCCGGGAAGAACCAGCAGCAAACCCGGGGAGGGCCGAGCAGACGAAAGAACAGCGCAGGGTCCTGTGTCGTTCCTCCACAAAGAGGGGGAGCGACACTTCTGATTTAAAGGGGGCAAACACCAAATGTACAAAAGTATAATGCATAAATATTAACCACCATTTTCCAGGAACTCAAACAGCAGCTACTAACAAGCTAAAGATCAAGAACATTATGAGGGGCCAGAGCTGTGGCATAGCAGATAAAACTACAGCATCCCATATGGGCACCATAGCTACTCTACTTCCAATCCAGCTATCTGCTAATGCACCTTAGAAAGCAGGGGAAGACAGTTCCAGCCATTGTGGCCACTTGGGGAGTGAACCAGCTGATGGGAGATTTCTGTCTCTCCTTCTGTCTGTAACTCTATATCTCAAATAAATAAACAAATAAATCTTTAAAAAAAAATAAAGCCAACATACAGGGGCTGGCCCTGTGGCATAGCAGGTAAAGCTGCCACCTGTGACATCAGCATCTCTTATGGGCACTAGTTCGTTTCCTGGCTGCTCCACCTCTGATCCAGCTGTTAACGGCCTGGGAGAGCAGCGGAGGATGGCCCAGGCCTTGGACCTCTGAACCCAAGTGGGAAACCTGAAAGAAGCTCTTGGTTCCTGGCTATGGACTAGCCCAGCTCCGGCCATTTGTGGTGTGAGCTCTCTCGCTCTGCCTCTACTTCTCTGTAACTCTGCCTTTCAAATTAAAAAAATAAATAAATAAATAAAAATAAAATAAAATAAAAAACAAATTTATTTAAGTATTTAAAAAAAAAAAAAACACACCAAACACTGAGGCAAATTCATAGGGGCCAAAACATAGGGAATGGGAAGTCAAGGAGCACGGATCTAGACAGAGAAAACAGAAGTTAAGAAGGCACCAAAAAAGAAGAATGGAGGAAGGAATATAGATTTGAGGAACTGAGAGAAAGTGAACACAACCAGAGGATACTAACAGAGTGGTACATAGCCCAGGTGTGACACAGTTTTGACATGCTATCTTACACTGAAATTATTTCACAATGCTTTAATACATTAATTAAAAAACACAGAAAGGCTAAAAAAAGGATTTCTAGTTAGGAAACAAAGTTATTCTACCCAAATATTTTACCCAACTGCTCACCTAGCACAATTTCCTTCATTTTCATGTTACTTAAAAAAAAATTCAGGGCCGGTGCCGTGGCTCAATAGGCTAATCCTCCACCTTGCGGCGCCGGCACACCGGGTTCTAGTCCCGGTCGGGGCGCCGGATTCTGTCCCGGTTGCCCCTCTTCCAGGCCAGCTCTCTGCTATGGCCAGGGAGTGCAGCGGAGGATGGCCCAGGTGCTTGGGCCCTGCACCCCATGGGAGACCAGGAAAAGCACCTGGATCCTGGCTCCTGCCATCGGATCAGTGCGGTGCGCCGGCTGCAGCGGCGGCCATTGGAGGGTGAACCAACGGCAAAGGAAAACCTTTCTCTCTCTGTCTCTCTCTCACTGTCCACTCTGCCTGTAAAAAAAAAAAAAAGGTCTCTTTCTTTCTGTCTCTCTCTCCCTCTTTGTCATTCTGCCTTTCAAATAAATGAAATAAATCTTTAAAAAAAAAAAATTCAGAGCCCAACCATTTTTGTTCTATGCAAAATTAATTATATTCAGTTTGCTTAGAAAGCATGAGAATGATATTATTTGAGTTTTTTTTTACTTTGGGTTTAGTATGCTCAGTATTTCTATTAGGCAAGACCTATAGATATTTTCATATAAAAACAAGCACACTCTATGAACTTATGTTTAAGATAATTTAGTTAAAAAAATGCCCATTTAATTTTAAAAAGTATTTAAGTAAAACTACAATACCTGGTAAAAGAGTTCCTCTTATTTCAAAGGTGACCTGAGAAGGTGTCATTCTGATGGATTTATTTTAGGATGTCTTGCTAGAAAGAAAAAGAAAAGTCATCATTTGGAATATAAGAAAACATTAGTTGTAGATAGTGACATCATGAAACATGTTAAATCAAGACCTAATCTACATTTGTATTTTTTAAATATTTAATGTCTTTGCAGCTTTTATGCTTGTTTTTAAAAAGAAAAACTGATGAGGGTGAAAGGAAAAAAGAAACAAAAAGCAAAGAATAATGAAAAATTATTTTCAACTATGAGCAACTGACTGAATTACTATCTAGCAAGTTTGAAGGCTTTATGTTACAAACCTATTTAGTTAGGATATACAGACCAGAAATACAACAAAACAAATAAATGCCAAAACTTTATTTTTAAGGAGTCAAGACTCTCTTTCCACATATTTGCTTCTGATAAGCAGCTGCTCCAAATTCAACCTATCTTTCCTGACCAGGCTCAGGTTATGGTGGAAAGAAAAACAACAAACCCCAACCAAATACAGATAGAAAAAAACTTAGGATTGCTACTTTAATAACAACCAAAGAATTTAAGAACCAAAACTGAAACAAGCTAGTTATGTTCTCTAAGAAGTTTGAGAAATTTCTTGTAAGGTAACAGTGTAACTAATCACTTAAAAAAAAAAACTTCCCCCATAAACAACGCTTCTCAGATTTTTTTTCTTTATTAATCATGAGGACCATCATTATGCAAATTTTACAGGCTCAAACCTAGCATCCATTACCAAGTCTTGTTCATTTTATCTAACTGATCTTACACCTAATACCTTTGTTTCCAAAGTTGTCAACTTCATTCAAAACTTTTAAAGCCTCTAACAGATACTTGTATTTTGGCTTCTAAATCTCTTCACATTAATATAGTTTATGTCAATTGGAATCTTCTTCCTCATGTCTGTCACTTGGAATCACTTTTATTACTTATCCAGACTTTCTATTTTTCTCCCATTTATTCCGTCTTCCTCAGCCAAGCAAATCTCTTTACCATCCCCTAACTTAAGTACCTGGGGGAAGACAGGAAATAGACCTTTAAAATACACACACATAATTTCTCTTAAAAAAAAAAAAAAAAAAGCTGTGAGATTTAAATAAAGAACACATTCACCTCACAAGGACACATCACATTCTTCATAACTTCTCCAACACCCTCAAAAGCCTTTGCTGCCAAATTCACCAATGTTCCTAAAAGACTTCCAATCATGCCTTAATTCTGCATATGTCCATCAATTTACCATCTCAAATGTTATTTGCATTTGTATATGACTCCATAAAACAACCCTAAAGTACCTTTCATGGCTGTTTACTCTTCAATTTCCCCTTTGCTTCCTTCCCCTCCCCCTGAGTCCACAGTAACTGCAAGGGTCATTTAATGAACAGTTAGCCACACTTCTCTGCATCAGTTGTGTATCAGCAGTTCTCACTGACGGCAATTCTGCCCGCCAGGGTATATTTGGTAATGTCAGCAGGCACTCCTGGTTGCCACAATTGGGGAGTGTTGTTCCTGGCATCTAGAAGGTGGGGCCAGGAGTGCTGCTGACACTGTACAATGCATGAACAGCCTTTCAACTAACTGTCCAGCTCCAAACATCAACAGGACTGAGGCTGAAAAACCTAATTCCAAATATTTACTAAGGTATCTGGGGAAGGAGGGTACAAGAATGTTAGCTATAAACCATATATCATCCCATTCATGTCACTTATAAAATGTAGTGCTGAATATTACATAGGTATAATGTTAAATATATAAATAAAATGAAAGCACCAGTCAGTGTGGTGTTATGTTATACTTGGAATAACAATTCCTTATTTGGCAACTCCACAATTTCAGCTGAAAAACCCAAGACTCTGCATTGCAGAAAACCTGTCCTTGATCAGAATGACTTCTAAGATCCCTTATTTTACCTTCTTATAAACACAATCTATTGAAAGTCATACATCAGCTCTAGCATTGTCTAAGAACATTCTAAATGTAAAAGTAGCTCTAGATTGTCACCCCCTCGTAGGCCTACTGTCAACCAAGTATCTTAACAGTTCTCTCAATATGACATTTGGTATGAATCTGAGTGAAACCCTAAGAGTCTATTTCCTTTCCTAATAAATAAGATGGTTCATTGAAACGCTATGGCCTTACATTTAATTCTGCATATCTTTATCACATCAAATAAAGCTTGGCTTTTAAATTACTGAATCAGGTTTAAGGGACAGCAAAAACTTTATCATCCAACACAATGGCTGAAAAACCAGCCTTAATCTTAATCGGAATCACACTTTCACCCGTGGTGCTTACTGCAGTTCTCAAACTAAGAATCATCTCATCTGCATGATTACACAGTTGGTACTCAACTATTTATTGACCAATTTTAAATTACTATTTTAAGCAATTTCAGGGAAATCAGATCTAATACATTTAAATTAACAGCTGGTACAAAATTATCTCCAGATTTCTAATGCATTAAGACAAACAGGAAACTTATATGAATTTAATAAATGAGAAATCAACTAATTATTGAGTCTTTCACTGTTTACAAAGTGGCTATCCTAGCTTAGCAATGAACAGCTGCAGTAACTGTACCATACAAAGCTGTGCACACAGGCACAAACTGACCCCCCCCCCCAAACAAATTGCCAATCAATAAAGTACCATTGCTTTTGAGACATCAAAAGTCAAGAAATCAAATTCAATTTCTACCCCTCAAAACGCAATGCTATACCAAATAAAAGGCTGGGGAGCCGCTGCAATTGCAGTGGATGGGATCATGGACAGCCAGAACTGCGGTGCAGGACTGAAGCACCAGCTCCCACCACAACAGCAGTGACAAGGTAAAAAACCTGTTCTGTTGTGGAACACAAAATTCACACACCCACCCACATTTCCTCTTCCAACAAGCAAAAATCAACCCAACGTTGAGGGGAGTAGTCCTCCAGAAGACACATACAGCAAAAGGAAACTGGCTGTCATACACAGTGAACTAACCATATGTAGACAGGCAGCTGGACTAAGTCACCTACTGCCCTCTTGTACATGCTATACTTTCTGGGACAGGTTTTTGTTTTTGTTTTTTTAAATATAACCTCTATTTTGCATTTTTAGGGATTCTGAATGATTTTTAACACTATTTTAACACTTTTAAGACTCAAGCAGTTAGCAAAATACAACTCCATAATTAGCATCAGAAACATATTTCAGAGCTCACACTACCTGCAAGACAAATTTTACCCTGTTCTTTCTGACAAGCAAACTTTGCCAACCGACGCATGACCTTACTGGCTTAGCAGTGTGAAGAACAAAAGGGGGATTTAAGGAAACCAAGGTGCAGGAAGCATTTAGTTGAGAGCTGAATTTCAGTCAGATATTTTTAGTCAAACTGTGTATTTCTGGCCCAAAAAAAGAACATCAGCTTCCCCAAGGAAAAAGCTGTTTCCAATTCTCCTTGCTCTTTCCTAGGTTCCAGCAGTTCTGCGACTGCTAACTAGCTGTGATCACGGAACACAAGAGTGCTGGCATTAACTTCCACTCCACTTGGAGGCTCATTATGACCGGCCTCTGACCCTGTATACTTTAAGCCAGTATTTATTTTAATCAAACGTATGCAGACATCACGAGTTCTACTAGGAAGGCATTTGTAAAGCTGATTTTACTAAGCCAAATTAATTCCTTGATCGACTTTCTAAACAACGTTTGACATTTTCCCAAACGTGTCCCATTTCACTTTATCCTGATACTATCTTCAAAGAGGGATTCCACGTATCTTTTCCATTTAAATTATACACACAGGAAGACTTGATTTGCAAACTTCATAGCAAATCTCACTCCCTCTGCCACTGCGGAAATTTTCCTTTTGTGGTTCTTACTTCTGGGCCTCCGAGTGGCCTTTATTTCATTTTGGAGACTTAAATCTCCAGAAGATTGCTGTCCCCTGGTCCCTAAATCAGGTATGAACTGGGCGGTGGGCAGTTTCAGCTCCACTGGCCTTGTGCTCTCCAGTGCACTAAGAATTAGGGTGAGGAAAAAGACCCAAGGCTTGCACGCACTCATTCCTTAGTTATGTAAAAGCTCAGCAGGGTAGCAAGCAGCAGCCCGAGAAGTAGAGGAGTGGGTTGCAGCTGGGCAGAAATGGGCAATGAGACAGACATCCTGCTCGGTTTCATCAGTTCCTCCAGGCTGGCTACATCAGCCTCAAACAGCTGTCCAAAGGGGAGAGGCTCGCCTGCTTTCCTTGATTCCTGGACGGCGGAGCCCGGGCGGGGGTTGGGGGGTAGGTAGAGGGGGTGCAAGGAAGCATCTGACAGACGGAGGCTCTTGCCTCCCAGAGTCAGCAAGGAGGCCCGCCGAGCCTTGGAAAAAAGCAGAGCTCAGGCGAGGAGGGGGCCGCAGGGTTAAAGACCTCCCCTCCCGAGGGCACGCATGCCCGTTCCTGGAGCAGGAATATTCCCAGCGGAGGAAGGCGCCTCGGCTGCCTGCAAGCACCGCGCGCCGCCGGCCACCCTGGACGTTGTGTCCACACAGCACAACGCGCTCCGTCTGCCGCTCAAAGAGTTTTCCCCGCTGGCCATCATCCCGGGGCAATCCCGGCCAAGCGGCAGTTTGTCCCACACTATGAATGACCGAAGGGCCGAGGGCTGAGGGGAGCCGGGGCCGGGATGTGGACAACGGGGGCCCCCGGACGCCCTCGGCCGCCTCTTTGTTCCTGCACTCACGGCTCTGCATTTGCGGTGGTTCTGCGCCCCCCAAACCCTGCACGACCCCAAACGCTCCCGATTATTTTCCGGATGAGAAGGGAAACCACCGGGCAGCTCAGCCGAGTCGCGGCGACAAACAATGCGCGCCGGACGACAAGTCTGACCTGCAGCCGACGTCCAGGCCGCCGCTTCCCCTGCCCGGGCTGCGGGGACCCCGCCCGCCCCCCTCGGCCCCGTGGCCCCCAGCGTCCCCGCCGGGGCCGCCCTGACACCTCATCCTGCCACGTGAGCCGCCGCCGCGGCTCCGCACCCAGCGCCCGCCCGCCGGCCTCACCTGCCGGGTCCACGGCTCAGCGGGTCCCCCCCGCCGCCGCCGCCGCCGCCGCCTCCTCGCCCGGGAGCGAGGGCTGCGGGCCGAGGTGCCGGGCGCCCGCCGTCCGCGCCTCGCCAGCGCTCCTCCAGGCGGCCCGCGGCGGCGCCGAGCGGTGGAAAGCGCCTCCTCTCAAACCGGTTTCAGCTGCTCCAGACCAAACTGCCAGGCCACCCCGCAGGGCGGGGCCGGAGGCCGGCGGGGCGGGGCCTGACGTCACGCCCGGCCGTGCCTCGGCCAATCGGCGGTCGCGCGCTGGAGGCGGGCCCGCCCGTTCCTGGAAAGGGCCCGCGACGGCGGCCGACGTGGCCGGGCATCCCCGGGTTCCCCCGCGTCAGCCTAGCCCTCCGACCCGCGCGACTGCAGGGTGGAGACGCAGAAGCCATGTGGCCTGAGATTGGAGATGCTGCCCGTTGTTCCCCCAAAGCTCTTAGAGATAACTTAATGTGGAAGCGGAAGCTGCAATTCTGAATTGCATTTTTCCCCCCTTTGAAAGTGAGGTAAAATAACAGGCCTGATGTTTGCTGGAAACTTTCGTGACCAGTCTCACTTGGATCATTGAAGCTAAAACGAGGGCTAGGGAGTCTGAGGATGATTGAGAGTTTACACCGTCGCTAGGCAAAGTACGATCTCCTGGCCTACAGCACCACCTGGGAGCTGTCAGGACCATCCGGCAACCCGAATCCAATCTGCTCTGAGCGCCCCCCCCCCGCCCCGGCCGCCGCCCCCAGGATGCTCGTTTGCAAACCAGTCTGAAACAGCTTTCTGAAAGCAGAAGTTCTAATAATTTACTTCCTGAGAAATGGACCCTCTTAAAAATTGAAAAAAAAAAAAATAGGCAGAGTTTATTTGATGTCCCCACCCCCTCCCGCAAACTGATCAGCTTTGTAACCTAACCAGCATCGGGTTAGCCTCTGGTTCACCTCTAAGGTAGCGGGGTGGCCGGATTTTATT